CAACTATTCTACCTACCCAAGCGGTCGAGCAGCTGGCCCCTCCTCATCTAGAAGAGACGGTCAGTACTCGAGATGCATTCCCGTCGCAGTACGTAGAAATGACCACTATCTCCGAGCCGATCTTGCCACTTCAGTACATAGAAATGGCTTTCATCCCCGAGCTCCTTTCAACATCCCAGAACGAAGAAATGAGTTTAACCCCCGAGCTCCTCTAGGTGTCTCAGAACAAAGAAACGACTGCCATATCCGAGCTCCTTCAGCCGCTGCAGCACGAAGAGTTGACAATTATTCCAGAGAATCTCCAGCCCCGGCCAGAAGAGATGACTACCCTCGCTATGCCCCAGTCACAGTACGAAGAGATGTCTATTCTGCTGCCCCAGTACGGAGAGACATCTACTTTCCAGCTCCGACCAGATATGACTATTCTAGAGACGTCTGGACCAGACCGAGAGCCGGGCTTGAATACACCCCTTGTAGCCAACCTTGCCAGCAAGCCCTTTGCAGCGAAGCGACGGAACCCTCTCGCTATCAACCTCAGGTGCGACAAGGCCTTTGTCACCAAAAGGGGGCCACTCCTAGGCTTCAAGCGCCTTCATCTACTCGTGGGCCGAAAGAAGACAAAAAACACACTAGCCCTCGCCAAATTCCGCAAGAGGAGACTCCTCCCAACCAAGGAGCGAAGGGAAAGCGACAGAGGAGTATGTGGACCTCAGAAGCACCAGATGAGGCTCGGATTATTCAGCAAGACGAAAACGTTATGCGCAGGCCTTCAAAGGGAGAGGAAGGCGCAAGGTCAGCGGAAAGAGAAGCCGGCGATCGCAGAACGCCAGATGCTAACAAGGCTCCTGCTCCGGGCCCGCAGAGACAAGCGTCAGAAGAAAGAAGGCGATCGTCAGTCCAAAGTAGAGAAACAGGTGCGAAAGCAGTGCAGAGAGTAGAGGCGCAACCAGAGGAGGATTTTAGGTCTGCCGATACCGAGCCTCAGCCGCAGAGTCCAGGACACTCCAGCCCAGGCATCAGAGAAGGGGATGGGACCAGTGGAGAGGGTAGGCGAGCCTCGGCAGAGGTCCCACGAAGAGTATCGTCCTCCAAGGGACAAGATTTCCCAAGAATGGGATCGGGAGTCGGGAGCTCAGCAGATCCAAAGAGAGCCTCCACACAGGATCGAGCAAGACATTTGTCAGCTCAAGAAACGGGGGGAGGAACCCCTACAACAGGAACGGGGTCATGGCGAGCGCCAACCCGACGTGATTCAAGAGGGGCGAGAGCACCTACCGAGGGAAAACCCCCTTCCAGAGCAGCAAAGCGTCGAGAATCAACGGAAGGGGGAAGAGCCTTTGCCTCGAGAACGGCTCCGTCTCAACGAGGAGCCCTTCGTGATTCAGCAGAAGATGGAACGTGCGTCCCGGCAACGACTACCTCGCAATGGGGAACCATTATTCATCCCACCAAGGAGGGAGCGTCTGACACAGGGACGACTCCCTCACGTAGAGGAACGCGCCGTGATGCGACAGAAAGGGGGATTTCTGCTACAAGAACGACTCTCTTGCGAAAAAGAACACACTATGATTCAACAGGTGAGGGAGCATCTGCACCTGGAACGACCTCCCCGCGAACAAGAACGCGTCGTGATTCAAAAAGAGAGGGAAATACCCCTTCACGAGCGGGAACACGCCGAGCTTCAACGGAAGAGGAAGTACCTACCTTGCGGGCGTCAACAGAGCGAGATCCCACAAACCAGGCGTCTACCGCGGGAGAGGCCCCCACGAGACAACGAGCAAATTCCACCGCTGCCTCACGAAGACCTGCAACCGTTCTTGATAGAACAAGACGCAGACTGTCAGTTGAGAGGCCGACAGTGGAACCCCCAGACCCAGTGCGAACGATGCCAGCCCCAGAAAGAGTGCCAACTCTCCTTTCCCAAGTTCATGACCTAGATCGACGATCATCAGTGGCAAATGATACCTCAAATCACGGAACAGGGCTCAGAGAGGGAAAGAGAGAGACTCCAAAGAAAGCGGGAATCTATAGGCTTAGACCACGGAAGGCAGAGGATTCGACTAGATCCAGAGCCCCAGGATCAAGGTGGCGAGCGGAAGAGGCTCCGGGGAGAGCGAAGACGCAACCGCAAGAGAATCGAAAGGGGCTGGACATCTCCCGTTGTCCCTCCTCGGCAACAACGCCAACTCAAGCCTCAGGCCCAGTCTCGAGAGCTGCAGTACCGCAAGAGAGCCAGCCCTCCACGCGGAAACCTTTAGCAAGACCACGACCGCCGTCCCTAGCAACATCAAGACGTCCCTCGCGAGCCCCACTGCCAGCAACCTCGGCTCTAGCCTCCAATGTCCAGCCGCAATCTTCAAGTCTCATCCCTCCTCCCTCGGCGAAAAGACAGGGTTCGTGGGGGATTGATCGGCTCAGGGCATCAGCTAGGATTGCACCAAGCCAGCCCGCCCTCCACTTAGATGAGCAGTGGGAATTGGGTGACGAGAGAGTCGTAGGAGCAGGGTCGAGAGGGGAGAGTCCTAGGGAATTGGGAGGTGGAAATAAGGAGGTCCAGAGAGGTGGAAGTGGAGAGAAGGGGAAGACTTCGGGACAGAGAGATTCGGGGTTGAAAGGGAGATGGGGGTTTGGGTGGGGAAGAGGATGATGGGATTGCGAACGATTGCGATTGTTGAGGGTTGGTGGTCTTGGTCGATTGCTCATTTCGTTTTATTCTTACCTACCTACCTTTCACCTACAATACCTTAAGGTAGTTGCAAGCCGTTGTTACTAAGTCTCACGTCCTCCTCTTGGAAACGCATGTTCTTCCTTTGCGTGGCCAGTGAATGCTGGGTGTTATATAACAGTCCGTTTCGTTAAAAGATGCTGTACGTAGAGTTGAAGAACCTACGAAAATACAACCTACGAATTTCCTCCTGTGTAGACATGCCAGAGTTATATTCCTTTCCTTTAGAATCCCGGAATACGACTGCGAGACCCAATCAAGAAAATGGGTTCAAGAATTCGTATTCTCGTCTTCCTAACAGGGCTATTCGGTAACGAAATTTTTCGAAGGATCTGCATCGAATGAGGTCGAACATGGCTCCACATGTGCATTGCATTCGAGGAAGATTCCAACAAGTGGCGTGGCTGAAGCTAGGATTTTACAAATCGCACGGATATATCCATTAGTCGTTTAGGAGGATTCTAGTCGCGGGAATGTCAAGACCAGGTGTGTGTTACGATTGGGGATCGTTGTCGGGATCCGCGGGATTTTAAATGAGGGTGTGGCTGTGTTTCCGAGAAAACCCTGTCTTATCCATATCTGTGCAAAGGTCAAGTGTTTCCTTAGGAAGCCCCTATTCGAGAAAGGAGAGTCTTGCGAAAATGTTTATGTGGAAGGAGTTGGTTTCGTCGCCGTTTACATCTTGCCACGCCAGCCAGCGCCCAGGACGCGTAGCGTTGCGTGCGGCTACGAGAACGTTGAGGCGGAGGCTGAGGCTGAGTAATTGTGTTGATGTTATTTGTTGTTAATTAACTAGTCGTGAGTGGTGCTCGTTCGATAGATCGAACAAGATTTGGTGGAGGCTGGCTGTTCTGGTGAGTTCCTAGTCGGCGACTAACTAATTGTGGAAGCCGAAATAGAGAGCAGGTCTAATTTAATCCCAACTAGGTGATGCTTCCGCTGAGTTCAGGCAAGGAGGTTTGTGATGGTGATGGAAGGAAAGGTAGCTGGATGCACGGCTTCTTCCGGCCCACGTCGGCGAATTTTGTACTCGGAAAGTTGAGTGTTGCATCGGGCCGCGGTAGTGTTGGTGAGGCTGGAAATAATTCAACTTGGGAAGACAGCGAGCAATGATACGAGAGCACAACCATCAATGACGTGTACGACTACAGAGCGCTTTGCCTTATGAAGTCAATGCCATGTGGTAGGGGCCGACCAGATCTCACGATTGTGGAAAACATGCAGGCAAGACGTGAGGATCCGGGCCGGGAATTGCACAGGGCTGAAACTGCCTTGCTGGCAGTGGATCGGGAGTAGTTTGAATTGGAGGCTGCAAGTCGATTCGTGAAAGCCATGTCCTGAGCCAAGTGCTTGGGTCGTGAGTGTCAGTAGTCTCAACATCCTTTACCTAGCATGTCAAATCGAGGGATGGTGAGGGAGCTTTATTCCTGTGTGTAGAAGCAATTGGATCATTGGTCTTTTTGGGGAGTCTTTGAGGCACAACCTGGCAGAAGAAAGTTTCAAGGTCTTGTCAGTTTGGCACAAGGTGAGGAAGTCGAGAAGACAGCCGTGACGTGCTGGGTTTGAGTCTCCGAGCGGCCTGTGAGCGCAAGAGAAGCAGTGGTTTGGGAGGGAAAGCTTTGGCGATACGGGTTGGGAGCTTGTCGGCTTTGAAACGCGGGATGGGGGTCAAGCAGGGAAGTAAAGGCTTGTTTTAAAATGCGGTTGTTCTTTCTGTCTTCGGCAAGGTTGATTGGGCCGTTAAGAGTACCGTGTCACGTGAAACAAAGGAATAGTATGTATTTCATATGTGCAGTTTAAATGTCGATGCACGCGGTTGGCCCAGTCGTTCGTGTTTCGATATGCCCGTTGGTCATCAAGCAACAGTCTTGGTTTCGTCTTGTCACAATGCGTGAAATGCACCTTCTAGCGTCGGCTACTCGACAAGCAAGTTCGAGCCTAGAGCTCGAGCCGGAGCGAGAGGCTTCCAATGCCGGCGGAGGCATTGATATTGGGACAAAATGTGTAGATGAAGAGACAGAGCCGGGAGAGGGGTCATGTCAGCGAGGCTGGTGGTTGCAAGCTAAGCCTTCAAAACCCTGTCGCTCCGAGGCTTGTGCGCCCCTGTGCGCCTCGTTCTGGACTCTCGCTCGTCACCCGTTGTCTGGCTGATGATGTGCTCTACCCTGGCGTGTTGCACTGGACCCCGTTCGTGCGGATCGTGCCCTTGCTCCCCCAGGCATTGGCTGATGCTTCGCCAACCCAACTCTGCGTATACATATTGGCTTGGCCACGCTCCAGATGTGATCCATCAGTGACATCTCTATTTTCCACAGTTCACCCCTAGTCCGTTGTTGAGTTGGGTTGGGTCCAATCACGACTGCGCTGCATCAATCTCGCCTTTCTTCTCCTTCTTTGATAGTCTGTCATTGCTTTTCGCCTTTACCTTCAATATAGGATTTGTAGATATTAGCCGTTCCAGTTCTAATCGTCCCACAACAATATCCTGAACTCGGGTCCCTTTGTTCTACAACCTATCTCTCTGGTAAGCTCATGTGCTTTGCCAGTTGTGTAGACTCTCGACCACGACGCGCTCTGAGGATCTCGATATTAATACGGACTCAGGCCTCGCACATCTTCTCTCGTGGCCGCCAACATGGTCCCCTTACCGTTGGTAGCACTGCTATCCGTAACAGCACTTATCCTCCCAACAAATGCTGCACCAACCCGAACACATTGTCGCTGCTTTGTAGTCGACGCTAACAAGCCATGGTCTCCATCAGCAATTCTACACGACACATCAAGACAATTGGATACCTGCGCTCACATGGGGCCTGAAATTGAGTACTTCCGAATTTCTGAACCCGAGATCTATCAAACCTACTACCAGCACATTGTCCACGAGCAGTCGACAGCAACTCCTACCGAAGACGATCTGAGACCGCTAACAACGACTGTTCTGATGGAGTTGGCTAGAAAGGATTTGTTCGAGCACCAGCTGCACCTGGACACACCTCTTCCCAGTGCCCCAACTGAACGCCCAAGAGAACGGATTATTTGTCGATCTGAACCAGAACCCATCTCGGAGTATCACGACTCTGAACTTACACTCTTTGCTCTGGGAGTCATTGTAGTCTTGGCCATTCTTGCATGTGTTGCAGAATGCATTAATCTCTTGATGGGATGGTGAGTCGTCAGCGTCACCCTGAGTAATTACGGTACTGACCAACCTTAGGGCGGAGCAGCGAGAACTTCTTCGAAGAAGTCCCGTACGACTAGCGGGCGACGAGAAGAAGCTTCGTGCATACTCGTCGTCTGAGCGGAGCCCCGAGTGGAGATGCCCTTCCCCAGAGACGCGAGTCTATACCGCCTATCTGATTGACACTGCAGATGAGGACGACGATGAGATCAACAGACCCGTCATGTAGATGGAGGACATGATCCCTTATTTCCTATTCTCATGTGCATATTGTTCTTGCTGCATTTTAGCCATGACAACGATTTTCCAATTGTAATATAACGAAAGCATATTTAGGTCCGTTTAGAGACGGACAGTCTGGCGTCACACTCCGCGGAAATGGTAGGAACAATGGCTTGGATATATTATACCGAATTGGATGTACTTGGATCCAAAATCAAGGTTCTCGCTCGGTTAACTGGTCAAAAAGCAAGGTGGCTTACCCTTAGGAGCAATACACACCCCGAAACTCGGAATTAGGGGCTTACGCATGCCACTGTTGTTGGATATGTATCTCCGGAGTATTTCAGCTTGCATACTAGGTATTTGGACTTCTTTCGCTTTTCAATTGAGCGAGTAAGATATCCTGTACATGTTCAAGGGGCCTCGACTCTGCCATCTATCCGTCCGCAAATGATTCATATGCTCAGAAAGAACACGACGCGGCAGTCTTCTGACTCCCGCGGCGTCTACTCCGAGTCGCGTTTCCACAAGAACCTTTTCTATGTTTAAGTGAACTCCCATTTCGGAAAAGCCTTGTACCTCGGCACAACAGCGGATTCGCTCGACCTCGGGAGCTCTGACCAGGCGCGCCTGCTTCACGGTTTCTTTCATCAACGACAGATCATCCCCGTCTGACATCATGCCATGATATCTATCGAAGACATATCCCTGTCAATTTTCTTTCCTCAAGTTCTGCTCCAATTTGAAGCTCACCAACAAGATTACAAGCGGGCAAACTTTACTTTGAACTGAGGCGTTTCCGTCGCTCCGTATCTCGCTTTCTCCCCCCGTTTCCTTCAACCACTACGCCACGAGCATCAACCCTGCCAGAATGGGATCTCAAGAAGTCCTCGTCCTCGGTATCGACGTCATCTACACTTCAAAACGCCCACAAAGGCCCTCTCCTCATCCTCACGAAGCGCATGTCCCAAGACGGCAAAGACGAGTCAATGGGTTTCTATTTATCATCTCCATCTTTCAGCTATCTAATTCTCATCAAGTAACATAAGGTGATTTTCTTCTCGTCTTATACTCATTCGCCTTTCTAATAATAACGCGTCGCTTCGGAATTGTAGTCAGGTGATGATGCCTGACTTCGTGTTTCTCGTTCCCCGCGCCCTAGGTCTTGATTTGATTAGCCAGGCGATCAAGAGAAGTATTGCCAAACCTCGTAGTCGTATGGAATTCTCAATTCGATTTTAGGCCACTGAGGGTTCGACGCATTGAGATCTGTGGCTTCCACGTCATCACCTGTTCGAACGCCGTGTAGTGCGTATATACTGGAGCCATAGGTAAACTAAAACGTTTGCATTTTACTATCTTGTTTCCATCTACTCCAAACTCATCCATTCGTTTACACCAAATGATAGTGAATCTTATCGGTTTACTCGCGGCGGGGGCGTTTGCCAACTCGCTCCCGCCCTCATCGCCCGCGATTACAACTCCAATTGCATGCGCCCCAGGAGTCTCGGCCGGAGCTGGAGGATGCGTTATCCCAGTAAGTCCTACCAAGACATGCGATTGGCCGGACGCGACCATGGACTGGAAAGGGAATTGCATATGCCTCCCCGGATGGGGTACTGGTACGGACGGCAGATGTACACAAACTGCAGCTACCATTCCGACACCTTCGGCAACACCATGCGCCTTCGACAATTATGGTTATTGTATCTGCCCGTACGAGTATTCGACAGACCTCGAAGACAAGATGTGCTACCCGCCATGTCCTAATCGAAGCTTCATCAGGGGCAAGCATGGACAATGCGTCTGTCCTCCTAGGGCCACAATCGACTACCGCTCAAATTGTATCCAAGCATCCGGTTGCCCGAATCCCAGTATGACTAGAGACCCTAGCGGAAGTTGTCAATGCCCACCTCCTGCCACTGCTGATTACCGTGGGGTCTGCATTACGCCTTATCCATGTCCGACTGGAATGACGAGGGACCATAACAATTACTGCCAGTGCAGTCCGCCATATTCAACGAATTACCGTGGATCCTGCACTTCGTCGCCATGCCCAAATCCCCAGATGACAAGAGATTACATGGGTAGTTGTAATTGCCCAGGAGGCCAATCAACCGACTATCGCGGTAACTGCGGAACTCCCTGTCCCCAACCGACCCTTATGACTCATGACTACCGGGGCAATTGCCAATGTATTTCGGGATATACTACAGATTATAGAGGCCACTGTACAACAACTGGAACTCCCTGTCCCGAGCCGACCCTTATGACCCACGACTACCGAGGCAACTGTCAATGTATTACGGGATATACTACAGATTATAGAGGCCACTGTACAGCAACTGGGACTCCCTGTCCTGAGCCGACCCTTATGACCCACGACTACCGAGGCAACTGCCAATGTATTACGGGATATACTACAGATTATAGAGGCCATTGTACAACGACTGGAACTCCATGTCCTGAGCCGACACTTATGACCCATGACTACCGGGGCAACTGCCAATGTATTACGGGATACACTACAGACTACCGAGGCCATTGTACAACAACAGGAACTCCGTGTCCAGAACCCACCCTTCAGACAAGAGATTATCGTGGCCTCTGCCAATGCATCGATGGATATACCACTGATTACCGTGGCCACTGCTATCCCGCCCAAACCCCATGTCCCACTCATCAGACCAAGGACTACCGCAATATCTGCCGCTGCGAATCAGGCTACACAACGGATTACCGCGGTAACTGCTGGCCGTCTACGACTCCATGCCCGGAGCCCACCCTTCAGACGAGAGATTATCGGGGTGTTTGTCAGTGCAGAGAAGGCTATACTAGCGACTACCGTGGGCATTGCTACCACACCCCTTGCCCCACGCTTCAAACAGTCAATACATATGGAGCTTGCGACTGTATCTCAGGCTACACCACTGACGACAATGGGCACTGCTCTACGGTCATCACGGGCCCTTGTCCTCAACCAACTGCAATGACGAAAGACTACCGCGGAATCTGTCGCTGCATTACGCCGGGGTATACGACCGACACTGGGACTCATTGCGCTCCTACACAACGCCCTGGGTGTTGGGAACCTGATCGCATGACACAACTTCCCAACGGCGGCTGCGTATGCATTTCTGGATATACCATGATGGGATCAGCTCGACCACACTGCGTCCAAGTTACTCCTTACTGCCCCGATCCGGCCATGACGACTGATTATAGAGGACACTGTTGGTGTCCCCCGCCGCTCGTTATGTCTGACAGTCACTGCATCACTACAAGCCCCTTGGTCACGCCTACTCCCTGTGGAGGTACGATTACGAAATCCTGTCCGACTGGCGCGAGTTGTAAGCCTACTGTTCCTTGCGGAGAGAATGCTCCATGCCCGGGAACGTGTGAGTACTTCGGCGCGCCGACAACGACTTCGTATACTCCAACTCAATGTGGACCCAAAATTTTCCCCTCTTGTCCAACGGGAATGACTTGTGAGCCTACTGTCTCATGTGGAGAGCACGACTCGCATTGTCCTGGCACGTGTAAGGGACGTGGTGCACCGACGTTCACGAGTACGGAGCCGCCGCTTCCGACTCCGAAGAATAAATGCTTGGTATGCAGACTTCCTTTCCTCATCTGTTTCTCTTAAAACCCCTGCCCACGTATACTACGTTTCAGAGACCTGAAATCAAGTTCTGACGGTATTTCCTAGCTCCAATGCATCCTCCAATCATCCTTCCACCACCCATCTGAGCTCTGTTCCGAACACGGGAAAAAGCTCATGCTAAGCTGCCATGTAACGAACTGTAAACACGACAAAGACTTCTTCATCGAGCTCTTCGGCATCTGCCAACCTGAACCCTTCACCATCACCCCAACCACCTACTCGTCCCCCGAATCTCCCACCTGTCTCGATTCCGGCTGTATTGCTCCAACGACAACACCAGGAGAAGTCACGGTCACTATCACCACGATTGAGACTTTGACATACTGTCCTAAGAAGACGAAATGCCATGGGCAAACAGTAACATGGACGCTAACAGAAGGCCCAACGTCCTGCCCTGATACGAAGACTTGTACATGTGTTCTGCCGTCCACAATCACTGTTATCGAAACCCTGCCCACATGTCCCGCGAGCGTGACATGCACGGGACAAACGACAATCTGGACGAGCACCGAGGGTCCAAGTAGCTGTGAGGGAACTTGTACGGCGGTTTTGCCAAGTGAAAGCGTGCCAATTGTGCTAGTACCGAGCCAGACAGCGACGGTGAGTGAATTTTTGGGGATTGCGGGGTTGGTAAGACCGGGCGTGGTCGAGGGCGTGGTTGTGGCGGTTGCGGGGTGGGCTTGGTTTATGTTGTAAGGAGATGTGCTGTGCGAAGTAGGAATTCGACGGGTGGGATGGTGAAATTGAAACAACCTTTTCCAGTGATGTTTTAAGGGTTGCGCATAACTGGACCGGAGTCTATAACCTTCCTTAGGGAATAGGATGGATGGAATGACAAGAGATGATCGGAATTCGGGTTTGAAATGGATGGACGATATGATGGATGGTAAAAAGAAGGAACCTGTTACAGCGGTTGCGGAAGTTCGGATTGGCATATGTGATTCAAGTCTGATGGTTTCGGGGGTGATTGATGACAAACTTACGCTCCTTAGATGTAGTTAATCGTAATGTTTTATGTGCCTAAGTCTCTCCTACAACTTACATTCCATTTGGTCATCGATCACCCAGAACCACTAACATACCTTTGACTATCTCCATATTTAGGTCTTCACTTCTATGGTGCAGATTTCGTGCTTGAGAACAATTGCGTAATATCAAAGTAGGGCTAGTGATGTCATGTGTGAGCATTGTGAACTGACAAAAAAGATAGACATATATAACAACTGGGCACTGAGCCTTTCGAAGGGGTGGGCGCTGCTCTTCATAGCTAGATTTAACCAATATGCATGAAATTGGGGTGGAAAACATGTTAGTCACAGCTCAAAGGCAAGAAGATCAAAAATAAACACAGATATCTATTGCAAATCCCAAATCAGTATCCCCCTTCATCATCAATCACCTGAGATAAACACAGACACACACACGCACACACACATTCTCACACCAGACAAGACAGCATGCACGGCAGTTCGTCATAAAGAGACCATATTGTAAGGAAGGGAAGCACAGTGGACAAAAGAGATGCAAAGTAAAGAAGTGTAACAAAGAGAAAGAAAAAGAAAAAGGGAGCTGTAGTCGCATCTCCACTGCACACATCCACCCATCCATCCATTCGTCCCAGGAATATAATGAGAAGAATTGGTTCGACAAAACCCATGTTTCTGGCTTTTCCCATCCCACCAAGTTCCCACAACACACGGCTACGGTATGCAGGAAAGGCGGGACGAGAATAGAGACCACCAACAGGATATTGACCCAGCCACCCCCCGACGGAACTCGCAAGAACGCATGATCCCACCCTCCGTAGCGTACACCCATCGGATCACCACTCCAGCCTGAAGCTTTCATTCGCTGCGCATGGCCACTCCATTTGAGAATGACAAAAGAGGAAACGACAGACATATTAGAAGCGCCTCCCGTATGAAGACAGACCGCCCGAGAAAAGCCAAAGAAAAAAAACAAGCCGCCGCATTTCAATCGCTATGAACCTCGGTCCTTTCACCCGGGCGTTAGGCAGGCAGATCCGCAAATCGACGTTTCGAGAATTATGTGTGCATGCATGGGGAAGTGTAACCATATCAGACATAATCGTACCTTCTTGACTTGGGAACAATCCCACAGAGATGCTACCAATGCAAGACGTGTCTTTGACCTTGATACCTGTGCCTCTTTCGCCGGCGAGTACGAGACAAAGCCAGGTACCACAGCCCGTCCTAGACGCCATTCTTTTTATGCAGTACAAGAAGCGCATATCGTCGTGTGGAGTTCGTAGCCGTGAGTCGTAAAAGATTGCTGAAGTAAGACAGATGTTCGAAGAAGGGAGAGTATAACATATGTCGAGGGGGGGGGGGGCGGATCGGAGTTGCCGGGTAAGGAAGGTGGGGAACAAAGTTAATTGTACTGCGGGGATCGAATTCGCAAAGCTGATTCGGTGTCGATTCGGGGAGGGCTTAACAATATGTGATTGTCTATCGACGCCCAAACCTGCTGCACGGAAGTTCGCAATTGTTCATCTGTGTTGGTTGGGCTACTTCTAGGAGGATTTCTTGCTGCGAGGAGACATCGGTCTGCTGCCACCAAGACTGGGCACGTACTTTTGTTTCTTTTCAGCTGGTTTGAGGATCTATAGGGCTGTTGTGAGCGCGGGGAGCAGGGGAATGGCAAGGGTTGAAAATACCTGGAAAGAGCAGAGCAGGCTCTCGTCGACGCTCATCATTGCACCCGCATTGTCGAATTCACCACAATAGTTGGGTGCGCTGAAGAGCGTGACCAGTTGCCGCTTTGAGAAGAACTCGTAACCATCCTCCACAACTTGATGGGCGCGACAGATGAGGTCCATGTCGTGTTTCTGCAAGAAGCGGGACACCACGTCTGGGCCAAAGGTGAAGGAGACACCTCTGTCGTTTTCACTCCACCCAGTAATATCCTTGTCGGGATCGGACCACAGCAAATCGCAGAGAAGACCACAGTCCGGGATCTAGATTCGTCAGCATGTGCGTCGTCCATACCCACACACAACCAGAGGATCAGACGTCAATCAGGAGGAGTGGACAAAACTTACATCGGTGGGTCTCATCACGCGACGAATTTGCTCCATGGAGTTCAGGTCAGGGCTGAGGCCACCGTGCATGGTGAAGATCTTTTCGTCAATGATGGCGGCAATGGGCAGGCAATTGAAGCAGTCGGTGAACGTCTTCCATAGCTTGATGTTGTACCTTCGCTTGCACTCGTCATAAAACCCGTAGATGCGGTTGATGGAGGCGCACTCGTGGTTGCCGCGCAGGATGAAGAAGTTCTCGGGGTACTTGATCTTGTAGGCAAGCAAAAGGCAGATGGTCTCCAGCGATTGCTTGCCTCGATCCACATAGTCGCCGAGGAAGAGATAGTTTGCTTCTGGTGGGAACCCACCGTACTCGAAAAGGCGGAGGAGATCGTAGTATTGGCCATGTATGTCCCCGCAGATCTGAGAGAGCAAAAGCTGGTTAGCGATGCGGCGTCCGACACCTTTGCTGAGCAGAGGAGCAATGACTGACCTTTATCGGCGCCTCCAGCTCCAGCAGAATGGGCTGCGAAATGAAGATTTCGCGCGCCTTCGTGCATAGATATCGGATCTCCGTCTCTAGCAACTGCACCTGCTTGCCCGGCCGGCTGCCTCGGACCTCGAGTAGTCTATCTATGATGGAGTCCAAATCCACCTCGTTTTCCGCCATCGCTGCGACGTGCTGATGGCCTCGGTATTAGATGTGGGTGTGGGGGCAAGGACGGGGCCTCGCGCGGGGTGGAGGGTGGGGAGAAGAGTTCTCGCGTTGGCCGTTGTTTTGCAGTCCCTACGAGGAAAGAGAGCGTTAACAGAGGCGAGGAGGCAGCTCGCGGTGACGCAGCTTGGGCCAGTTTTGCTGGCAGGGGCGTGAGGGTGACTCGTCGCCGTGACGTGCCAAGGAAACAATACAGCTGACACAGCAAAGACCAAACGTACCTCTATGTAAGCGAGCGAGCCTGTTTAAGCTGGGTATGATGCGGTTCGTGAGCGGCGCTCGCGGGTGCAGAGAATGGCTCGAAGCCCCTCAGAAGTTGCAAGGCGGTGATGGCGGAATCACGCGACTATGCCCGAAGCTGCGGCTGGCGGGGGTCAATTGCGACGGTCAGCAAGAGTGTACCTGGTACTGCTCGGCGGCAGAGGGCGGGCGGTCGATGGCGGCGTGAGGTTGAAGCGTTGTTGTGGCCGGAGCCTGTCGAGTGGGCTGCGAAGTGATTTCACCGCCAAAGCCGGGGCCGAGGGAGCTGCTCGCGACGGGAGGGCGAGGATGACTGCTACAGGACTGCTCTATGCAACGCGGCAAGGCAAAGGGGCAGAACGTGAATGTGCGAGTGGACTGTGGGAGCGTGCAGGGCTGTGGTGGGAGTTGGAGGCTGATGTTGCGAAGCTGGTGTTTGAGGACAGGATCGGTTGCCGCTTAGGGCTTGGCGGAATGTGCTCTCAAAGCCGTGCCTAGGTGCTCACGAAGCTCGTGCTCTGCCACGCGCGGCGGATATATCGACAACTGTGATGGAGTGCGACAAGAGGCAACAGAGCAGGTGCTGAAGGCCACAATCTGTTCACCACTTTCTTGGGCGCCAGGCGTTTCAGCGGCGGTGACAAGCCTTTCACGCTAATCTGCCATCGCGCTAAGCCCAGGGTCAGTAATAAGAATTGTAGCCCAGCTATTACAAAGGTATCCATGCAATGTCTATTCTATTTTCTGCTCTGCTCCAGACCGTCCGATTAGCTACATCCAACAGTAGTAGAGAGTTCAACACAACTCCGGCGGCGATGTGGAGAACACTTCTTGATAGTATCTGATTCTGGTCTAACTAGTTGGCCGGCATACGGATCCATAGGGCGTTCCATGGAGCTGCCATTCCCTTAGGCACCAATCTAAGCCCAAAGCTCCAAGCACTAATTCGAACTTCGCGTCTGGTTTCCTTCACTGGTGACATGCCACAGGAGACAATTCATCCTCAAAAAGCAACTACTCACCGGACATAATGTTTTTGAAAAAGCCTGAAATAATTCGCTAGTTTCATCCTATGGGTCGAAAATGTTAGTCACGTGTCTTGCCATTCACTTCATCTCCCCTGGATTACATAATAAGACTGCTGGACAAATTTGCAGGAAACAAGGTTTGAAAATGGACACAAGACAGTTCGTATTGATGCACATCTACCTATCCCATCCGTTCTCCTTCGCCGATTATGCAGTGACCCGACAACGCCACCACCCGCTCTCTTACCCGCTAGGTCCTCCCATTCAATTTACCCGCTCGAAATCTTCACTCCAAAAGCAAAAGGCCGTTCGTGATCCACCCATCCCGGGCATTACCGCCGATAACGCCATGAATATAATACAGTAAAAGGTGAATGGAGAAGACAAACAGTACATGCGGAATGCAATATCGATGTTCAAGCACCGAAGGAAATGCAAGCACAACCGTCCTTTTAGGGGAAGAATGCCGCCAATGGAAGAAGTGGAAAGCCTAGAGATACAGCGAGCGTGAGGTCAATGCACCCATGTCTTGAACCCTAAAATGCCCCAACGCCATGCGAGAGAGAATCTACCAAAAGCAGACGACCAGAACTACCAAAACGTAGAAACAAAAATCGAGTAGGAATATTGATCAATACACACAACAAGCCGCAAAGCAGCGAGGCGTGTCATTTTAAGAGGAGAAATTGAAAGCAGGGGTATCGCAAAAATCACTAGATTAAAGGTAGAATAGAGAGTGATCTCTCATCCAAGTGTTCGGCCTCCCGAAACGATTCCTTGGCTAGGGGTTCGGGGCATCGTAGGTCTAATGGAAGGAGAGCTATAGTCGCGCTCGGAGAATGGAGTGACTGGTTTAGTGTCCCAGGACTCGTCACCTAACGCACTTAGCCAGGTGTTACCGAAATCATGGCGCAGAGCCTCAATCTTCTTCTTATACAGATCACTACTGACGTCGAAGTCAGGAGGACTTGTGGCAAGCTGCGGAGAAGTTTGTGATGGCAGTGCAGTATCAATGAATGGTAATTTCTGCTGCCCTAGCTGTAGTGGTTGGGTGGGGCTTGGCTCATGAGAGATGGGCTTCTTGGAAGGATCCCCCGCTGCGTTCTTCTTCGGAGGTTCCTCGAAGTGGGGAACACCTTCGACCTCTGCATCGGTTAGAGGCATGGGGTCTACGGATCGGAGAGTTTCGGGCGAGTAGGCAGGAGGAGCTGGAAGCGGAGTGACCGGCGGGTTGTATGATTGCTGTCCAGCTTCATGCTGGGAGAGTTCAACGATTCTTCGTTTGGGTCCTCTCTTTCGCCGTTGAGATCCGGTATGTCCGCTCTTGGAACGATGGTGAGAGCTGGTCCGTTGAAGTGATTCTATGGGAGCAGATTTACCATCAACAGCGGGTGTAACCTTGGATGGGACAGGGGGGGGAGGCTTCTCATCTTCGGGAGGTGGTCTCACTACCGGGACTCCGGGAAGTTCAGGCGCTCGGTCCACGAGCTGTTTCCGCTCGCTGTGATTTGGCCCAGTAGAATCGATCACGATGTCTTCCGAATAGCCAGGTGTCTTGCGGAATAGGTTGAATATTGTCACCCGATAGTTGCTGTATGATTTGCAAAACGGATTGCGATGAACGTAAATCTCGGTCATGTCTGGCACGCCGGTGAGCCGTGCAATCTCCATGGGGTCTGTCAGCTTGTTGTCCCTCAAATCGACCCTCTCCATGGAAAGGAGTCGCTCAATGCCCGCTAGAGACGTGAGGCGATTCGAGCGGAGATTCAGCGTTGTGATCGCGGGCAAGGGGTTGCGACCCAAAGAGTGCAGGCTCTCAATCATGCAATTGGAGAGATTGAGTGCTCGAAGGCAGGTTAGGGTCGCCAAACTGTCTGGAATCTCAGTGAAGAGATTTGCAGAGATATCGAGGGATTGCAGCGTGTTAGCTAGGGGAGCAAGGCTGGTGGCTGAGATATTTGTGAGAGCGTTGTCAGCCAGGCTCAGATGTCTGAGGAATCTCCATTTATTCGCGGGGAACCATCCTAGCGACAAAAGGTTTGAGGAGCTGCCGCGCGGGGTGGTAGACCGCACGCTTGACCCGGAGCTTCCAGAAGACCTGCGAATGTTAGGGGTAGAGCTCCTTCCATAAACATGCGTGGTGCCATGGCGCGAGCTTGGCGGTCGCGTGGGAGATGTGCTTCGCTGGCGGTGACGAGTAAGGGCCTTTGGGCTCGAGGAAGACTTGTCCGCTGCTGCTGGAGAGGATGGCGGGGACTCCGACCGGGCAATCTGGGCATTCTTCGTGGCCGGGCTGCCAGCGGGCCAAGGGACAGTGGGGGATGGTGGTGCTTTGGCGGAGCGCCTGCGCCGCTTGTCAATGTCATCCAAAACGATATTAATCAGGAGGTCTGCAGGGTCGTCGACGCCGGCGCGCTTGACTGTGAGGCTGCGTAGGTTCTCGGCCAGCCGGTCCCAGCCGTAGAATTGGCGAAAGTCTACGTCGTAGATCTCAAGAGCAGTGAGGTTCTTGAACGCAAACAGAGGCACAGCACTGTCAAACGGAAACTCTTCGTAGCCTGCGATGAGGCGGGCTTTGTGGTCTGGAGCGAGTCTCAGGCAGGGTATCTTGGTGAAGGCAGAGAAGAGGTATGTCAAGTCTTCCTGGATGGCTGCTTTCTGCCTTTCGGCCCTAGCTGCACTGTTGGACGACCAACCAAGAGACGACCACAGCGACGACATGCCTGACATCACGCTGCGAATGCTAGAGACTGAGTGCATCGAGTCCCGGTCTGAAGCCCCTCTTCGCTTGTTCCGCTGCGCCTGGCTAAGAAACGACACGTAGTTGGTTGGAGACGCATCCGTGTGTATATTTTCCAAGCGCACATTCATCGGACCTACTGGTATGCCGAGTTCTTCAAAACGTGATAGGAGGTAGAAGAGGTGGTGCGGAGTGAGGGTCATCTTCACAGGCTTGATGCTGGGAGAGGTGAATGTGAGAGAGGGGAGAGACAGGGCCGCGGCCCACACGCTCGAGGTCGAGGACGTCGGAAGACTTGACGCTCCCGTCGGTGAAGACGGAGGGGGTGCGGAGCCTTGGCCATGCTTTGGCGCTTGACGCTGAAGCTGGAGGGCATTTGCGAGTGCTTTCTCATGAGTCCGTACAAAGTACGCCAAGTTCTACACCACGTCAGTACACTGAGACCAGCCACGTTGCCATTGACCGAGTAGCCATCTACGCAGTCTTGTAGTTCTGTGAAACCCATCCCCCAAAGCTTGAACTGTCGTACCTTTATGAAGACTTGTCCATCCTCAGTGTCCATGGTTTAGTGTTGGTCAACAACAAACGCATGTAGGGCTTCGGAGGGGAGTATATGAGGACTCGTTCGAGAGAGCGGGAGAGATCGGAGACGTTGCCAGAGGAGGGATCACGACTGGAGCTTGTTACTCCTCCGTAGCGTGGTGGTGATTGTGGGGTTGCGTGAAGGGGCCTTCGCCGTAAGCCACGACCACCTAGGGAACCTTCAGTCAGCACACTGTCGATGAGTCCGCATTCAAATCACCGGCAGGCATAATGGGGGAACGAGGATGATGGTGAGGGTCTCATGCAGGGCTTGGCGGGCGTCGGGAGGTGTTGAGGTAGTACACACGTACCGTGAGAGATCCTCCTGCTGCCCTTGGTGAAGGACCAAGGTGACGGGCAAAAGAAGCGGGAAGCCCAGAATAATATGCAGCAGCGGCGCAGGGAGAGGAGTCCAGTGGAGGCGGCAAACAGTACGGATTCAGCAGGCCAAGCGAAGGACGTCGCGATGGGCCAAGGAGAGGTGCAGGCGGGTGCAGCGATTCAGATAGCCAGCCCCAGGAGGAGGATGCAGGCCGCGAATAATAGCCACGGACGCACACAAGGCAGGCGAAGGGCGAAAAATGAAAGACGACGCTGCTGGGCGCGCGCAGTGGGCGTGTCAACAACAACAGAAGAACGGGCTCAGGCTGGTGGGGAGGCCGGCCTCGAGAAATTAGATGTCCTTTCTGAGCAGCGGGCAGCCGACGACGGCGTCTCTTAGGCGGTACGGGAGCAGGCGGGGCTTAACGTGCACTGTGAAGGGCTTCCCGCTCTCGCGCTGATGGCGAGCAGAGCAGACGATGGCACCGTGAAGACGGGCGGACGCGGTGAGGGCGAAGAGATTGCTCGATGCAAGAGCAGGCCACTGGAGAGCAGCAGTAGCAGCAAGCAACAAGCAGCGAGCAGGAGAGCATGTCCATCCACGATAATCCGAACACTCCCAAGTGAGCGCGCAGATCATGTGCACCAATCACACGCCGCAGCTGGCCTGTCTACCTTGCTGCAAAACCCGCTTCGGCGCGCTAAGGTCGACGCCATCCGCCTCCCTGCACCCTGTGGAATGAATCTGACCCCCGGGGTGCCAGAAAATCTACACTTCTCTCGAGTATCTTTGCCCTCTCCGCCTGGAGATCACAAGCACCGGCCTTGGCCGGAGCCCATTCACCGGCCGTTGCTGCCCACCACAGCCCACCACCGCCCGTTCCTGCCAGCCTGAAGGCGCAACCAGCAGTGTTACTTTCTCTATGGCGCTGTCGCAAAGTGTGCTGAGACTGACAAGGCCCATGTCGTCGCAAATCCCACACGTCGTGATAGGCATCCCGTTTGGCGATGGTTCGTTCCAAACATCCCTGCACGAAGATGTGGGAGGGCTTGGCCAGCACTCACGCTAGTGGGCATCAAATTTGGCTCACCCGCTTCGGCCAATGTGGAACGTGGACATCGCGACCACCGCCGACCTGACGCAATACTGCTGCAGGAGGATGCCAGAGAATATGCGAAGAGCCTTTCAGGTGGCCGGCGATTTGACGAGCTCGCGGAGCGGTGGACGTCTAGAGACGTTCGAATTCTGCGACGGAAGAAATCGCATTCTCAGATAGAGGCATCTATTCATGTCACACCAATCGCCTGTGGCGTCACATGAGAGATGTCCTTCAGCGTCCTCTCGCGGCGAGCCATCTCTCACTGGACCCTGACCCGCGCTTACCGGAGACCCTATGCGCACCGCATTCAGACCCTGATGTCCAGGCATGGTGCGATGTGCTCATCTGACCACCAGAGGAGAAAAACGGAGAAAGAACGTGTGAGATTGTTCGCCGCACTTGAACGACAGAGGCATGGCATGCGGCTATCGCGGGGCTACTCGCTGCAGGATTCAATATGAGGTGTGGCACAAAGCTTTGAACGGCTGAACCACCACGATCTTCCTCCGCTAACGGAGCAAACACGGACGGCCCTTCGCTGACGGTGCTCACGCGGGCCGAGGGACTTTGCCAGGGCCTGGACGCCCGTTTGCTAGTGGTGAGCGTGTCATGCGAGATGACATGCTCGCAACTTATCGCGGATATCAATCGCAATGTCGAGCTAGGCGGCCACTGCGGAGACAAGGACATTGCATTGGAGGTGACGGTGCGCGCCGGAGCGATTGATAAACCACGGGCGGTTGTGCGATTCTTGAATGTCAATTGGGGAATCTGACAGTGCAGTTTTATGTACGACATTCACGATATAAAAAATTCACCCCACTTACCTGTTACGAGACAGCTTGGAGCCATTGGCCGGAGCAATTGGCCGATACCATCCCTGGCGCGGGCGGTGAAGAAACAGCCGAACAGAGACCGACCCAACCCGCCTTTGGCCCCGCAACACCATGCCTCTCTATCGTGACCTTGCCAGAGCTCTGGAGTCCAACTGCACTTGGCATCGCCCATCATGTGCCGCCCGAGTGAGATGACGCCGCTCGCCGTCGATTGCGACACCCTCGCCAGCACACACTCACCCACCCCTCTGGATACCTTCAAGTCTGCGTCGGTTGTCTCAGGGTCTAGGCCCATCCATCGCCGCCGCAACAATATCTCCGTGTCTGCATCTCGCTGCTCTGCCAAAAGTTTCATGCTCTGTAAGAGACGGCTGCAGCATGCTCTGCAATCGGTCTCACCGCTACATTGGGTGCGTGTTCAGAGAGCGATGTCCGGCCTGTGGGGTTTCGTGTTTGAGATGAAGGAAGCTTGGTATGAGGCTTAGGTGTTCGCGCGCACTGTGCAGCATCTTGTCAAACGGGAGCTGGCTGGTGCGCAAGCAGCATCATCCCTGCTTGTCGGTTGCTTTCCTCGCCGTGGCTTTTCGGCAGCCGAATACGAGCTGCTCACAGACCCCCCGGCCCAACGACTTCGGATGTTAAACATCTTGAGCTCCGGTCCCTGCTCAATCTATCCCTGACATCTGTATAGCATCATTGCAGCTTTGTCTATTTTCAATATCTCGAGGCGAGTCGCTTCTACCCACGGATGCGTCGATCGTGCGAGGGTTGGATGATCCGCAGGTCCCTGCAGCGCCGCACTTGAGAGTTAAGGATAGATGCCTACATCTGGTGTGTCCTAGACTCCACTAGGATTCTTCCTTCATCCTCCCCTCAAGGCCAGCATTTGAAGTTATAGTGATAAGTACGGAGTACATCTCCCTGAAATGTGTCCATAAGCGCCGCAACATCGACGTTTCTCTACCCTTATTCTCTGTCTAACAATGCCTTCCCCCTAGTCCCTCACTGGGACAGTCTTCCAATTTCGCAGGCCAAACTCTCACCATCTTCTTCAGAGTCTCCAAACTAAACTCCCAATCTCTAAGTTTGCTAGCTTCGCATTGCCTTCGAATGCACCGCACCTAGTTAACTCGGCCTCCTTTCGGCACCTATTGATAGCCACTCTCTTCCACGGCCGACGCCAAGCCCTCCAAGCTGCGCTGGCATATGCAGCGGCTCTTGATCGACACCAGAGGATATACGATATTCCTCTAACAGACCACTCATAGCCCTAACTTAAGCCATGTACTTTTCTTAAGTCTCGTCTCGGCTTGACCTTCGCTAGATCCACCAGTCAGGGCCATTTTGTTCTCGCACCGACTTAGATTCGACCTCAAAACTTACCTTTTGCCATTGCAAATTCTCACCCCGGTTTTCGTCTCGTTCTAATGGCCTCCACGGCGCAATATCTTCAGGAGTCTTCATTGAGAAGGAAGTATTGACGTCGATCTTACCATAACAAGCATTGAAATAACGCCGAAACTTGACCACGTACTGCCCGCCGAGTCGCAGGCTATTCCATGTCTGCGAAGAAAATGTGGAAAGTGTCGCACTCCATCGGAGGGTCTTTAGAGGTGCCACGCACACAACATCACGAGCAGGTGCTGGCCTTCCCTTTCGGAAGAAGTAGCGAGGCATATTTAAAGCGTTGTTATTAGTTGGTATCTTTGGAATTGAATTTTAACTTTAGAATATATTACTATAGTGAGGCGGAATGCTTGATGAGCGGGATGTTGAGGGGTTTGATGAACCTTTAACAGGTATATTTTACAATTTGTTCATATCGAATTATCTTTTATTATGAAGTTCGCTATCTGGTGTAATTTTTCTTATTCTGGAAAATACGCTGGTTCCTCGATAGATCATAGGAATAGAAACCCTCGGCTTTAGACTGAATTACGAACCGATGCACGACAAGAAAGCGAAGAGTCACCTTGCAACGCAATCTCTCAAGATGACGGGGATAACCGGATGTCCCCCTCCTGTCGAGAAGACCCATGTATAGCATCATGTCTAGGGATCCTCATCCCCTGTGTCAGAGATCTCTACATCAGCAGGATTTGGGACTTAGCGCCAGCTCTATCTATCACGGGGAGGGAGACGGCTGATGGGGATAGAACGTCTGCGTTAACCACGTCGTCAAAAATCTCTGGATTTGGCGCATATGAGTCTTAGGGCTCTGTATCCGAGATTGTACTACCCGCAGGTGAGGGGCTGGTGAGCTTGTCGGATTGGTTGCTCGTCTCGTTCGCTAGTGCCCGCCATCGTTGCCCTTAGGGCGTTGGAACTCACATCTTGAACCCTCAGACAGCTTTAAGTCTCTCGTCCGTACTCACGATATTGAGGGAGGGTAACAATTGACGTGTGTGGGAATCGGTATGAGAATTTCCGAAGCGAATGAGAATCTATATCGCTTTCAGTTTTCTCAACCGCCCATGCAACAGTCGTACGTATACTTGCCGCGTGCCCAACAATATTTCTTCCTCTCATTTCACTTCCCCTCCATTGAAGCATAACTTTTTTCGCCTGCGTTTTCCATCGCCATGATTTTTGATGTTGCCTCACTAAGACCTCTGATGCCTCTTAAACAAGCTCCTGAAGACATTGATCCTAGGCGAGGCCTTGAAGACGGCGACTCTGATTGTCCGCCTGCGAGCAAGCGCTACCGGTTACTGTTGCAAACTTGGACCAGCTCGCCGACGTCTCTCACTCAAGCCGCACTTCATTGTAGCCAAGGACTGTGACGTCTCTCCAATGATTCCTTGACGACTTTGTTGTGCGCCTACGAGCCATCGCTATCGGCTACGCTCGCCAACTTCCTCGCCAATTCCTTCGCGCATTGACGAGCAGCGCTCCACCGTCTACGAATAAGCAGTCTGAAAATTAGTGGCTGAGGAGTACTCTAGCGAAGTCTTCCAGCCATGAAACGCCCGCAGTCTATAACGAGCCTAACGTACCAGCCCATATCGCTAGCATTCATCCACCAAATGGCGCAATCACAAGGTTAGAGTCTTAAGAGGGGCTCAAATGCGTTGGCGCAGAGCCCAAGGCTTAGATCGTCACACCCCGTCTATCGTTCGCTCCTCTTGAACAATAGCATCCGCATGGATCGTATGGGAAAAGTGAGGTCATTACAGATATCCCGCTGGTTAAAAGTCCGACTGGATGCGGAAACGAAACACTGTTGTGGGTCGCCCCTTTTCTTGCCCATACACCCCACTAGCTAGAGGGGACAAGTTCCCATTTCTTGCGCTTGAGTTAAAGTCAGAAATCACCGGCGGTATTCTGTGGCATGCGGAGAACTAGGCGGCAGGTAATAGTTCGTACTGCGTGTACACAATGCGATAGCTGCTTAAACCAGCATTCCATACCCAGACCATCCTCTCCACCGACTGCGTAGCTTTCACAAGACGTATCACACACAAGAACTTTCTATTCTATATACGCTACTACCTGGAGGGTGATCACTACTTCCACATGTCCTACCTTCGGAGATTCTCAACGATAGGTTCAGTAGACACCCAAAGCCTACCAGCGCTGTCCGCGTTACACAACAACAGCCAAAAAAACAAGTCAGCGGTGTAGGATTAGGCATGCACCAACTCCCGTGCCATGGGAGCGCCGTACTCTCCTATCTCCCCCAGAGTATAGGGCCTTCCATTGCTCTCCGCTAGTGTGTCCCGTGTCGTCCTACAGCTTTCTTACTCAGTTGTTGTCAAAGAGGCTTGCGGCGAAATGAACCAACTAGTCCTTAACACCGAGCGCGCTATCTACAAGCGCCTAACCCTCACCCACTCATCACCATGTTGCTCCATGTACATGGGGATATGCCTGTACTCGAACGCCTTTAGTACTCTCTACGTAAGAGGCTTTGGGATCTCTACGCCGCCACAAGTGTTCCACTATGTGAGGATATCTTACGCTAGGCCCTTTCAGCCTACAGAGACCTTCCTCGCGTTCGATCATGCAACACACTGCAAGTGGATGCAGGCACACATAATGCGCTGCTTGACTGGGACAAGAGCCTACAGATATGTGACTTTGCTGGGTCATCAATTGATGCATCTGTCCCAACTGTGCACCCAGCTGTTCATTCCCACCACCGAACCTTCCTATAAAGGCGCCTTCAACTCAGTCTGAGATATTTGCGCTTGGCGTTATGCCCCATGCGGTAAAGACTACGTAGCAGCTATACCACGACAAGCCTGACTGAGGTTATAAAGTTGTACCGCGCAAACGAATTCCCGGCTACAAGTGCGCCAGTACTTGAGGAGGTGGTTACAAGGTGCTACAGATCGGAGCACAAGGATTTTCAGCAAGTGATGGAACACTATACCATATGTTCAGAAGGGCAAGATCCAAACATCGAAGAAGAAGTAAGTCATCAAGCCGGCGCCCCACTGTTATCGTTATCTTCCCAGTCTATTAAGTCCACGTAGTGTACAGAATAAGTCTTGTTGATCGAGTAGGTCCACCCAAAGATCCTCGCGTTACCCTCAAGGTCGTAATCCGCTCAATCTAGAGAGGTCGCAACGCGAGCAGTATGGTTTGGAGGAAGATATACTAGCCGGTATAAAGTCCGTAAAGCAACGCGACGGAGGATTGGAAGCAGGTAGTCGCGAAGCAGCGATCCTTCTCAGAACATCTGCACTAGCTATGTATACCGAACTGTAGAGATACTGGGAGAATTGGTTGTGCTAAGAATGGAGGGCAAAGGAATGGAGAGTAATGACTGTTTAATATCACCTAAGGTTGTCGACTAATATATTCCTGTTTTATACTACTATATACTCTTAATCTTAGAGTCTAGTACTCTAATTAAGGTTATTAGCACCTCTATTATCGAGTAGTAGCCTTTTTGGCAGAGAAAATAAATCTATAGGAAAGCAAGGACGGGGCAACGACGTTAATCTAGGTTTTTTCGAGATTGTGTATAGCATTCAATGTTGTGAGTAGACAAATCATAGGAAACACATAAGAGCCTAGTTGAATTATGATTGAGGAAAGACCTACGATTTTGTTATCGACGGTTTAACTCATTGGTAGGAGACAAAACTATATTCGCAGGCATGGTGCAAATGCGATGCCGCCTCCTCACCTTATCCCCCTAATTCCCGCAAACACCCTCTCCATCTCCCCCGTGATCCCATTTAACCAATCCACACTCGCATTGCTCGCAAACACGAACACCATCCTCACCACCACCTTCCCCTCGTCCTTGATCACGTACGCACCTCTCTTCCCCATATCCCTCTCACAACCCACCAGCTCACACCCCAACAATACCCTAATATTCCGACAGATTTCCTCTGTTGTAGGATTCCCATATGCGGGGTTGTACCCGCTCCCGCCCACCCCGGAGAACATTGAGCCAAGCGGCAGTCCTGAGGGGTTGTAGGTGGATGGGGATTGAACTGGGGAGGGTATAAACGAGGGATCGCGGTTCATCCACTTCGGTGTCTCGTGTGCGTAGCATAGGGAAGTGTTCGCATTGGGTGCGAGGTAGATACCTCTTCCCATTGCGCGGCCATTACTCTGGTACCGCGTACCGCTCATATTCTTTAATCCTTTCGCTAGGATGTTAGGGAGGCGGCTAGGATGCGTGCCATGGAAGACAGCTTTCGAAGGGCGTTTGGAGCGGTGTAAGTGATATGCGAAGAGCGCTTCTTTGTTACCGGGTTGGCGGGTGACGATGAAGGTTTTCACGCCCATATTTTCGAGGGTAGGGATACGGAGGGTGAGTGGAGAGGAGGCGGTTATGGAGCACAGATTGGCCATTTGGGATGTTAGCAGCCATGTTAGCAGTTGCTTTTGTCGTTCCTCCAGTTCACTCAACAATGTGTTTTCGGTGACACTGTGTGTGAAGGTGTTTGTTGAATTCCCTTTCCGCTTCGACGCTATCGCAGCCATTGAGGGCAGCGAATCCACAATCTGCTTGACCTGGGCCTCTGGAAACGGACACCCTGGCAGTAGATTGAGAGTGTTCTTGCTATACTGATTGGAGGAAATTATGCACGTGAGCAACAAGTCGACGACGTGTGGATCCGTAACAATCAAATTTATCCCATCGGAAAGCATGGATCGCTGCATGATCATCGAACATGTTGCCTGACATGCTGCGTTGATGAGTTCGCGTAAGGTCCTTGGGTGTTCGCGGTTTATGCTGTAACGTCGAAGAAATTTCTGGTAGCCAGATATCGGAGCCGCAGGTTGTGCTGGAGTAGGGAGCGAGAGTGTGGATGTTAAGGTATTATCATCCTTGTTTTTCGAGTCTTCGGTGGAAGAAAGTTTCATGGGGGAGATGTCTATCTTAACGGCGCTGTCAATGCGAGCGTGGTCTGGATGTTTAGCTGGGAGATGCGGCAGGCTGAGCCGAAGCGTCATGCTGAACAGCAGGGCACTCTTCAGACATCAGCAGAGGGTGATTGTGATAGACAGAATCGCCGAGGTGTCTCAAGTGCCTTAGAACGGATTGTAGCTTGGGGAACGGAGCTTGTTGAGTAAAAAAGATCCAAGGTTGGAAATCCTCGAGCGCACCTCCGTCACTGTGGTAAGTTGAAGTGAACTAAGCGTTAGGCAGGCTGTGAGGGCATCACCACTGAACCAAAGCGCTAGAAATAAACCACAAGCAACGAATTGAAGGAACGTGAAATTGACAGGAGAATGAAGTGATCAAAGGGGTTCCACAAGAAGAGAAAAGTCTCGAAGAAAGGGTGACCCACGCCAGCCAGGCAGCCAAATGGAAACCTCCACATATCTGCGAACTTGGCAAAAAGCTGAGATCCGAATCGCTAAAACACGAGGTAGGCAATACTTATCTTCAGGCAGTGAATCGTACAGGAGAACGCAATTGCGCAACAACATTGGTCGTATGGAGCTTCTCCTTATCCCGATAATGTGGGAGGACCGGTCTGCACATCGCGGTGAATGGGAAATGTGCCGGAGAACACAGGCTGAAGCGATTGCGGAGAGTTTCATCGAATGAGAAGAGGAAAGGCGCAGATGCAGGCAGACTTTTGAGTTCAGCCTTCGGTACGGGAGAGGCTGTGCTACCTGTGGCGGACACATTGAAGTTGAAGACTTATTAGAAACGATATAGGAGAAATTGACCATGTGAGTGCGCCTCGAAGCTTCAGAAGGGCGATGCGATATTACAAGATTATCTATCAGAGTGTTAGCGGCCTCTGCACGAGAGAGGTGTATGAAAGTGGTCGGGAGTCACTTCTACGTCTTGCTTTAAGCTGCATCTTCCCTGTCTAGCCACAATTGGAAACACAACTGTAAACACATCAGAGCCAATAGGTCTACATTGGCTCTACCTAGATTTTACAAGCAAAAATCCCGAAACCACTCATGCAAGCACTACCCACCAGATTTGCCCTATCCCCAAATGCCCGAAAACACCTCGCTGCACATGTGCCATGCTACTAATACAGGAAAAGCCAAGAAATTTTTTGAAGATAGGAAAGAAAGGAAGTTCTCTCTCCATCTCCATCACATATTAAACACTCCAAACCTTCCCAGCACCCTTTTACTCGTCCAAGCTCCAAGTGCCACCGACGGCTCCTATCGTATATTTTGGTCGGTTGGTTGACCGACAGGGTCGTAGGGATGGGAAAGGGTGACAGAATCCGATTAAATAACCACATAAAAGCGCACCGAGGAGGGGCTACGCTCGGGTATAAGGTTGCAGAATGGTGTATTAAGCCGCCCGTTACCTGCGCGAGGCGCTTACACGCAGTGGAACTGAAATTCATGCAGTAACATATGCTCCAGAAGGAAATCCAATGCCTGGATGACAAGGTGGATGCCGAACGTAGTTGGGCGGGATGCAGGTACTTTTTACAGCGAAACCAAAAGGAAGCAGAGATGACTAAGTCTCTGTTTTAGCTGGAAGGAAAGATGCTGTGTAGGCATGCTTTTGACGATTAGGGTGGAGGGTAAGAGACAGAAATTCGAGAGCACATTGGAGAAGGGTCATTGTGGATCAGGCAGGAATGGTCGTAGGACGAGGGCGAGGAAGTCGTAACAGGTAACCGAATTGTTTGCTTTTCCGAATCTGTACAACGCCGAAGTATTCGCTAGGTCAGTTTAGCTCTGGAGTTGAGGGCCGCCCGAAGTCAGAGCGAACAAGCGGTCGTTGACAGCGGCTCCTTTGGGTATGTCCCTTACTCTAAAAAGCCACTTGGGAAGAATCGAGGAAAATCTTTCTTCTCGCAAAGACAGATTTCACAATTTATTTGATGTCCCAGGCTTCAGTACATCCCTCGACTAGCTTGACTTGCCCTACTAGGTGACGTCCGACTCCTCTCATCTTCCTCGGGAACATCGCTCAGCCTTGTGGGATGGTGGTGTCTCATGCCTGGCCACTCGTTGCCGTATCCTGCACCACTGTAGTCGGGAGGGTTGAGGGTGGAGGTCTGAGTATAAGGTTGTTCGGCACCGGAGGCAGTTGCGTAGCCGCTCGGGCCTACGGCTGCTGTTCCGTACCGTTGCAGATGCTCTAGCTCGCGACGGCGGTCTTCCTGGACATCATACTCATCTGAATCGCGTTCGCGCAGGGCTCGATACGGGACACGGTGACCAGCGTCATCAAGGATGAAGTTCCCGTAGTCATCGATAGCGTACTCTTCATCGGCCTCAGAAGTTTCCCCGCCATGCGATGTTACATAGGACCTCTCATCCTCTGGGATACTCACGGGGGTTTCTCCATGAAGATATGTCTCTGGTTGCTGATAGAATGCCTCTGGACGTGACGTGGTTGGCTGAACGGTGGGGTGTTGAGCGTTGGTAGTATGGTGTCGAGGATGCAATGGAGCTGGCACTTGAGGTGGTTCCGACGCTTGAGAATGAGTAGAGCTAGGGGGACGGGCAGTTGAAGCACCTGTGGGAACGTATGTCCCTTGGGAAAGAGTTGGAACATCAGGCTCGTGTCGAAGAGTCGCGCCGTGGCGTGCTGCTTCAGTGAAAGGATCAGTGTCGGTTGGCGATTGGCCTTCTTCGTATGAGTAGTGTTGCTCAATTCTTGGACCACCTGACGGACCCGCACCCGCTCCGAAGGCTTCCCCACCTCCTTGTGGTTGGTGAGATACACTTCCATGCCTGCCAACCCCCTGCGCCATTGGTACAACCTGTACGCCGCCTACTAGAGTTGGTTGACCTTCTCGCAGGGAGAATGTACGATCGCGCTCTTCTTGCTCTCGTCTCCCGAGCTCTTCCCATGCTCTGCGTGCCTCCTCTTTTGATATTTGTAGTTCCCGTTTCATCTCACCAACCATTCGTTCTGCATTCTTCTTTTCCTGGGCCAGGCGATCCATATTAGCCGCAGCATCTGCTCGCGCTTCGCGCTCAACTCTCAGAGTGTGCTCTAGTTGAGCTTCCCTCTCTTGAGCTCGCTCTTGTTCTTGCCGGTGCTCATAAAACCACCTCTGGAATTTGCGCTCTGACGACGCCCGAAGACGTTGCAGCTCTACCACAGCGTGAAATAGATTGGCCCCAGCTGCTGACAAGTCTGTTATCTGGCGTGACATTTGCTGAGCTAGGGGTTCTCGGCGGACCTCATCTGTATTCTGCTCCAGCCGCCGTATCCAATACGATGTTAGGCCTTCCCAATGTGACGACAGAGTCTCCCATCGCTCGAATGCGTGTGGAAACGTCGAGGTGGTAGATTGGCGAGGCTGACTCCCGGACGGACCAGCTGCAGATGATTGAGGTGGTGGTGGGGGAGGGGGGGCTGCGGATGGACCAGGTCGAGCCTGTGAAGGTCCAGCAGGAGCAGAGGGGTGTCTCAAGTGCTGTGAAGTCGATGGCCGTCGAGAGTCGCTTGGGCCGGCTTGGTACGGTGGAGCAGGGCGAGGTTGCTGCTGTGCCTGTGAGCTTGCCCTCGGCCTACCATGGTGGGCACCTGACGATGTGTCTTGAGCTTGTGGAGGGACGGGAGGGTTTATCGGCGCAGTTGAGGTGGGCACTACTCGCTCGGGCTGCCTTGGGACTCCACTCCCTGCAGGTGGATATGTTGCATACGGTGCCTCGCTCGGTCTTGAGGGAGCGGGCTGGGGCTGCCGTTGCGCTCCCGGGTCTATTGCGCTCGTCGTTGGTGCGCCAGCAACGCCAGCAGCGTCGGCCCGTCGCGCCGCGCTTCTTCTCCGCTGATCCTCTTCAGCCTTCCGTTGCTCTTCTGCTGCACGGGCAGCGTCCGCTTCAGTCTGTTGCCGGCGGGCCTCGCGCTCACGCCGCTGATTCATGATCATGCGGGGCGTTTGAATATTGGAGCGATCCGACTGCGGCACAGGCACAGGCCCGACTGCTGCGCGGGCACCGCCGTTGGCAGCGCGGCCATTACCGCCGCCGCCGCCGCCGGCAGTCAGATCTGCCATGGACGCGTTCTCTTCCGCCAGGTCGGGGGTGAAGGGGAATGGCGTGCGGATGGCTTCCTCGAGGACGAAGTGGATTGCCGAAGCGGTGCCGCGCGAGATGCGGAGGGCAGGATGGGGCGCAAAAAGGTCGGAACCCCGCGATTGAGAGGCTGCGCGCGGACGGCGACTCGATTGTTCGGCGGATGGGGCGGTGTCGGCGAAGCGGACGGCGCGTGTGGGTTGAGGTGGTTGAGGCTGCGCCGAGTCAATGGACGAAGCTCTTGGCCGTGCTCGTGGATCTTCAAAATTTGGCGTGCGCCGGAGGCTGTACGCAACGCTGCCCGAAGAACTCGACACCCGCGAATAATTGTGCTGTGCCCGATAATAGTCCGCAGCCTGCTGCTGGCGTTGCTGCAATGAGGTCGTATATGGTTCGTTAACGTGTCGGCCGTGGGTCTCGTCAGGGTCGATGGGCGCCGGAGAGGGCAACAGATTGCTGAGCTCTGGGGGGCCCGAGGACGTCAACGTGACTCCCGCACCGGGCCCGGGAGCGAGCTACGACGAGGTGATGGAAAAGCCCACCGGCGATGAGTGAGAGCGAGACTCGCCTGCGGTGGAGGAGAGGAGGGTGAAGGCAGTGCTCGAGGGAGGGTGGGCGGTACTGGGACTAGCGGGGAGGCTCAAGGAATGCTGCAATGCCTAGGGGATTTGCTGTTAGATAGAGCAATATGGCAAGGGGAGTGAGCCATTGTCACTCAGCGCGAAAGGAGTTGGGACGCTCGTGGGAGGTTGGGGAGAGGCTGGGTGCGTTGCCAAATTCGGGGGCTGGGAGATGTCAATACTCACGCCAACAACAGGAACTCCAGCACCACTCAGACTGGGCATTCCTAGCCGGCCGAGGGAAGCATAAAACGTGTGTCTGCGGCTGCGCTCGTGGATCTGCGCAATTCGCCGCCGCCGCCGTGCGCTGCCCAGTTGTGGTGTTTGTTGTCGCGACAGGGTGACGGGGTGACGATGCCGCGAGACGTCACCGCTGGCCCCGGTCTCCAGCCACAGCAGGCTGTGCGAACTTCGTTGAAACGCGTTGACGAGGAGCAGGAGAAGAGGGGAGAGGCAATTGACTGCTGCAGGACATGCTAACGCGTCAGAGAGTCGATTGCCGTCGTCGTTGTCGCGTTTGGTCTGCCTCTGGCCGGCACAGCGAGCAGCCGCCGTTCGCCAAAGCTAAGAAGACGCGCCGATCGATATTCGAAATTCGAGTGTGCAGCGATATGCGCTTGCGAAGTCTGCCGCAGCCGGCTCACCAAGCGATTGAGTCCTGAGGGCATATATGCAACTCGGCTTCCGGTCAAGGGAGAGAGTGGTCAAAAGCCTCCTCGCAACCATTCTCTCACGCATGCCAGCTCATACTGCATGAATCCTTGTCGTCATTTATTAGCCGATCCCAATCCAGGGAAGAGGCGTCCTCGGCCGGGCGCCATCGCGAACCAGGCCTGAGAAGAGGAGCATTCAATAGAAAAAAGACTTGTCAGGAGCATCATTGACGATATCGCGACCGTGTCGAGCTCACGAGGGGCTTTCAGGACTCGAAGCAAGGACGTCCAAGGGCCCTTGTTACTCATCGTTCGAGACAGCCTGCTGGTTGCCCTGGCTCTTCCTCTGCTTCTGCCAATCAGCAGTCGTATCGACACATTGCCTTCAGAGGGGTCGAGACTCCACTAAGGCTGCTGCACAGACAACGGAAACGTGACTTGGCTTTGTTGCCACGAGGATCTGAGATGTCGCTGCCGGAGATACAGTACTGATAAGTCGCGGCACTCAGACTTCCCTGCATCACATCCAATCACGACAGATGGCGGAGGCCGGCGTGGCTGCATGGATTGAGCACTCCAGCCCTAAACTTATACCCTTTTTTATTACGGAAAGAGATGCATAGAACTGACAAGTTGTATTGTAGATTTCACCTAAAGAACGTCATACATCTTTCCATTTTGTAATTTCGCTCACACCAATCACATTATTCACATCTCACAGCAAACCCCTCACAAAACCATTAAACCAGCCACCAAAACCACCATCACACTCAATTTAACTCCAAACTTGCTCCCCGCACCCTCAAATGCGACAGGCGCATACGTGCTATAAGGCACCGCCGATCCCGTGCTGCTTGCAGCTCCAGTTCCACTCGGAACATACTCGCTCGTTCCATTGGATGGTGGGTACGGAACAGCAGAGGAAGGCACTGGCACCTTGGTCAAAGTAACGTACTGATAAACGGTGCTGGTTGCAGTTCCATATTCTGTTGTCGCGCTCTCGGGAACATAGGCAGATTCACTTGGTTTGTATTCCTCAGCGGTTGCGGAAGGGACGTATATAGATTCCTCTGGAGTATACACCGGGCCAGTCGGGTAGACTGCTGGGGTTGGGATGTAAGTATGAGTACGCGTGGAGTACTCGGTCTTGTAGACCACAGGCTTAGTAAGAGTGACGGTCGTAGGTTTGGGTCCGCAGACGTTGCAAACAGTAACCGTAGTGTACCAGCCTTCTGGAACTCCGGTTGGTTTGGCCGTCTCAGGGCAAACCGTGGTAGTGATCGTGGTGACAACGGTTGTAAACCCGGTTGGGCAGATGTCAACGTAGGAGGCTTTGCTCATGTCAGATTAATCCTACTTTATGGATGCAGAAAACTTACTTGTGATCACAGTTACGGTGGTAGTTGGATAAGCCTCGCCGGTGCTGTGGGGTTTGCTCGTAGTATGGTAGCCTTTACCAGTTGAGCTGGGCGCCGTGTAGCCGCCAGTAGCAGAGCTGGACGTGGGATATACAGTGAGAGATGATGAACAAGGCGTAGATGACGAGACTTCAGTTGGGTAGTCGATAGTCGATGGGGTCGAAGAGGGATAGTGAATTGAGGAAGAGTAATTGCCCGAGGTCGTGCAAGGTGTCGAAGAGGCAACCTTAGAAGAAGGCGTGGAAGAGGAAGTGCAAGGAGTCGTGGAATTGGAGTAACTGGATGTTGGGTATGTTGGGTAGACAGATTCGCTCGACGACGTTCCGGATGGGTACACAATGCTGGATGAGGAGGTTCCAGTGGGGTATGCGATGCTGGAAGACGAGCTGGACGTTGCGTTACCTGTTGGGTACAAGGTGGTAGAAGACCAGCTGCTGCTGCTGCTGCTGCTGCTGCTGCTATATACATCGCTGCTGCTAGATGCTGAAGAGCTAGAGATGACGGACGAAGAGCTCAAGCTCGTGGATGTAGGTACGTAAATCGAGGTGCTAGAAGCGGAGGATGATTCGCTCGAGAAAGTAGACGAGCTTGAGCTCGAGATCGTGCTTGATACACTGGAGCTGCTGCTAGAGGCGCCGCCACAATTACCGAAGAGCGGGTTGCAACCGGTACCACAGTAATCCTCAGACGATCCACAGTACCCATACGGGCTGCAGCATTCTCCCATGTGATAACCAATGCAGGTATAGCCGTTAGTAGGGCCGCACGAGCCATCGGGGCTCTTCCCAGTTGGGGTAGGGTATGAGCTGCTGGAAGTAGACGATACAACACTGCTTGTGAGCGAAGCGCTACTTGAAGAGGGCGAGGCGCTGCCGGACGAAGATGACGCGCTGGTGGTTGTAGGATAAGCTGGGCTGCTCGTGGACGATGACTTGCTGCTCGACGAAGATGACGCGCTAGTAGTTGTCGGATAAGCCGGGCTGCTCGTGGACGAAGACTTGCTGCTCGACGAAGAGGACTTGCTGCTTGATGAAGATTTGCTGGTCGTAGTCGAAACTTTAGTGCTTGAGGATGAAGACTTGCGGGTCGAGGTAGAAGAAGCAATAGACGAGCTAGACGTCGAGCTCGGGCAGGCTTCGCTCTTGAATTTACCTGTCAAGATGTCCTTGATCCAAGACGAGTACCCCTTGTTACAGATTTTGTTGTTAGCCGAAACGGTAGCCTCCCATAACATGACACCTCCAAAGATGGCCGATTGCTTCTTAGCATAGTACGGGATCAACTTGTTAGCTTCGGTGGGGGTGAGATAGGAAGGAGCATCATTTGGAGCCCCAGCGACAGCAGCAGGCTAAGAGTGTCAGCGGCATGAATTAGTCAACTATTTCACTAACTTACCATTCCGAGGTAGAGCTTGACATTCTTGTTCTTTGAATTCGTCTTCAACCACGAGGCCCATTGGTCCAGGGTGAAGCTAGAGGTAGATGGGTTCGAGAGACCATTATAACCAGCGCGCGTAGAGCAGGCTGGCGTGTTGTAGAATTGTACAAAGATCCAGTCAAAGTTGGACTTGCTGATAGCATCGCCGAGACCTAACACACTTAGACTAGATAATTCCGCAAGTGGAGGTAGAATACTTACGAACGTCGGGAATTTCACACTGAGGAGCGCCAGAAATATAGTAGGTGCTGGGGCCAGTTGGGAAAAGTGTGTTTTTTAGACGAGAAACGAATGCGTCGTAGTACTTGTACTGGTACTCAGGGAACGGAGCTGGTTCCATGAAACTCTCAATGTCTAAATCAAAACCGTCGAAAGAAGCGTCTCCGAACGGTCGAGGCTTGCCAGCGTCGACCCATGCTGAAGTTTGCGGCCCAAAGGCACCCCATAGGAAATCGGCAAAGTACTCGGCGACCTCTTTAGATGGTAGGTAATAGTTGGTAGGGTAGCCTCCACCGATAGAGAGCAAGACCTTTTTGCCCTTTGCTTGACATTCCTTGATGCCCGGGCCGATACTCGGGCAGCTTGATAGAAGTCCACTCAGGGTACCATCTGGTTGTGTGAAATACTCGGCGCCACATGCGTTGGCTATTATACAACTTAGTAGTATTTTGGGAACCAGGCCAGGATTTGCAACATACCAAAATTTGACGCAGGGTAATCTCCAACTTTCATAGGGAACCGATTGATGAAGGCAACGTTGACTATGTCGATGCTGTCATCGTTGCACACATCAGAGAGAGGGATCTGGAAACTCCCTTGACCCCAGTACATAGCAACATTAGTTGATGATGCCGCGTTGAAGGCTGCAGAGGTGGTCGAGGCAAAAATGCTAGCAGCCACCGCTGCCGTCCGGAGGTAGGAGTTTGAAGACATCATTAATCTATTAAGAAATAGTGGAATATCACGTAAAAAAAGAATGAGTGAACGGCTTGTAGGCCTGTAGTGATCGTGGCGAGAGGGCTCTCAAACGAAAGGACGCAAGCAAGTGCTTGCTATTAGGATAGAGGACTCGAGGGAGTGTCTGTAGAGAACTGAAAACAGCGAGAGTGGGAGGGAAAAGACATGGGAAATTGCAATCTTCTAGGATCTCAAAGCAGCAGCTGTTCCTGCATGCCTGCCGGGCTGACATGCAGTCTTGCCTTTGCATGAAGCCATTTGAGTCGGGAGACAGCTGCCGGGGGTGCTCGTATGGAATGGGACAACATCGTGGACAACTTCGACATCGGGTTGGAAAATGGTGGGATTACAGGCGTGTGATTGGCTCAGTTGTAGTCAAGCTTACTTGCTAACCCTAAAGGAGTGTGACGGTTCCTGCGGCGTCAAACGGCACAGGGAGGCGTTAGTCGGGCTTTTCCACCAGATTCTGGCATGACGCCTTTTCTGACTGGTGGGCGCATGTCGTAGGATTCATCGATAAGATTAAAGAGCTCGGTTACGGGCCCTGAAAGGCAGTTTGTCAACAAGGTGAGAAGGTGATTCCATTTTTGGATCTGGGCTTGGGGGGCCAAACCCGGCCAGGCGGTCAGATTTGCCGGACCGCGCTGTTTTTCTTTCAACGTCTTATAAAGGACAACAGCCCTTAATTGTTCGGCAGAATGAGTTGCTGCACGACTGAGGCGTAGCTTGGAGAGGTGCTGCTCGGGGGCAAAGGCGCATACCTTTTGATAACGCAATGCTGGAAGGTAGGATTCTTGAACCTCAGGAGAGGCATATTGTGGCTGGCTGTTGAAGCAATCGAGAGAGCGCTGCAACCCATTGTCTCGTCGAGACAGGGGAAAGTACGAGGCCGAGGTGGGATGGTGTTGAAAATGGAGTCGAACCTCGGACTAGGCGCTATTGCCTTGGCAGGGGAACGCCCCGCTCCTCGGGCTCACACCCAATATGGACCACGATGGGAACAATATTTGAGCGTTGGCGCCCACTCTAAGCCGGTGCCGATTCATATGGCCCTGTTATTCTCTTGCCCTTTCGCATTTGCAGCGTTTTCTTCCTTCCAAAGTCATGTGGTGACGTGACCGGAGACAAATGTGAACTAGAAGCAACTATATCCTGCAAACTATAGTCGCAAACACTTTCTCGCGCGAGACTGACTAAAGCACTTGAATTTACGGTATCGCCCTGAAGCAACACCAGGAACCGTTCCCCACCTTCACCGGTGCAACTTTGAGCCGGGCAACGACCAGGATGACTGAAGAGATGAGTACGAAGTGTTGGTGGTTCGACGAGTGGGTTTAGGGACGAGTTCGTATCCACGATTCTGCCGAGATGAGAACACCATGAGCCCTGCCAAGCCTAAAAAGAACATTTGAAACGGTCGGAGGTTTCTTGTAAGGCTGGCGAAGCGAATCCAGTGTGTTTTATTTTTTATTTATTTCCTTGGGCATCCCTACCAGAAGCAAGCCCGGAGACTTTCGGAGCATGAACGGAGTTAAGAAGGGCACCCAGGCAGAGACAACTTTGTGGGCCAGCCTGACTCAGGACAGCGTCTAAAATTGGCTGCTTCACCCACTGCTGTCTCCATGGAGCTCGGAAGCGAACGCGATGAGATACGTCTCACAGCACCCAGATTCAGAAACCGACCTAGCGTATATGTACGACATGGTTGTTCAGGGGATGGCGGGGCACCGGCGGCTCTTAGGTTTGACGTGCAGATCAAGTCTTTGGAGGCTTAGGGCTCAAAATGAAGACCTTCGACGATGATCGGTAAGTTGAAAGGTAGTTTTCAGATTCACTAACCGGGCTGGAGCCCCAGAGCTCTAACCTCGTCCCATCGCGAGAGCTGCTCTCAACATGCCCTCACGATGCTTGTGAGCGACGCTCGTTCTTACCTAGCCATTGGGGGTTGGGGTCTAGGTTTGAGATTGTGAAGGTCATCTGGGCACCTCTGACGTGATATCCGGCATGGCGGTGAGGTGCAACGTGTGGCACCGCATGGATGTACTATTCGGCGATGCCACTGGCAGAGTCAAGGGTCGAGTTAGCAGCCATGTTGATATCGATACATGCCTATTGAGGGACGAAGAGCCGCCAGAAGAGGGCACGAGACCTTGGCCTGACTGCCATGACATCACTCACTAGTCGAGAATGGCGGGCCTACATCACTCCTGTCGCACGCAACAACACCACAAGCCTCATCACACTGCACCTGCACCTCCAGGTGCCATGGCTAGCTTTCTTTTCTCCCTCCCGCTGTCATCTGCCTCTATCTTTCCAGGGTCCCTTCGCCCTCGCGCCGATCGCTTCCACCCATGAGAGTTCTTGAAGTTTGCAAAAACATATATACTTTAGCTTCTAGTCACCGCTCGACGGTGGAACCGTGGAACCACAATGCTGCCTTAACACAGTAGAAAAACAACACCTTGCACTTGCTAAATTTGAGCAAATACCCCTCTCCACTCCCCTTCCATCTCCATCGCACTCTCCACTCTGCACACCTCCTAGCCTTATCATGTTCTCAAAATGGAAGGCCCGCGAGATCGAGAATGCCCCTCCCGCGTCCACCGACGCGTCACTAGATGAGAAAGACGCATACCTCCCAAAGAATTGGAACTTGGGCATCTTGAGCGACCGCCACACCGACGAAGTCCCGGGCTCGGTCATCCTGCTCTCCAGCGCCCACAAGCGCAATGAGCCACTAGGCCTACAACATGCCCCGGCACGAATATCAACTTCCTCCCTCCCTTCACCTTACCCTCCGTTGCAGCGCAGCCACTCCCGCGGGTCCCGCCGTTCCTCCGTATCGCGAGTTCCAGAGAAGAAGCGGACAAAGGACGGCAAGTTCATTCTCGAGCCACAGCCAGACGATTCCGCAAACGATCCGTTGAATTGGCCTACCTTACGCAGAGATGTGGCTCTCCTGTCCCTAGGCTTCTACTGCATGGTCGGGGGCGGAATGACTCCAATCCTGGCAGCCGGATTCCATGAGGTTGCACATACCTATCATGTCTCGGTCCCTCAAGTCGCTTTGACTACGGGGCTATACATGATGGGCCTTGGTCTCGGAAGTGTCGTAGCATTGCCTACCGCAATCCTATGGGGCAAAAGACCCGTGTATTTGGTTGCAATTATTGTTTTCTTGCTCTCAGCAATCTGGTGTGCTCTCTCCCCCAGCTGCAAGTCCCCACATCACTTCCAATTTTCAGGTCTAATTCAAAGCAGACCCGTCGCTCGTAATTGCTCGCATCGTCCAAGGCCTTGCGGTTTCGCCGGTCGAGTGCCTCCCATCCGCAACTGTAGCTGAAATCTTCTTCCTTCACGAAAGGGCATATCGATTGGGAATCTACACGTTGCTATTGCTGGGAGGCAAGAACTTAATCCCACTCGTCGCCGCTGCCATTGTTCAATCTCTAGGGTGGAGATGGGTTTTCTGGTAAGATACTGATCTCCCTATACAAGGCTTCTTCTGATCGTGTCTAGGATCGTTGCTATTGTCGTCGGATTCTGCTTTGCACTGATCTTCTTTTTCGTGCCCGAAACCTTTTGGGACCGCGCACCCCGGCCAAGAGGGAGGTCTCACACTCGAACGAGAAGCAAGAGCCCCGGAAAGCACCAACACCATTTTCGACTGCCATCTCTCCAAGGGCACGAGAAGAAGTCAGGCCACCCTACAAATGGGATTGATGGGAGCCATGTCCCATTCACTCCTGATGAGAGGCTCCCTAGATCAATCAGACAGCCTTATAAGCCTACCAGGGTGGGATTTGCTGAAGGACTGGGGCACGATTCACCAAATGAAAACTCTTTTCAGGGTCAGGCTGCTCGCAATGACACTTCAACTTCCACAAATGAACGTGATGAAGTTTCTTCGCCGGAAACTCGCAGTTCGTGCCAGGTATATGCCGACAACAATCATGGTGAAGTTCATCCGGGGACACCAAACCAATCCGCAGGCTCCCAAGTCGATCTCGAAAACCAGTCCACGATTTTACCGGATAATAGAACGCTAGCATCTCAAACGCCTTGTGAAGACACAGTCTCCGACAAAATGTCATTTGTTTACACAGACTTCTACCGCTCCGCCCCTCCCAAATCCTACATTCAATCTTTGAAACCCCTGAACGGCCGTCTAACTAAGGACAAATGGCATCGGGTAATGGTCCGGCCCTTCATTCTGTTCGCCTATCCAGCCGTTCTCTGGTCTTCCATGGTATATGCTCTAGCTATAGGATGGCTCATCGTTCTCTCTGAGTCCGTGTCATCCATCTATGAGAATCGCCAGTCGTACGATTTCACTGCCCTCCAAGTCGGTCTCGTATACGTCTCACCTTTCATCGGCGGGGTCTTGGGGACTGCAGTTGCTGGCAAGATTTCGGATATCATTGTTCGCTTCATGGCGCGCAAAAACGATGGCATTTACGAGCCCGAATTTCGACTTGTCATGGCTCTTCCAATAGCAATGAGCACCACCATTGGACTCATGGGCTTTGGGTGGAGCGCCGAAGAGAGGGATCTCTGGATCGTGCCAACAATATTCTTCGGAATCATTAGTTTCGGGTGCTCTCTCGCTTCGACGACGGCTATCACTTTCGTAGTGGATTCGTATCGACAGTACGCCGGTGAAGCGCTGGTGACTCTTAATTTCAGCAAGAGTGAGTCCTTTATGTCATCCAGGGGTGAAAATCGCTTACTAATAGTCCAATAGATATATTCCACGGGTTCATATTCTCGCTCTTCTTCACTCACTGGCTCGAATCCTCCGGCTCCAAAAAGACTTTCCTGGCTGTGGGCGGTATCCAGTTAGCCTGCATGCTCTTCTCGATTCCGATGTATATTTACGGCAAGCGTGCGAGGATGTGGACAGTCAGGAAGAATCTGATGGAGAAGTTTTAGTACTGAATGTGCATGCATCTCTCAGCGTCCTTTTTACTCAAGCATGTCTGTGGTTTTTTTGGGATACCATGTTCTCTATATATTGGTTCCATGGTAGTTATAGAATACGTTTTGGACCTAGCATAGCTTCTATTTAGAGCATTAGAATAGCACTGGCATGTATGGAGAATGGATATCGCTAGGATGCGATTGTTTTTATTCCTGTTTTCTCTGTACACCACTGGTCTTTCCGTATTGAAACCAAAGAATCACTCAACCTATGCAACGCCCACTATACTGTCTCATTCAGAAACTGCCTCTCACCATTGGTCCTAGCTCTGGTGCTCATACATCATCAACCTCAAAGCGGCCAGCTCACTACGTCCCCCAAACCAACGAGTCCACGAATCTCCCCCCCTAACCCCTTCTCTCCATCCACCATTCCGGCAGCCTTCAGCCCCATGAACCCAAGCACCGCAGCCCCGACCACCCACAGCCACGATCCTCTCGAACTACGAACCTCCTTCCCCTGCCCATCCCTATACACAAAATCCCCCTTTCTAATAAACACACTCCTTATCCAATACCAATACTGCCAATCCGGATACATCATATTATTCAACCCAGTCTTCGGGTCTATCGCCCAGTTGACACACCCAGAAGACCATACGAGTTTGCGTGCTGAGGTTTGCGTCCACAGGGTGTCGGCGAGGAAGGCGGGCATGAGGACTTCGACGGTTGAGGGTTGTGGGGATGGAGCGGAGAGATGGAGGGATGAGAGGAGGGATGAGAGGGAGAAGGGGAAGGTGGTGTGGGTGGAGCGGTAGGATGGAAGGGTTTGCAGGATTGGGCTGAGGAGACGGAGGGTGAAGTTTATTTGGCATTCGACGGTGTATATTACGGAGAGGTGGCCTGTTACTGTGTTTCTGGAAGGGGTTTGTTAGTAGGGAGTTGCGAGAGGAGTGGGGAGGGGCAAGGGGAGAGGGCGAGGGGAATGGGGAAGAGGTTGAGGGAGTCGAGGAAGAGGAAGAGAGACTTACGGCCCCATCATGATAAAGAAGTTAGGGAAATCTGGCACGCAGGTTCCAAAGTACGCTTGTGCTACTGATTGCGTCGTCTTATCCCACTACCACAACCGTCCGTCATTAGCCAGTATTCTCAAAAAGGGAGGCTGCAAATAATCAAACTTACAAAATTCTCCAACCTCACGCCCCTTCTCCCCAAAATCTCCATCGGCCATAACATCTGCTGTGTCGCAAACCCAATCGCCAACACCAACGCATCCGCCTTCACCAACCTCCCACTCTTAGTTCTAACCCCCTGAGCTACAATTTCTTGCACTGGATCATCAGACACTAGCTCCACATTCCCATTATGCAGACTAGCAAGATAATCCGTATCAAGCACTTTCCGCTTACACCCGATCTCGCTCTTTGGAATAAGGGCATCCCAATATCGCCGCGGCGCTGTGCGCTTCACATACTTTTCATTTTCTGTCTTTAGGTTCGCGCGGATTGATGTCCCACCTTCGATGTCGAAGCCTTGGAAGTCGCGCTCCATTTGCCAGTATAGATGCGCGCGGTAGAGATACATTGCAAGAGGTACGTACCGCATTATTAATTTAAAGAAGGGCGTGTAGGTGGGATTTGTGCGCTCGGAGAGGTATTGGGCTTGCTGACTGAATTGGGTGATGTGATGGGCGGCCGAGGGGCCGTTGGCCATGATGGGGAGGAATTGGGTTGCTGAACAGCCGTTTCCTGTATACCGTAGTGTTAAGTATTAATCAGGTAGAAGGTGAGTGAGCAAATAGGGGGAAGGGAGGAGGGAGACGAAAAGGTGTCTACCAAGAACTACAACATCCTTCCCCTTCCACTCGCACCCATGATCCCACTTTGCTGAATGAAACATCTTCCCCTCAAACCTCTCTGCGCCGGGTATCTCACATTTCTTCGGCACAGACAGCGCGCCCACAGCAGAAACCAAAATCTTACATCTCCTCACAATAGTTTGCTTGCTCTTCTCATCCCGAATTGTGACAACCCATACTTTCCCCTCGTCATCCCACTCTGCCTTCTCAACCGTGGCTCGAAACCTGACATGCTCCACAATCTGGTACTGTTCAGCCACAGACCTGAAATAGCGTTGGATTTCAGGCTGCATAGAGTACTTCCGCGACCAATCTGGATTCAGGGCAAATGAGTAGGAATAGAAATGTGATGCAACCTGTTGTACATAAGCTATTGTATTGTATTCGGAAAGGGATTATTAAGAGAACTGACATCACATCCGCATCCGGGATACGTATTGGCGAACCACGTCCCTCCAACATCGTCACTCTTCTCAATGAGTTCAAAATTGCGGACGCCGAATTGACGGATTAGTTGGACAGCGAGGCCGAGACCAGACATGCCGGCGCCGATAATGAGGACTTCTGTATCGAAAGACATATTGAATAATCAAACCAGGAGATTAGAAGTGAGATGAGATGAGAGGAAGAGCGCTGGCTGACACTTCGACTTGGATTGCTGGTTTTTGAATATTTATATACCTACATATTCCCTGTCTTCTGAAATACTCTCGCTACATCGATACCACGACTTCGCCGTCGTTGTTGCCTCTCGGTGGATCACACGGGTGTTGAGACTCCACCCACCCATACATCGTGACGCTTGCGGGGAGTTGTTGCGAACCAGGGGCGAAAAAGGGCAGGTCTACCGATTGGCTTAGCGGAAGAGGAAGGCAGGTCAACCGACCAGCCAATCAATGTCTTGCACTCAAAGACATCCGATCTGATAAACGATTACGCATCCCCACAAAAATTCGTCTCGACGTCCTCGGCCAGTGGTTTCTAGAACAGGCCATTCCAAAAACTTTCTTTTCCCGGCTGTGGAACGAATCACCATTAGAGAGCCACCCAGGCGACTTCGTACATGTGCTTATTACAATCATACTCTTATCCATTACTTCATGTCGGCTTCAACGGGTCAATGTCAAATATCCTCCCGTTTTTTCCAACCCTGAGTTATCTCCCATACTCCAACACCAAGGCCCACTACTAGTAAAAGTGCATTGAAGGACGCCATCATAAAGAAAGGAGCACCAGGGCCACTTGTATCGAATAGTGCTCCCCCAGCCTTAGTAAGGAGCAGTATACCGAACCCTCCGAGAAGGCTATATGTCCCTGCAATGCTGCCTTTGAGATGATTATGAGTTTGCGGATTGGAAGGCGAAGACGGTCTTGAGGGATTGTGGCTTCGCCCGAGTAAGGGGGCGTCTTCGGTTGCTGGGGTGATTGGGGGAGTTATTGGTGGGGTAGCCCCAGCAGAGGGATGTGAGGTGCCATTGGTAGCCGTTTCGGTGCTGTCTGACTCTGCATTCTCCACTTTATCGTTTTGAATGCCTCGTCCGAGGAGAGCGAGGGAGCATACTATCGCACCGATTTGACTGATACCGAGCAAGGCTACGATAAAGAAAACAGCACCGGTGCCACCCTCGCTCTCTGGGTCTGGGCTTTTAAGGGATCCGAATGCTGAGTAACCTATGATACCCGAAAGAGCTGCAATTAGCAATGGGACATTGAATTTCCGAAATCGACCGGACAGATAGCCAAAGAGTGGTGCGGATAGCAACGCTACAAGTTGACTGACTCCTGTCAATGCAGCTGCAAGTGTATATGCGCGAGGACAGGCATCCTTGATATCGGTAGGATCGGACGGATCCGCAACAGAACATTTTCCAGTCCGTAAAAAGTACGCATTGACGAAGAGTGGGATGAAGAGAGAAATGCCAACAGATGAAGCTCTGGCGACGAATCCACCAAGATACCCAAGACCAATATTGCGCGACCTGAACGCAAGCTCAATGCTAGTAAGAAACAGTCTCGGATAGGGAAGAATTGGTCGATCGGAGGAAACCGTCTCGGAAGCCTTGTCCGACTTGATGGATACTAGACGGCTCCAGCCCTTTCCTTCTTCTCCCGGAAGACTTCGGAGTCCAAAGAAGCATCCCAGGGCCACAAGAATTGCTACAGCCCCTACAGCGTAGAACGAATCTGCAACTGCCATGGCTGGCGACGCACCCGCCCTCTGGAAGCGCGTTGGCAGCGGAAGGAATATGAGGAGAGCGACCAGGGCACCACAGCCCGTGAACATTCCGACGAGTCCAGCAAGCTGGGATGTCGAAGCTCCTGTGTCCTTCTTTGGGTGATTGTCAATTGTGGGAGAACGCGAGCGGAACCGGGCGGGGGTAATTGTCAATTCGGATGATATGGAGGCGGCCATCGTATGAGATGGGCCATTCGCGCCACGAGTCGGCGATCGAGGGTCATGAAGAGTGTTTGCTATAGTCATGGTTGGAAGAATTGCCGTGACCATAGTTGCGCTACATCGAGATTAGTACCAAGCGAACACAACTAGAATAGAGAGATAGATTGACATACGTAGCCGTTGCACCCAGGCTGAACAGCAGCCGCGCTAGCAGTAACTGAGGGTATATATTCTTTGCTTGCACAAAGACGTATAAGCTGAGGCCTACAATGGTGTATCCTAGGACGGCAACACTTCTTACGCCTACACGATCACTCAACAGGCCCCACGCCGGACATGCTATCAGCGCAACAAGTTCATCTGCGAAGCCCAGTGTACCCACTGCATCTCCAACATTCCGGTCTTGTCCAATGCGCTGAGTGATGACGAAGCTGATGGAGCTATTAAGGAAGACGAGGAACGAGATACTGAACAAGGCGACGCCGAACAGGTACGCACAGATTTGACAACGAGACGCAGTGAAACCGAGCATAGTGGAACTAGTAGAGCTTGTCGGTCATGTGAGCGCGCTAATTATGATTAACGAGGGAGCATTGAGGTCGAGGTGGGCACTGCGAAATGACGATGGGGTTAGAAGTCGCGATGGACGCGGTCTGTGCTCCGAAAGCCAACGCCACCGCCACAAATTCACGTGATTAATCATTCACGAATCACACAACTGGAAGGGATCGTCAAGGAATCTTCTTCGCCAGAGCACTGCTAGTGTTTTAAGAGGCGAGGGGTTGCATCCTGAGGTTAGCGTTTTAGGATGATGTGTATGGCCCATGGGCGTGGAAATGATACTTTATCCTTGCCAAAAATCAATAGCACGCGAACTCAAACAATAATGGACTCGGTTCAGATTCAGTACCAAACATCAATAGTCTAGCATCACGCAAAAGTAGCTACGACAAAGGGCGCCCGGTAAAAGCCCATCCGCCAGAACAATATTCCCCCAACGCCCCAGCCATGCCAATATCGAGGCGGAAGACTCGTTTGAAATACGATCGGGTAGTCTTATTCCAAATTGAAAAACATATTAAAAGCGTTCCTTCAACTCCATCAAGGACCTGCGTACCCACGGATCCCCACCTGCCTAAACGGCTCTATTTCCTGCAGGATACCCAGATCTCAAACCTTTCCCCACCCTAACGGCTTGTCTTTTCCTTGGTTCTCTCCCCAAAATTCACGGCTTTCTTTGTAGTCCCCGTTGTTCAGGGCCTCAGTAAACAACTCCCGAACTTTCTGCGCCCGGTCACGCTTGTCGTGGCGCACGCTAAGATTGAAACGGAACGGTAGAGGTTTCGCAATGAGAAGAGTCGTGAAGTCGAGGGTTGGGTCGAGTAGATTCTTTGCCTTCTCTTGCTTGGGCTTTTCGGTTGGCTTTTCGGCTTGAGAGTTAGCGCTATCGAGCCTGCTCCTCACCTTTTGTGTCTTCTCTTCTTTGGCCCCTTCCTCCGGGTAAGCTCCTGGGTAGGTGTACTTTGATAGAATAACGTCTTCCATTGTCGGAGCGGCGTCTTTCGATTCGATGCCAGTGTTCAGCTCCTCGCTCGAGATAGATGCCTTCTCGTTCATACCAACACCAAAATGCTCGATTTTCTCTGAGTCAGTGGCAGGAGAAGGCCCCGAGGCTGAGGGAGGCATAGATTCAGGGATTCGATCGATATTGAACAACCATCCGATTGAAGCAATACCGATGAGGAGATCCTCATCCGCGACACCTTGACCTTGGCAAATTCTCCGGCCATAACCAAATTGTGTAGAGTTGATGATAGTGGGGAACTGAGTAAGGGGTTCCTGGTAACTTGGCCAGCCGGGTTCGACCCATCGAAGCGGATTGAAAGTCTCGGGGTCCGGAAACATGGCAGGATCTCGGGCGATGGCCCTGCCAAGACTATTAGTCAGAAATTTTGAGGTGAAAAGGGAATATATTGGCGAAACTTACCATTCAAGTGGGTGCATTGTGCTGCCTTTTGGAATATGGTACCCATTCCACTCATCATCCTGCGTCAAATAATGCGGGATACCGGTCGGAACAGGTGGTCGCCATCGCAGGCATTCTCGAATAATTGCACGTGTGAAGGGAAGATTGGGTCGATCTTCGGCGCGAGGAAGACGGTCACCACAGACTCGGTCGAGCTCTTCTTGCAGCATAGGCAAGTATTGTGGGTAGAAGCACATCGCCAAACAGAATGTCTGCATAGGCGCCGCAATGGTGAGGGCTCCAGCGATGCCGTGCATGCCAACAGCGTATGCACCTTCTAGTTCGTACTGGAATCCCCATTTAGATCGATTGTCGAGGAAAGTCCTCATCCATGACTGCGGGGCCTTCTTCTCCCTTATATCGGCCTCAACCTGGCTTTGCATTGTCTCAAAGAACTTGCGCTCCGTTGCGGCGCGCCTTCGTTCCCATGCCTTAGCAGGCACGAGCCAATCAGGGAGTGACATCAGAAATGGAAGCTTATTTCCGAGAGCACCGGTAGGAGAAACGCCAATGAGGAGCTCGCGGGCACGTTGCTTGAGTTCATCGCTAGCATCGCTATGTCCCCAAGCCAACCTACAGGTGACGCGGGAAATGAATGACTCCAAAGCATGGTTGTAACGGGTGGGGTCGTCCATGAGTTCAACAAGCATACGTTTGGCCTCCAGTTCGGGATAGCGGTGAAAAAGAGCCTTCTCAGACTCACGCATGATAACGTTGGCGAACTTGCGTTGGCGAGTCCAACCATCTGAAGGATGTTAACGGAGACTTTAATCAAATCTCTACTTATAAGTCTTACCGTTCTTGCTCAGCAATGGCAAGTACTGTGAACTCGTACGGTTGTCGGAAATCAAGGCAGGAATATGGGGTCGATCGGAGTAAATCGCTCCCTTCTTCGCTAGAAGATCTCGAGATATCTGATCCGAGGATATCCAAACATGGTTGCTTCCAGCGAGATCAACTTGATAGATAGGCCCATATTCTTTACCCCAGTCTGCGAATTTAATGAAGCTGTTCTTCTCAGGAACCTCAGGTACGGAACCAACGATGGGGTAACCTGGCAACACCGAGACATTAGCTTCTTTTCCAGAAGAGAATAGATATAATATGCTAGAAGACGATCGGATAATGCTACGCATATTAAGCCATACCTTTGGGCCCTGGGAGCTCCTTCAGACCAGGCGGGATCTTATGACGACGTGATGTGATAAACCGTTTCCAGAGCGTCAGAACACATAAGAAGGACACGATGAAGAAGAAAGTTAAGAATGCCATGACGGCAAAGGAGAATAAAAATGATTGAAAGGTTGAGACGCTAGAATGTTGTGATATTCCTCAGTGCTGGAATATAAGAGAGTAACAGTCTCCGAGGTGCTGACCAGTGGTTGGGGATGCGCAGCGTCGCATGCTACATATAGATCTGCGCGGTCATGGTGGGACGCCGAGTGCCTGAACCGACAACAGGCTTCTAGAGAGGAAAGGGGACTTGTAACACCGAACTTCCGTATGGTGTCAGGCGGGAAGCAGCGCATCAAGGGCTGACAGGGAGTGGAGCGGCTCACTACTATCGAGCTGGCAGTACCCACGCTGTTGCTACCATTCGCTTGTGTCCAAACCTGGTTCGCCCGCCGCGGCTATACAAGAAAGCGGGATGTACGTAGCCTAGAGGCAAGGAAGAGCGCGCATCCTTTGTCACAGCTCGCCGCACTGCCGCAGCAAGCAGATGCGTAGTCCCCACGTCCGAACTCCGTTCATCTAAGAGGCGCCAGTGAGTTGGAGGCGATATCAGAGGCTCAGAAATAGATTCTGAGGTGAGCGGGCCTTCCAATCCTTAATGCTTAGCATAGAGTGCTGGCGAATAAAAACAGTTCTGGAGATTTTCTTGGACATAAGAGAACTCAATTACTGGCTTTGCGACAGACGAGATCTCATCAAGGCATCAAAAGCGACCGCTTGGGGTTCACAGCGTTCAAGTGTGCACCGAGGGATGGGATCATCGCGACGGCCGGGAGTTGGGTAAGGATCAGCCAGCTTTCTTACCCAGGTAGGCGGAGCGCAAGCGGCAGCGATATTAATGTGAGGGCCACAAGGAGGGAGATTTCCCAAAAAATTGTGTGAGATGTTGTTGATCATCGACAGTGAAGTTGTGACGACGTTGATCCGTGGCGTCTCCAAGTCTAGTGCCTAAGCTGCTCTTGGGCGTGAAACAGCCAATGCTATCTCCACAACTGACACTTTGGCTTAATACGGCTAGGGGATCGGGCGGGGAACGCCACGCTTGGGATGCAGATCATACCCCCTGATGGTCTAAAACCTTGGTGGTGCCGTCAGCGAGCAACCTCATGCAAAAATTATATGAGTGCGGAGAGCCGATACTGAAAGTCCGAAATGCTCTCACCAGCACAATCCTCTCTTGTCAGTCATGTCTTGGTAGCGTCTTTGCCTTGCGCACTGTCCCAGCGCCCGCCGTCAATTGGGTTTTCCTCACACCATCCCGACCTTAGGTTCGTCACACCTAGTGTGCTGCTGCAGCCACAGCACGCGACAAACCACATATCGGCATCCAGAACCTCCTTCACGCCGACCATGGTGCATCAGCGACGCGCAGAATTTGAAGATTTCGATGAGCCACAGCGAACGGCTCTGTTGTACGAGGCGGGTGTTGCTGTTCGGCCGCCCAAAGATGTGATACCACGAAATGTATCTGTTGTTACTGTGGAAGACCCCTGAGCACGTGCTTAGTACCTTCAAGCGGTGGTCGAGCATGTTTAAATGTTGAAGTTGCGTTTCGAAATTGCGATCGGGAACTCGTATTCAGCACCTTCATGTCATACATCACGCTCACTGCCATTATTCTCTTCCTCTTAGTCGATTTGATCACAGATCGGCCGAAACTCTCAGCCTGCACCTCACCGTTTCGAGCCTACATGCCAAGCTAAGTAGGCGAAGCCATTTTCTCCAGTCCTCGTACGATTGTGGAATACACATTCAAGGAAGCTAGAAACACTAATTGAACAACTCCACCATGAAACTCGAGCCCAAAATGCCCTGGCACTTAGATCGAGGACGCTATTCACGTTTCCTCCCCGCGGTCATTCAGCAGCATCGATGCTGTCGCAAGAGACCCCATTGCCCACCTCAGGAGGATAGTGTTCGGTGTTACTAGGGCATTACTAGTAGGGGTTTGCCGTTAGTACAGACGCGCAGTAGCTTATCTACCTGTCCCCATTGGTCTAACTTAGTCCTGTAGATTCTGCAACTTCGGGAAGTTGCGGTATGTGTATCTCCTCTTGTCAAGACGCTCTTCTGCATTTTCTAGGTACGTCTTTCGCTTTTTGTGGCATTAACATTCTCGGGCGGAAGGAGCATACTTGTGCCGCAGTTTTAAATCACCCGAATTATATTTACTATCCCGGTCGTGCTCTATGAATTTGCTCAAAAGCTCTCAACCCCTCAACAGGAACATGGGCTAGTGGTTACCTGAATACTGGTGTGTGATGTTTGCTGCTCACCAATCGAACCGACATCGTTGCCCCCAATGGTATTTATCAAATAGCATGCATATGCATCGAGTGTTAAGTTCATCATAGGCAACTCTAGACACAAAGGCAACCAATGAAGAACCGTTAAGGTTTTCCAGCCCAGCCAATAGTTCTTGTTTTCATTGACCTCACAGCCTTACTGGACACGGAGTGTTTCCGGGGCTTCCGGCTCCATTGGTTTAAGAGCACGTCCTCAGCATTGCAAAGACACTCGTGGCGTCGAGTCAACTCTGTTCCCGAGCAATTCAGCTTTGTTTCTGTGCATTTTACCTTTGAAGGAGGTCGCAGCTGAAGAAAACCGTCAATAGCTTGTGCTGTGGGTATCTTGTCTGTTGTTCTACATCCGCACTGCAACGTGGCTACCAAAATCAAGGCCGAAGGAGGGCTACAACCACTGCAAACTCTTTGTTGAATGGATGGATGTAAAAGGTAGGCCTCAGGGTCCAGCAACGATGAAATGGCGTCCGGATAATCGCGGAACCCATAAAACTGCCAACGGTCAGCACGCCTAATGTTGGAGATGGATATAACATCTATCGCTGGATTGCCCGTCAAGCTAGTGATCGCGAAACATAGATTCAAAGTCGGCCAAGTCGGCTTCAGAAGGCCGACGGTCCAGAACCGGGTCTTCAAGGAGATTCCAATGAGTTCGCTGCACTACAGATGCGGCCTAATGTTCATTTGTCGCAACAGGTTGCTATCTTGTATGATATTTTCTCGATACAACGCACCACGACTTTCTTTCTTATCGATCTTCCGTTTCATTCATCCGGCGACGCCATAGGTGCGTGCCACTTCGACCCTTGATGGAGATCGCCTGCCGTTAGCAACGCTAGCGCAAGTCGCATTAAAACTCCCAAGTGGCTTCCGCCACTACCAGCCCTATGTCTCGTTCCAGAAGCTTTTACTATTATGTGGTCACATGTTACTGTCGCTATTCTCAACTCATTGTTTACGGAAGGATTTTGAAGTGCAGATTAGATGCGACAGCTACCTCCTAGCCTCACTTTTACATGTGGAGGGACCAGCCGGCATCCTCCTAATGCCTTGCCAATGATGGTTCCAGAGAGTGAAGCTATTCTCTCGCAGGGGACAAATACACATCAGCACAGCCAGGGGTCTACATTTATCGAGGCATTGTCTGGCTTCCTCCGTCCCGAATAACCCGAGACTCCGGCCTAGAAGCCTAGGGAACCTTCTAGTGACAAGGTTTCAATTCGTGGGGTCTTCTAGCAGAGATTTGGAAGGTAGATCTGCCCAACGATTCAGCTATCAAACAAGCTGATCTATTTCATCGGTATCTAACCTTTTCCGAAAATGTACACCACTCTAAACCAACAACTTTCTCCTCAGCAAGACCCTATGCTGTTATTTCCAGGTCGCTGTCATCATCAAGCAGCACATCTCAGGCAACTCGCATGCTGTGTTACAAGGCATCCAACTGCATTGCAGTCATCCTTCGGAACGGCTCCCCACTACTGCGCCGCAGCAATATTTCAGTAAGTGGAATCACTCACTTAGCCTAGGCTTGCTCACTCGTTTCTCGCAATTTTCGTACGACAGCCATGCCACTGCTACAACGCAACGATTCTCTAATTAAGTCCTACGTGCTCAGATTTGTCTCACCATGAGATTCGCTAGGATTTTGCGATCTTTACGACACGATTAACACGCGTTCCTTTGTACACACGAGGCGGCAGTGCTGACGCCTCTACTGCGGGTCCCGTCAGCTGCTGCTCATCAGCCATTGTCTTCGCGATATTCTATAAGACATGCTCATATGTTTACACCAGGCCAGCGAGTTTTTACCCTAGTAATTAGAATCGTAACTTGAACCATCTATATCAGTTAGTTCACACCCGCGCTTTCACGATGACCACTTTTCGCTCTGCGGACATCTGGTAGGTCTTGTAAGTGATCACAAACATCCTGACAGGCACTCCACCGCCCCCACGCAATTTCGATATTCTGATCACTACATTTTAGACACCATTGCAGGCCCAGTTTAGCAATAAGGCCACTCTGTAGTAATTCGTAGCTCCTGTCTCCGAATAACATCATATGTATTCTTGCTAGTATAGGGCACAATTCGTTATCTAATATGTGCCGGATCTAGGTTTCAATAACTATATTTACTTACGGGTGTAGGGTCATACGACGTGATCCGCTTCCTTGTGTACAAAAAAGCCCACGGACTTGGCCGGAACGAAACATTGGGAGTTCCCATAATCATGAAGGGAAATGCCTCCCATGCTAAGGCGCGCCCAATGGGAACTAGAACTATGTCTCCAGTATCGAGACAAAAAGTTACCTAGCCAGTATAGCTATCGCGAACTTTTTTTTTTATGGGGAGCTATCATGCTCGTACTAACAGTGCTCCTCACCTTGAGACATTGATTCTGGTGGTGAAAGGAGAACAAGATCTAGAATAGGCCGAAAATGACGGTCGGTTAATAGAAGCCAGCCTTGGGATGAATTCATTTCCTCGCTGAGGCGATTTCAGGATGAAAAGCATGAGCTCTGGGCTTCTTCCTTCACCTAGTTAAAGGTAACTTATTCATAACCTTGAATTGCAGTGGTTTAAGTAAGAGATGTGTACCCCCCATCAAGCAAGCCAACCATGCACGACAAAGCACATCAGTCCGCTTCAGTTATTGCCTATCGCGCTTTGTAATCACGAAAACGCACCTCCTCATCCACGCCCAGCCAAAGTGATATGCTATGCTAGACTTTTTGAATGACCCTCTGTCGGGGGGAGCAAAGAGCGCACTGCCAAAGCAAATATGTCTGCCCCCCGAGAACATATAGGAATACTCATACGACATCCAACTAGATTGTAATTTACTATGCCGCTCATCTCAGACCTTCTTCCACTTCCTGATACGGTGCAGCAATGTATCCTTCGGAAGCTATTGTGTTATTCGCTGGCAAATGTCCTGGCTCCCATCGTTGTGAAGAGATTCTGTGATTCCAGCACCTACCCGGCGTAGCTATACTGCCTAAGCCAGGCCTTCCTAATTACTAGGTCGATGCCACTGTTCCAGGCGCAGATCTGTAGCAGAACAAGGGTTCCAGTTTCCATCTAGAATATGGGCAACGCTATGACAACCCCATCCGTAGCATCCGAAACAATATTTGTCGGCTACTTTACGGGAATTAGGAGTTCTGGATATGGGTAAGCTATACTGGGGTAGCAAAACGAACAGGAGGCGTTGAAGTCGCAAAGCAAGGCCCAGGCTTGCGTGTCGAAGAGCACAATGGTGATTGGTACGTCTGAATGGGCAATTCGGAGTTTGTGCAAATGAAACAGACCCCGGAATTATGTCCTGATGCCACATGATTCGGCCTCGTCGTGTAGGAGTCCTGAATTCGGATAGCAGGAGGTGTTTGCGGAGACAGATCCTTCGGAATAGTCAATTGCAATGGTTCCAACGATGGCAGATTCGGTTACCGCTCAGGCAAACAAAAGACGGTCCGCTCGTTCTTCATCCGGCCAGAATTAAAGAGGTTCCGAGGCGTAGGAACACTAGTCCCGCGGTGAGGGATCACTCTTCGGAGGCTCATGCATTGTTAGGGCATCGACGACGTGCTCATCAATCTTGCGAACTTACCTCGATGCCCCAGCGGTCACTGATTTTCGACCCAACAGGAACGGTGATGTTATAATGGAGGCTATATCGTTCGGGGCTTGGGTGCGGGAGAGATCGCCATGGTGGTGACGTTAGCCGTGATATTGGGTTACCACACCCGTAAGCATTGATGTCTCGGGAAAAGCCACACCCTTCGTCATGCGATGCCAAGTTTGGGCCTCTCAGTGTCCTTTTCAATTTAAATCGTTAGGAAGGAGGCCACACAAGAAATAATATCATTCGTTTACTAAGTCGGTAGTGACCGCAGAAGTTGAGTCGTTTTGTCACCGCAAGGTGTTTTGTTGGAAGGTTGGTTCCATTACCTCGTCAATTTGCTTGGATATCTGTACTGGATTTGGCGTCATTTGAAGTATTCTGAAACGGAAGAACGGGTGAATGGGAGACGCAAAGTTCATCTACTAAGGAAACACAGAATGAGGTTTTCGAGAGTAGCGCGTTGGGAGAATCGCAACGCCGATCTAGGCTTAGTAGTTAGCACATAAAACCGAGGTAGAGATTGCCCTCAAATTGGTCTCACGTAAATATCAAAGCTTTCGAGCTATTAAATTATACGAAAGAAAACAGTCAGTAACTAGGTTCCTTCGTTACGCACGCCCCTGGCATTAACAGATGCTTAGTTGGCGTTCAACCAATTCCAACAATCCATTCTATCCTCCTCCTTGACTCCATTCATACCCCTAGCGCTCTATTCCACTTCCTTGTTTAACAGCAAATCTGACAATAATTGTGTTGCCTCGAGTTCCAGCAAACCTTTGTACTGTAGACATCTGAAATTTGGCAATGGCATCCTTCCTTTTCAAGCCCGTGTACTGTAATCATACACTGTTAACCCAAATCTTCCCCTCCATCCTTTCCTCCCCCTCCAGCTCAGGTTCCTCTAACAATAAATCTGATAGGAATTGACATTTCTGATCCCCCAGCATTGATTAAGTTCGGAAATTTCGCCTTTCCAGCCCTTACATCCTTCATCTGACCAATGTTTGACTGAGAAGTTGTTAGACTCTGAGCAGTTCCGAAAAAAAGTAAGGAAAGAGAAATCACACCCCTCCTCCTTTCTACATAATTTCAATGAAAGCAAAGGTGGTGCGTACTGATGCAACCCGGCGCTAACCACCAAATCGTCAATCCCTTTCCTGGAAGATGCTGGCACACCCCATCTGGCTCGGCGTGGTCGTGTTGGGCACCAGTGTAGCAGGTATCGCCGTCCCAGGTTGCGAATGCTGCAGCGTACTGGTATTTTCCTGCAAGGGACACTGGAGCGGGAACGGGTTCAGCAGCGGGAGCAGCATGGACAGATGTAGCAAGGAAGGTGGTAAGAGCTACCAGGGGGGCAGATGGTGTAAACATTAGGATGGTGGAATTTGGAAGTTGGGTTTGTGGAGGAGGTTGATTTCGGTGGTAGAGACTGAATGTTACAGAGTAAAGAGTGTTGAGAGCGTAGAAGCTGTGGATGGAGAAAAGTCGGTGGACGGGAATTCGACGCTAATATGTGTGCGCAGTGGACGAGCAATGTCTCCACACTTAAATATAACCCTCATACTCCAAATTTCTACATTCGATTAAGCATACTAATAATCTTCGAATAGCTTCCGCATTGGGATTTAAGATGACGTTAATGCTGAGGCTGAATACTCGCTACTATCACGACTTTAGCGACAAGCGAGCGTGCCACATTCGACACCTGACTTCATGGTACTGCAGATTGTCCTCTTTGGTGTCAAATCTATAGGAAAGCCTTGATATGTTTCTGGTGCTGTAATTAGGATAAGGCTGAGTAGGTTTAGATATTCTTTTTTGTGTGAATTAGTCCCTAGCTTCTTGTGCCATGTCCGCCTTCTGCTTCAAGAGAGTATGCTGCTGGGTCTCGAGCTACTTGTTGAGTCAACCAACCCCCTGGCCTGGACATATCAGACTGACGCAGTGGCATACCCAGAAATTCGGTTTAAATTTCCTCAGTAATCGCACGAGAACGCGCAGCACTTGAACGCATGAAGATCGCCAAGTTTTTCATCCCAGAGGTCGACAATCTATCATTCCGCCATTAAGCCCAACTTCGAACTTTCGACCTAGTTGTGGGAGTTTACTGCCGGCTTCGCACTTCGACGGATCCGTAGAATAGCAGAGTGCTATATTAGGAAGTGAAAGACTTGGACCTGAAACTTGATGAGCAAGCCTATCACAGAATCGCCTCTCTATGTACTCCATGAATGGTTGCGTCATGCAAGGTCTGCACAAATCTCCAATTCAAAGTTCGAAATAGTGGTTTTGTTACTGAAGCTTGGCGTGCAGTCACTGCCATTCTTCAAAAGGTGCTCACACTTTCTGAAGCGGGCGAATTAGCACATTTCGCTAAATCTTGAGGAACACATCTTAAATTAAAAAAGCGTGTAACAGAAATTAGAGAGACAGTAGTAAAAAAAGAAGGGATAGAATAAAAGTGCATACGTGTAATTCTGAGAGCGTTATATATTAATTTCTAAAGAGTTGGTTCTGCGTTGTATGATGGGAAGGATCGTGGCGTGGGTGGTCAAGGTTTCAGTATGACCTACTCTTCCTGTTGCTTGCTGCGCTCCTCTGCTTAGCGTTAGGAATATTTTCTACCGCCTTCTTTCACTCCTCTGCATGTGAAAATGGTAGTGGAATACAATCTCTAGGGCCCTATTATTGAGATATCTTCAGGTTTGTGAATATATGAAAGCCTGCGGGTTCATCGATGGGCTGTCCAATCAACTCAGGACTTGGCACCCCACATTCTATTTAGCGTGGGCAAATCTCGACGAAATTTCTGGCGCTCTGCGAGACTTGCTCTCCTTCCCTTCTGATTTCTGATGATAACTACGCAATTAAAATCTAGTAGAGTCCTATAGTATCGTCTCCCCTATAAGTAGAATCTTTCACTGCCTTTGTTTTTAATTAATTTTGCGTAGTTGCTGAGATGTAAGAGGGTTGTGATTCTTTTCTACAGTCTTCTTGGGCCCGCTTAATAGTCTTGGCATGCAAGAATGCAAAAATCTATGGAGTAGAAATCTGCTCTTTACAGCGGTATCTCTTTCTAATATATAATACAGACGTTAATATTATATATAGAAGAGCTTATAGAGCGAGATATATTCCTTTTATGCAGAAATATATTTACGTTGCTGAGATATGAAAGAAATTGTGTTTCGGGAAACACAAGTCTCCTCAGAGCGCCAAGAATTCCGTTGATTTTGCATACGCTAAATATCACATCACTTCTCTCTTTAAGAGGCACTTAATGGATTGTATTAGATAAAAAGAAGCTTTCCGTTTCTAGCATTCTGCTCTAAGGGTTTAGTAATGAGGGCGGGTAGTAAAGCATGCAAGGCTGTATCCAGAAGCTACAAAAGGCGACGAGAAAATATGTAAGTAGATATGGCAGTAGCGTAGAGAGAAGGCACATCAGTTGCGGAATCTTGCAGCATCAGGAATGTAAGAAGGTGAACAACAAATGGCAGAATTACTTCATTGGGGTGGCCCTTGTCCTGCGAATGTTCCTGTACAGCTTCATCATGCTTTCGGCAGGCATGATAATCGCAAAACCAGTTTTGGGAATACACACTAGAGTCTATTTAACTAGACGAAAAGACAATCATTAGGTGGGTATCTAATCGTTATCAAACGCCAGTCCTCGTTCATAAAGCCACCCAAAACCCCCTGAGGAACTCAGTCTCGGGACATCGCCGCCAGTGCCAAATCTCTCAAATATCGCCCATAGGCTTGAACCTCCCCCGCCCTCCTCTCAAACGCCGCCCTCCCCTCCTTCCGCTTCTCCTCCTCCCACTCTACTTCCAAAACAAAACGATACTTCTCTTGGAGCCAAGCTCCAATCATCGCGGCAGACCAGCCACCAATCCAGGCCAGTCCCGGAACGTTCTCGTATTCTTCTAGATTGTAGAGGTCTGCAATGAGATCATTTGCAGCGTCTGGATTGAGCTCTTTCTTCCGAACCTTCTCGACGATGTCTAGATGAAGTGATCTGACGCGAGAGCGCTGAATTGCATTGTCTAGAGTCTTTACAAGGGCGGTGTCGTTCAAAATGGCCCAACAACCAAACAGCAAGTACTCGAACTCGGAAATGGATGGGCCGCCGACATAGAGGGGGTCGGCCGTCTGATTGAAGTTGTTGTCGATGCGGAGCTTGATATGTTGGTGCATATCCTTGATCTTCTGGAGTGCGGCGTAATAGAGGTCCTCGAAGTCTTCAAGTGGACGGCGATGCGGTAGTTTGGAGATGCGATGGTGGACTGCGGCTCGGATCCTAACTTTATCGCAATTTCGTGCTTTCACCGGACTAAGGACTAGTTTGCCGTCGTAGAGTCTATCATTAAGTGTTTTCAGTGAAACAATGTCTGGATCATCGTCTGTAGCCTTCCACATCGTACTCCGGTCATAATGCTCAAGAAGCTTCTCGGAAATGGTGATTAGTACGTGCTTGACGTCATCGTCTGGACGAAGGAAGTCTGTAGCTTCGACAGTCGCTTGAGAGGCAGCAATAGGGAGTTCAGGGAGCTCATTTCGGGTAGAGTGTTCACAGCGGGGCCCAGGCATCTCGAAGACTTGTCCATAGGAGCTCGTGACGCGAGTGATGTGTTAGCGGAGAAGAGTAGCGGAGAAGAGAGCCGAAGGGGGGGATGAAATCCTCGTAGGAAATAAGAGCTGACGAGACTAGAGACACGGGCGAGGCAGTTGTAGGAATAGCTCTTTCGAACTTCGTGATATGAGGGAGGTCGTCGTGGCAGATAACGCTGCAGGACTGCGAGGCTTCGAGCGACGGCTGTGCCGACGACGACGCTCAACAAATCCAAGATACGAAAGAGGTGTACACGGAGAGAAGCGCTCCAGACGGTCGTGGGAGAAGTGAGACATTAGTGGGGTTAGAGAACGGAACTTGAGAATTTTATGCTGCGAGTGAAGTGCGTGTAGGCTGACGGCGTGCTGACGGACCGCTGGAGGCTGGGAGAAATTCCTGCTCTTGAAGAGCGGTGAGTCTTGGCGACGTGAAGTCGTGGTGATGGTGGCCTTTCACCACCCCTTTCAACGCTTAGTCATTCCGAAATCAGGAGCCACTCTGCCCGCTTACCAAGAGCTCCTAATACTATCAACTCGACAGCATGGCCAGTATTTCCTATTTCGACCTTAAATTAGTCAAATCATTTATCGTACCCGGTATATAAACACGCTACTCTCGGCTGGCCTACTTCATCGCTGCTAAAGCAACAGTGCCCTATTTTGTCCCTCTCTCCCCTGATGGTCACGCCCCACTGGACCGGTGCCTCCGCAATGTCTGCCCCCACCTCAACTATGGAGTCGCCCTCATGTTGTAAATGGCGTGCAGCACTAATAACAGCACTATTGGTTCCGCCGACTGGTAAACACTTTGGATATCGACTAATGCATGCAGCAAGTAGGTAGGCGCCCATGGGAGTGGAACCTCAGCTAATAGTGGCGATAAGCGCAGAGCCCGAGTATCCTAGCCCTGAAAAGACGCTTTCGGACTTAGACAGGTGGCTGCACATCGTTAGTCGTCAAATGTCAAGACTAGGACTCCATTCTTGTACGCTGGGGTACTAGCTGGGCAGATTGATTGCAAGACGAACCGGTGAAGTAAGATACCAGCGACCAACAAGGGAACACTCCATGTGTGGGGGAGCTGGAGGAAGTAGGTTGACCGCTGGTCGGGACAAGGAATCATAACACGCAACGGAGCGTGCTGAATGGCGTAGCGCACCCATTCTCGGCCCGCCAGCATGCAGGTAAAAAGGCTATTATAAGTGAGGTAAAGGAGAGATATAATCGTTTGTAGTAAGTTTGCTAGGAGGACTTAGGGCATGATGGAGTCTGACGAGCTGAGATTTATATCGATTCAGTAGTTAGTGTCTACTTTGCCAAAACCGTTCCGGGTATCTTGGGAATTGGATTTATTCATGTTGATGACCCCGAGGAGAGGCGTGGCCATAGCGATAGCGGCTATGTGCCTAGAACACAATCAGCCTTGCAAAAGGGAGAGGGAACCAACCGCCATGGACGCACTAAAGGAAAGAGACAATCCACCTCCCAGCACTGCATGCACCAAACCACGATTCCCGATTTTGAGGCTGCCATTTTTGATTGAGACGTGTTTCAGGGACTTTCCAGAGAACGGATTCAACTTGACACTTTTAGTCGACAATCTGGCTGAGACAGTCTAGCAGATGCCAGTCAGTTAGTGGAGACTTGAGAAGGATTCGTTTGAGCGCGTATATGCAAAGTCTGGTCCTCCGTTGTAACGTTGAATTAGTAGATCCCCGCTACAGGATACGGCTAACTTTAGGGAATCGGAGGCATTCATTCCAAGAATCTCGCAAATACCGACAGGGGGAACGGCAAAACCTGCGCCAGCATTTCGTGATGAAGGGTCCGCCATATCGTGCCTTACACTCCGAGCCTGTAATGTTCTCGAATAATTTTAGATCGAGGTATTTGTCGTCAAATGAAAGATCTTCGAGTCTGGAGACGAAATTATTGGTGGAGTTTAGGATTTCGGCACTAATGTTCTAATTCGAACTATCCTTCCTGGTAAAAAACTCGGCAGACGCAATGAGGAAGTCAACGTTATTTGCTGCAATTGTTTCAAACAGGATACTGTTATAACTATGAGGCCATTAGTCAACTTTACTCACAAACGTTTGGCGAATGACTTGTAGGAAGTGCAACGGCACGCTGCTCATAGATAGCATACACCAGAGTACTGTCCTTGCAGGGCGGATGGAAGAGAGGTTCCTCACGCTTGGCACTCCGACATCTAACCATTTATGGTTCGTATGTGCGTTGTAAGCCTCTTTCTCAAAAGGTGTATTGCAGTGGTCCAACCACTAGCCTTGATGAAGCCTCTAGTAAAAGCAAGCAGTAGCTACACCACCATTGGCTTCCAGACCATAGTAGCTGGTATTGCGAGTATAACTTTCATGAAAAGAACGGCTAAAGCAGCTAAGACAGAGAGGAGAACTCCACCGTGCTAGCCTGAAAACCTAGTCCGTCATATCGATGTTCGCGGTATCCTTTGCCCGACTTCATATTTCGCTTCCTCGTGGATGTACACTTTCGTGAGAGGTATCGTTTCGAGATGTACGAGGTCAATGGTCTTAGAATAGTCTTGAGTGTCTAAATATTGCAATTGTTAGTTAGTGTTCTCGTCGAGGTTTGAGACTTCTCCGGTGCGTACTCATGGCTTTCAATCTTCCGGAATTCCCTTGCAGAACATCTCAAGTCTTTTAGAAGATCGAGAGATGGCGAAGCAATATACTTGTAGCAGGGTCGAATTGCAGCGACATGTATTCCTATCTAGTAGGGGGAGTAAATCCACATGATATTACAACACTTCAAGGCATCCAAGTTGCACGAAGCAGGGCTGAACTCAAACACACATCGCGCGACATCTACAGCACAAGATGCGATGACATCGCTGGAATGAGAATATGGGAGGTCGACTGGAAAAATGGTCGATACCTCTGAGGAGAATCGTGCGTCGAACTCCTTGACGATGGTTGACGAAAGAACAATGCCAAAGCTGAAAATGCTGCGTCAAGGGGCCGACGGAGAATCACGTGCCGATCGGTCCAACATTCTTCAGCCCCTCCCCTGTTTCCTCATCATCACCCACATCAACACAAACCACCTCTGAGTCCAGGCAGCAGGCAGCAATCAATGAGAGGAGAGATCCCGAACGCGACCTATGAATAGCGCAATGGCGTCACTACCCCTTTGCATGTCACCGACAACGAAAGCCAACCGAAACCCTCAGCTTCACGAGGCTCTGGACTCAGGGGTAAGAGGGACGCGTATTTGCGCCCCGTATCCTTTTCACCGGATTTTGGCACAGCGCTTGGGGCCATTGTCGCACGGCAGAGTTAAAAACGTCCAAAGAAGCAAACAGACGAAAATGAGTCGGGTGAAAAGGCATCCGAGGACATGTTGAAGATGTCAAGAGCCTGGAGTTCTCCCTTTTGCTGCTGTCGCTAAATTTGGACCTTCTTCAGCCCTGTCGCCATGCAATTTGGCGAACGCCATTAGCAATCAGGACATGCATTGTTTGCGCCATGAGGCTGTGCGTTCGTGCTTCCTTGGAAATGGACAAGCAGCCGCTGGGACGAATTTCGATGTGGTAAGAAGCAAGAAGGCGGGATGTTCTTCCGTGATTATGTCCCTGCTGGTTTGCAATAGCCAGCATACAATTTCCCTCCTCGTACATTCCCAGCTTTACTCAAACACCAACTCTGCATCATCTTCAGCCTTCGTTCACCAAAATTGCAGGATGGCAGTTTAACGGCTGCATGCCTCACTAGCTGTTGAATTTCGCTTCCACCAAGTTACTTTCAGATCATTACACACTGCACGGCCGAATGCCCGGATCTCCGTCGGCTTGGTCAATCAAGAGCATTATTACAAGCCTTCTCGGAAGCAAGCGGGGAAGTAGTGGGCAACCAATTGTGGCGTCCACCAAGCAAGCCATCGCTTGTTTGAGCCACATGCTGGGCTGGCAGCCCCCAAACACACGAGAATACTTTGGAAAAATGGTCTCACCTAGAAATTTTAGCCTTTTGGTGCGGAGTCACTCGTCTTTTCCTCCTGACTGGGATTAGAACGGCCCGCACTGAACGCATCTTTTTTATGCTGCATCGTCCCGCATCCTTCTTCCTAGGTTTTCCGGCATTTGAATGCCTCCCACACTCTTTTCTGCACTCTCTATCTAATAACTTAATTCGTAATTTTATCTCTCGCCAGGCCTCTGGTTCGAGGTTCTGCCTCGGTTTGGAGAGATGCCGTCCCACCTCAAACGTCAAAATTTTGGCCCTTCATGTTCGGCAGGGAATTGGTACTCTTGCGAAAACTCGAAGTTTGTCGGATGCTGCGAAAGTAACCCATGTACAAACGGCTGTCCTCAGGACAACATTCGTCCAGCAGGCTTCGATTCCACCTACAAAGGAAAATTTCCGGATGCCAGTTGTGGGGTGGACAGCAACTTCTATACGTGTGATTACCCAAATGGGGGTACCTTTTGGGGCTGTTGTAAATCGGATCCATGCCAGCAAGAACAATGTCCAACAGGAGATTTGGTTCCAGCATTCCTTGATAGACCAGAGCAGTCTGCAGCGTATTCTCCGACCGGAGTACCCTCCGCCACCTTTTTAGCAAGTCGATCCGCTTCATCAAGCATTGCCTTAACAACTACTATATCAACCATAACACCTGTCGCTCTCGAAGCCAACGCACAACCGGAAAAGAAAGGGTTACCAATACCACTAATTGCTGGCTCCGCAGGAGGAGGAGCTGTTGCGCTAATAATCATTGGGCTTCTCATCTACTATATCCTCCATGCAAGGAAGTCGCGGAAAGAGCATATTGAGCAAATCGAGACTAGGTTAGCCGATCTGCCAGCAAGTAAGGGTGGAGAAAAGCCCAATGGGCCAAGGTCACCATCCGAAGGTCAGTATTTTCAAAAGCCCCAGCTTAAGGCCATTATCATTGACAAACTTCATCACAGGTCTCGGCCCGGCATCCTACAATTCTCCTAAATCTTCTCAGCAGCTTCAGAACGAGCATCCTCATGCTCTCTCACCAGCGAGCAGCGTCGGCCGGAAACCCATCACCAACCGATCACCCCATCTCTCCGAGCTTTCGGGAGAGACAGTGCGAGGACCAGAGCCTGAAAGCCCTTGGCATCCTCCCAAATCTAGATCGCCTCAGAGTTCTCGGGAGACGTGGGGAGCACCCATATCTCAACAGCATCCACAGCATCCGCAACATCGCATTTACAGCGTTCGGGGGTCCCCTAACCCCGTGGCAGCAAGCAAAAATCATCAGGAGATGTGGGGAACTGGACACCATCAGGTGTCTCCGCAGATGGATCGACAGGCATGGGAGTACCAAAATACATGGAACGGTGCTACCTCACAGCCATCACCGCAGAGAATCCAAAATGAGTGGGGTTCTATCAACCCACAGTCATCACAGCAGTGGAACCAAAATGAATGGAAATCTACCAATCCACAATCATCGCCGCTGAGAAACCCTGGCGGTTGGAACTCGAGCACTCCACAATCACAGCACCATAACCAATATTATCAGCAGGAAGCCCCTCATGCCCATAGGCCACCAGAACGTTCGCAAGAGCCGTGGACGTCCCCCTACTCACAATTCGCTCCAGCATCAAGCCCGCGACGAACGCAGAGATCCCTTTCGAATCCTCAAGATCGAGATAGAGATACTTGGGAATATTCCAACGTCCCACCACAACAGCCTCGAGACACATTGGGTCCTGAGCACCCCCAGCAATCATCGCACAATCATCTTCCTGATGCCTGGCCTCTTCCCCGTTCACATCCACAGTCGCCGCTTCCGCGCCCTGAAACGGGGTGGGAGTCTACCTCCCCTCATGTTGTACCTGGTCCACATTCACCGCCCCGGAGCCCGGAGAGTAACAGAATGCACGCGCAATCGCCGCCGCAGAGTTCTCCAACCGTACGAATGGTAGAGGAGCCAAAGGGGACGAGACACCCGTGGCGGTCAGACAGGGGGTCTGGGCACGAACCACTGGCGCCACAGGAGTCGGGCGCTTACGGTCATGAACGGGAGAAAGAATCACCGGGAAACAAGCCGAAGGAATCGAGTTCGACGTGGATTTAGAGCGACCTTGATTTCGAAGCTTCGATGAGTTTCGGGCGTTTCATCTGTATTATTATGTTCCCATTAGTAATTTCTTTTAGGGTTTTAGGGTATGCAGTGACATGACGACTGTCTCATTTCTTAAGTATCGTTGTTACGCGGCATGTACATAGAGGGCTAGATGCATCTGGGAGAGGAGTCGGATCTAATTGCTTTGGAAATGGAAAGGCGACTGGTTTTGAAAAAAGCAACGGGCCGGAGGCATTCAGATTTAGCACATGAAACGAGCCTTTACCTGCAATACGAGCGGGACTGAAACCAAAAGAAATACTATTCCGCAGGTTCCCACCTAACATGCAATCTGACCAGGGTAGAGCTAGAATCGGGGAGAATGTCTACAAGATAGCAATTTCTATCCTGAAATACACCCCTGTTATGTTCCACATGAGGTGACAAGATGCAGTACTAGGTCTGTAACAACCGTCCCTTCCCTATCCACAAACCCAACATCCCTTACGTTCTCCCTCATGGCCACCCATGTCGCCACACCATCCTTATCCCACCCAAAATCCACCATACCCCTCCTCTCAATCTCAGCCCACTCACACTCCCTCTACCCCACTCCCGGGATATCACAGACCCCAAAACAACCGTCTTCTCCTCCCTTTCCTCAACGTTAACAACTAGCATGCTCAAAACCGCGCCCGCGAACCCAAAATTCGCATCAATCTGAAATGGCATATCTCTCTCACTATACATACTCAACGCATTGCCCACAAAATTCAGCTTAATCGCATACTTGAGCTCAAAATACGCTCGCTCCGTATTATTAAGGCGAGCCTAGCATGCAGCCCGCTAGACCTTCTCCCAGCCTGAGTTTGCATCGGGTCCGTTTCCGAAGCGTCTGGAATGTAAGGAATTAGCGATGGCGGTTTGGATGGTTTGGTTTGTGTAGCCGGAGAAATATTGGGGTGAGGAGGAGATGATAGAGAGACTTAGGTACCAACTCCAGAGGTGTGAGAGGTGTCTGTGGGGGTCGTTTTGGATGTCGTAAGTTTCCGTTTCTTCTGGATTAGAGAGCTTCCATTCTTTAAGGCTGTTCCAGGGTGTTAGATGGAGGCCTTTGTCGAGACGGGTCGGGTTCTGGTTACGTTGTTCCGGAATGAAGAATCTGGCTTGGAGGCCAGAGGGTCGAGGATGGTTACGTTGGTGAAGAGTTTATGGAGCAGTTGTTGGTAGTGTGTGCATTCAAAGGTCGTGGGGCCGTGTTCGGGGCTGTCGCAGGGGTTTACGACGAGGGTGTCGTCGTTCCAGCAGTGGTCTTCCTGGAGTTGGAAAGCCAGAATTGGGATACACCTTTGAGGAGGGGGTAGCCAGTATCGTGGACCTATGTGAAGTTCTGGGAGGATGCGAAGTGATCGGTTACGTGCTGCATCATCCAAGCTGCAGATATTGGATCTAAATTTGTGTCAAAAGAAGAAGTTTAAAGAAGCGTGTATGGCGTACAATACGCCCATTGTGCGGTGCCCTTCACCACAGTGTGTCCAAATATGTTCATTTTATCGTATGTTACCCATCCAGGAGCGCCATACAGGAGCTTCGCTGTCTTGGTTCCTCGCAACACCCAAGTATCTTGCATGTACCGCCACAGGCCGTCTTGGATATCCCCTAGCCAGGTTTGCTCGGCAGCCTAATAATTCATTTGGAGGTTGAAGTTTGCATGATAATCTGCACTCCATGCCTCTACGAGTTCCGAACTCCACCGTCCCTGGAGATTAGCTAGTAGGGAATTCTCTCGTGAGGACGAAATGAGAAAGGTGACGAGAATAGTCGAATAATAGCGATTCGACGAAAGGAGCCCCTTGAGAATAATTATATTGGCTGAAAATCTTAGAAGTCTCCATTGCGGCAGAGCCATTCAGGTCTTGTAGCTCAAGAGTGAAAGCCCCGGATAGGAGTTCATAGTCTTTTATGTGTCTCTGTTCAAGTTCGGCGCTCGATATTGAAGCAGCTGCAGTTGTGATCTGCCTGCATCTACGCTATCGGATCATTGCCACGAAATGAAAAGTTACTCGCTACGTTTCCTTTATATTGTTAATAATTCGTCCCGGCTCCTACTACGATGCTAATTGAGTGCACTCCAAAAATCGAAGGGACCAGTAGCGTCCCTATCCCAGCTGAATTTGTCTTGCTGCAATGCGTCGAGTAGTTTCCAATCCCAGTGACTTTAACCACGCCCTCGTATTTCATACCTTCAGGTGGTCTAACCTGATTGACACCCTGCAGCCTAACTTAGTCCCTGCCGCACGAAGAATTTGCTCAAGTATCGTTGACGAGCTGGTTCTTCAATTTGAGCGAAATTACTGGTAGCATGGTAGTAGAGCTGAGCTCGTAGATACAGACCTGATCAGGGCCGCTGCAGTAAGTTTGCGTTATGTATCTGTCGCCGTTGTTTATAGAGAACTGTGTGGTGTATATCCCAGTTTCGAGGTCCAAGGTCCTTTTGTAGTTCCCTAACACTGAGAGACATCTTCCACCATCAGCAGGGCTCGTTGTTAAATGAGAGTTCATACTTCCGGTTGTATCCTGAAAAAATCCAACCGCGTATTCCTGAAAGGCAGGATGACATCTCCTCTGAGGCGTTACCACCCGTGCAGTTCTGTAACGAATTAGTCTCCATATTCAAAATGGAAATCAAATTGACTTAAAAAGAAGTAATGGGAAAATCATTGGGCGAAAGTAAATATGTGGAACAAAAATTGCTTACATCTGCCCCGAAAGGACCGCCAGACCAGAGGGAATCGATATTCAGGACGACCTTCTCAGCCCCCGGCGGACCGAATGGCATAGCCTTGTAGCGTTAGGATTTGTGGCTATAAGGGAACTCATTTTGTTGGAGTTATACATACCACCCAGTGTTCTATTACCCAGCAAGTACACTTCCTTAATGATATCGGAGTAATTTGTGACTGGAGATGAAGACCATAGTATTTGGGCATCACACAAGGCAGTCGAAGATGCTAGGAACAGATATTGTCGATAGCAGAACATCCTTCACTGAGACGCTTTTGGTAAAGCGAGGAAGTATGTAGGTGAGCATGTTAAGGGAAGCGAATCTAGAGGTGCCTTGTTCGAAATACGTCCATAGAGAGCATGAATTAGGAGATAGTAGAAATAGTCTACATGGGATGCGGAGAAACTGGAAATGGAAATAATATGCAGGTACCGCTCAAAGACCGTTTTCGTCGGTAAGAGAATTGCTCCGAGGCGGGGTACATTTGACCGAGAGGGAGGAAACTTCAACAGCAGATATTTGCTTTTTCGGAGAGCGTAGGACATGATGTTGCGGATATATGTACTCGCTGGTTACGGTTAGGAAGAGGGTTGACATTTCCCTAGATGAGGTGCTATTTCTTTTGGGCTCCATAAGCCACTACCGCCACGCAGCATGACGTCAATCACCAGCCCACACACTTGCATTCCGCGCGTCGCCCAAATCTTTGTCAACGACTCAATCGTGCTCAGTCAGCGGCTTCCCAACACAACCATGAGGCTCGCAGGCTCCCATTGCGCACTGTCTTCACAATGAGTAGCTATCTACAGCAGGTTTCCTACTTCCTCCGCCTCCCGTTCCATATCCAATGGCGCACCTTCTTGGTCCAATTGCCGCGATACGTTCCCCTCACCGTACTACATATTACGTCTCCGAAGGGACCACACCCCTTTGTGATTGCGCTGCCGAGCAGGAAGAACAATGGTACGGTTCCTGTCTACGTCTTTTCCCCTCCCCAGCCAGTAGACCTTGGTGATGGCGGAGAGGCAGGCGGAGCGGAAGGTGAGTGGAAGGTTCCTGTTATCTTAGACTTCCACGGCGGGGGATTTATCATGGGATCTCCACTGGAGCAAGCACCGTACTGTTCGATGATGAGTAGGGAGCTTGGAGCGGTTGTCATCAGCGTGTCCTATCGCATCGGCCCGTTCCATCAGTTTCCAGCTGCGATCCACGACGCCGAAGATGTTCTATCTGCTATATTAGACACGGGTGGATTATCAAAGGCTGGGAGAGTGCTACGGACAGAGATACAGCGGCACTACTCTATTTTGCGGCAAGATGAGAGGAAACATGGACGTCATGGTCTGGGCGAGAAGACCACCATTGTACTCGATCCGACACGCCTATCCATCTCTGGCTTCTCTGCTGGCGGAAACATCGCTTTGAACATGGCAGTCTCAGTACCACCGTGTGCTGCTCTACTATTGCCTATGTCCCCCCGCCTGACTACCGCGAGGTCTACCACAACCCCATTGCCAAGTGATCCCTTCTCACCCCTTATCCCACCCCCCTGCGCTCCGACATATCTAGACGACCCATGCCAACCATGGCCATCACTCCTACTATCATCTGAAGCACAGCCGCGATTGCTGCCCCTTCTTCTCTTTTACCCCTCGCTCGACGCACGTCTACTTCCTCACGAACGACCCGCAAAGCCCATGCCCAGTGCCCTCAAAGGAAATGACAAGACGCCATCAAAGCCAAAAGCCCCAGGTCTCTTCAGTATCCTGGGCCCGACCTATCTTCCCAAAAGACTCCGTCCACACCCCCGCGCAAGCCCTGGTCTTGCCGACCCCTCCGATATCCAGAAGAACGCCGCCATCTTCCTTGTTCTACCTGAAAAAGACAGCCTCGCCGTCCAAAGCGATGTCTGGGTCGACAAGATGAATTTATCAGGCTGGAACGGTCCCATTCGGTTCGGTGATGGGCGGGCTGGGGATTGGAACGGACATGAAGGCGGGCTGCCGCTCACAGCGCGGCATGAGAATGGGGGGCTGGAAGTGTGGCATGCGCCAAGATGTAGACATGGTTGGACTCAGTTCCCGGAGATAGTGTTGGGGGATCATGAGAAGAGGGAACGGGATCTGGGGTTTACTAGGGCCCTGGAATTTGTGAAGGAGAGCTGGAGGAAGACATTGCCGGTCTCGGAATTCGAGGATAGGAGTCAGAGTATTCCGGCTCTGAAGATTCCTCCGTAGTGCATTAGCTTTGCGCGTCTGAGCAGCAGTTTGCAGGGTTCGATCTGGTCATAATGGGGGGAGGGGGGAGGGCGAAGGGCGATTCACAGCTCTAGTCCATAGCGAGACTACCATTTCGGTATTCTTTTCTAGACAGGGGTGTAAATGAACCAAGCAAAAATCCGATACTGTGTGTTCCGTGATGTAGCATAGGTTGAAGTCAGTCTGTCCAGGGAGGCAAGGAACAAACATGGAACGAAATGCTCATTTCCATCTAGGTAACCGCAAATAAAGTGCAACAACAAGAATGGGTTAGTATTTGGTTCACAGGATTCCACGCCACACGATAATTACGATACCGCTCTGGCATGCAAGCGGTGAGCCCACGACTGTAAGAGTTACTGGGATACTGTGAACCATGTCCTGGAAGAGACAATCCACCAGTTATTCCGGATCCAAGCAATACCAAAGGAATTAATTAAATCAGGGGGTTGTCCCTCCAAGAAACGGAAACACCTCCTAAAGCTGGGCGTGGGATACAACACACCATGCCAAGCATATCCATCGATATTTCACTTAGGTACGCAACCATCACACGCAGCAGATCTACAACGCAGCTCTGTATCGTGTCCAAGCCATTACGACACGACGCTCTACTGCGCTCACCTCCTCCACCCCAAATCCCGCCAAGTGCCTCCACAGCGTCTCATATTCTCTACAACTATGGGGAGCGTGGCATCCCATCCATCAAAAGCATTGCATCCCGGTCCCTTTCCTCCCTCTCACCGACGGCCCTCCGGAACCCGAACGAAACCATCAAGAAACAACATGGGGACGAATATCTATCGCTCTTGGCTAGAATTAGTTACGCTTTGCGAGCGTGCTTGGCTGCGGGCGGTCAGCTCTTAGGGCTCGTCCCGATGCCGAGAAGTCTTGGTTCTGGCTTGGCTGGCATGCGGGAGGGATGAGGGGTCGTGTTCCGCGGGCTCGGGGTAAGAAAAAAAGGTGGTGCAGTGCACGTATATTGGGAGATTCCTTATGCTTGGCCGTGCAACGTTGTAGCGACTTCAAAGGAGGGATGTGGTGGGGAGCGAAAGGTAGGGTGTGAGGAGAGGAGGTGGAGAGAGTGATGAGGGGTTACGGGACGCGAAACGAGGTATGACTTGGAGTTAGGAAGATGTGGGGAGAATTTACACGGGGCGTCAGCCTTATGGAGCGTGAAGTGGAGTGATCGGTTTCCGAATGAGATCGATGAAGTTGGCTTTGTTTGTGGTTGTAAGATGGATATGGTACGTCCACGTTAAGGGAAGGCTAAGTGAGCTGACTTATCAGACCGACAATGATGTTGTCTTGTGAGCAACATCTATCAATGATTCAGCGATCAGTTGGTTATCATCATCACTCGGGACAATACGGACAGTCGGGAGTGCGCTATCCGCCTGTCCGTTCGCACGCAGCTGTCGAGAAAGCACAATCCTGATAATATCTGGAGTGGTCTTGCTGCAGACGTCATCGGCAAGGATGACTTTGAAGGTTAGCCCTGACAACAAAGTCGGTGTCTTCTGTGCTAGCGGTAGTGGAGCTGAATTAGCCCAGAATCCTTAATTTGACATTGTTAGCATCAGCGTTGACTTTGCATCTTGTTTGAGATAGGGCCTGGTAATGGAGACACCACATGTGCCGAAGATCTGGACGTCGACGAAGACGACGCACATCAGCCCATAATTGCAGCACGCACAAGACGAGAGGTAAAATTGCGCAATCCCCAAAAAGTAAAGTCAAAATAAGCCTTCGCAAAAGGGTATGAGCACGGAATATTCCCCGCACTCAGGACACCAGCCTGGAGGATTTGCCGGCTGGGGCGCTTCTCAAGAATTGAAAAGGCAAGAAGGGGTGCAGCTCAGTGAACGAAAACCCGGGGACGATGGACCCTATCCTAGGCGCTTTGCGCGTGGCTGCGACATGGTGCTGTGGGAGTGGGCAGAGCAGCTGTGCTGTCGAAACGAGGCATGGCCGCAGATGGTGTTGCTCTGCCTATCCTAAGTCTCCAGAAGCGGGTCAGGGCGGTTCGTGTTGCGTCAGATGACTCTGGCCGATTCAGGAGAGCTAGCAGCGCTTGTGGGGTTCAAGTGATGAGAATGAGCGGTGTAAAGTGGTGAGGAGGGGAAAGAGATGACAGCACAACCAAAGATATAGACGGCTGGAGAGTGGGAATAGACTTTTCATTCATGGGAACATTGCTGTAGTGTGCTCTGCGGGCTTGCGTCTCAGTGTGGCAACAAACAGAAAAAGGCACAGTTTCGCGCTGCATGGTTCTGAGTGATGTGCAGCTATATGCAACGTGAAGAGCTCGAAGAAGGGTGCAGGGCGGGCTCGGCCATGCCATGGCAGGCTGGTTTCTTGGGTTGTCGAGCCGAGAACGTGGGCTTTCCACGCCTTTGACGCCGTGCGTGCAGCGGCTGGAGGGAATGAGCTGGCAATGACAATTTGGATTTGCTCGGACTTGCTCAACGCTCTCCGTCAGGGTGTCAAGGCCGTCAAAATGCGTCGATGTTGTTGGATCTGTGCAGATGACCAGCCCGAAGGCCTCATGGCATGTTGTCGCAACATGACGCCCGTTCGAATAAAGTGCATTCGGAAAGGCGCCGCTGAGCGCGCTGCTGACAAACGGGCGACAAAGGAAAATGAAGAGAGACAAAGAGAGCGCTGGACGGTGACAATAGAGTTCGTCAGCGTTGTATCTGTGCCCGCGTCAGGTGGCCGTTCGCCAATCGGTTTTAATTATTGACCTGAAGGACCCAAACTTGCAAATCACGGTCAAAAGCTGAGCGTCAACAGACTCAGGGCCACTCTAACGAGGCCCATTACACTGGCTCGGCATTCCTCTTGGGGTCGTTAATTACGGGCTCTGTGCGCCAGCCCACCTCTGGTATTTCGACTACCCAGAACCCGCCCGCCCCAACGCCCTTCATCTTCCCACTGATATCTCTCTCCTCTTCCTCACCTCAACGTCGTACGCTCCTCCCGCCCGACGGAGTCGTGCCGCACTCAGGAATGACAGCGTGATCGAGGCCTTACTTCGCCTAGCCAATTCTGTTTCGTCCAGGGCAGCAAATCGGACTTCGTTTCACAGCCATCGTGCGGCCGTTGCCACAGCTGCGGATCCTCACATCATTCCCGCCAGGTATCCCTCCCATCGTCTAGCAGGGCCAGGCCCTGGCAGCTCTGACAGCTCTGACATCTTCTCTAGTCCATCTGAATTAGACCCGTTCTCGAAACGACCCTTTCGAACTCCACCATGTTGCTGTCGATATTATAACACAGGAGTCCTTCGGGGCACGCCCATCCTATACTACAAAACCACGATTCGTCAACACACTCCACTAATACCCCCACCCAATACTCTCCTCTCACCATTCCGAATCTCAATTCCGGCTTTTCTTGGGCGGTACGCGTCCGATTATCCTACACTTGACATTCAATGCCCAACCGCAGTTCGCTGTCCGAAAACCGTTGAACGCAAAAAAGGTCCTGAACAACACGAGATCTTTCTGCCTTCTCTTCAACCATCCCACCCCGCTTTAAGCGATTGCTCCATTGCACATTAGGAGCAAACAGTTGCGCCCAGAAGTCCATATCTTCGCCGCTCCATTTATCCCTGCTTCAGACCTCTAAGACATGGCACAAGAAGGACACAATTATGGCAGCAGACAAGGAGCACTAGAAGGTCCAGTAGTCCGAAATATCCCGGCAAATGTGGTTTCTCCCACGGTCCCAGAGGAGGAGCTCTTAGCCGACGACGAGCCTCCAGACGAGCGTCGTACCCCGCGTCCTTCGGTGTTGAAGCTGCATGAGGTATTCAAGACTTCCTTCTCTAAGACGACACCTCCAAACCCTGAACGCAAACAGTCGCTTCTGACTAACGCCTTGCACTCGAATGAAACGTCCCCTACTGAAGAGCATCCCGAGGCCACCCCTATAAGCCGAGGAATGTCGTGCGCCTCGACGTGGAGCAATGCATCGACCGCAGAGCTTACGAGCGATGGCGGTTTCACAAGCCCTGGCACAAGGACAAGCACGCCGAGCCCGCCACTACCTTCATCCTCTTTCCACGGCATGGCGCCAATCTTCACCAGGAAGCTCTTCGAACAACCAGTGTCCATTGTACGACACGATGACGAGAACATTGGTCCTCTACAGAAGGTATTGACAGCACCACCGGAAGAAACCACAGTGGAAGCAAACTTGGGACGAAAGCGAACCATTACGTTCGCATGTGGCCGCAAAGACACACCAAAACCTGTAGCGGAAGCACCGAAAGTCAAAGGATCCCCACCGCAGCCGGAGGATCCCCCTAGGCGTGTCTGCACCATCAAATTTGCGTGCCCGTCCAAAGTCCCCACTGGGTCTCCTTCCAAGGACGGCAAGCCGCGCCTTCCTCGTGCGGCCAGCCCAGCACCCTTCGTACACCGTCTACGTACATCTCCTAAAGTACCACCAAAACCACATCGCGACTCTGACTCGACTGTCCGCAACACTTATCCTATCATCGAACGAAAGACCCCCACGGTTGACCGTTCCCGAAGGCTGAGCGTGAACTCGGACCTTGCTCGCTCCGAAGCATTCCGCTTCCATGAATTCGCTAGCTCTGAAGAAGAAGTTGACGAATGGCTGCAAGAGTCGACCTGCCACCGAAGCCGGCTCACTGTCGGCGACACCCTCAAGGTCGAAAGCAAACTTCGACAGCTTGGGGAAGAGGTGGAAGAGGAAGCCTTGGAGGACGAGCAAGAGGCCGAAATGGCAGAAGAGGACGATGAAAACGACGTCGATGATGATGATGATGATGATGATGATGATGATGATCTAGACGAGGAGGACGAGGACGTGGACGAGGAGGACGCCGACGATGATGTCTCCGACGAGGGTTTCCAGACTGACGATGAACAGGGTTTTGCAGGCTCAGAAGACGACAGCGATGCAGGGTCCGATTACGCTTGGTGGGCGCCTGGACGCTCAACCGCAGCGACCTCAATGGATCATCTTGAACACATTCGTCCCAGCAGCCGCCGCTCTGCTTCAGAGTCGTCAATTGGATCTATGGAGAGCGCACCTGGTTTCCGCAGGAGACTCGAGAAAACGCGAAAGCGGAGGAAGTCACGACCCGTAAACATCCGCGTCCCTAGCCCTGAGCTTCCGGACAGCACTGACTTCGTTTGTGGAACTCTTGACGAGGACAGGCCTCTTGAAGATGCTTATCTGTCTTGTCTGGAACGCCGACGTGCAGCCAAGCACAAGGTGACTCCCCAAGACATCGATCCGACATTCCCAACGTCGGACCCTGAGATGGATGAGGAAGACGAAAACGACGAGGCAGATAACATTGCCTCGGAAAGTGACCAACAAGTCTGGATGCATGGTCAAATGGATCCCCTTGAGGATGTTGAGCTTCGTGGACGTCGCAAAGACGTTTCTAAGAAACGCTCCCCTGTGCAGTCACCCAAACGTCTTCGATCACCCCCACCAGCCAAACGCGCAATGCATCGATCTCCACCTCCAAGGAAGCTCTTCGGTCAATCCCCCAGGCGTCTTCGTTCTCCTGCTCCTGTTCGACTTAGGTCACCACCACCAACCCGCCGTGGCTCGACTGTCATGTCATCTAAGCGTCCTGGTCTTTCGGTTCGGTTCGGTTGTCTTGGAGAACGTCCCGCCCTTACCATCTCATCTTCCCTCCCACGAACCCCTGTGACATCTCACCATCCTGAAGACTCTGAGGACGAAGACACCTGCCAGGAGGCGACGCCAATTCGTCGCGCCATCGACATCAAGATTGGTCTCGAAAACAAGCGGCAGCGTCGCAAGGAACAGCTCTACAAGAAGCTTCACCGCAAGGCTTGCAAAGACAAAGGCAAGCGACCACCACCTGGCAAAGGTTGCGAACGAATGCGCGAGGTCGCCATGGGTGTAGCCGCTCACAAGGGCAAGATGACTGGCTTCGCCCGTGGCATTCCGCCAACGCCAGACCAAAAAGACATGCATGTGCTGTCAGTGTAGTCGACAAAATTCCCGAGCGAGAACTAGCGCCGCTGACATTGAGTCGGCACCTCACAAGTTTCTTCCAAGTAAAATACCTGTTGGTCGCTAGTCTCCTATTTATTGAGGCGCGCCTGGAGGCATGCGCCCTTTTCTACTCATTCTTAATATTCTTGGTCATACTTTACCCTTCCTTCTGATGTACATACCGCGTGCCGGGCCTACTCGGCTCCGCAGGTTTTCTCATACATACATAAGTTTTGTGTATAGCATTTTTCCTTGGACTAGCGTTTCCTGGACCAAATCGATTCAGAATTTCATTTTTTAGCCTTGATGACATTATTATACCATTGCATAGCGAGCATCCCTCGTTTGTTTGAGGTGGAGCAGCTGGATTTTGGGTCTGGAAATTTGTTCAAAACTTGGTCAGCTAAGGGTGGATATCTGAAGAATGTGGTGGGGTCTCGGTGGTGTGCTCTTATTGTTTCGTGTCCTATTTCCTTCGAGGAAATTGCCTTACGGCCTAAGATAGTCCCGTCATACGTGACATCAATGCCAATGTGATCATACTAGTGCGCTTTTGAGATTATACCTATGACGTAGGATGTTTTGTCTTGCGCAAAGCACGCACTATTTGGAAGGCTCAGACGGAGGCGTATGTGAGGATCTTTTTTTTTTTTTTGGATTTGCGCGACATGTGAAGTGAACGATGGGAGCAATGCAAGGGAGAGAACAGGTTTGCGGCGTGGTTGTGCGTCCGGAGTGCATCTCCGCAAAAGCAACGGCAGCGCGAATGCTCGCGTACCGGGACCAGGGTGATCACGCAAGAGTATTGAATTTATCGTGACAATCATCAGGCGCTACATGTGCGTTCAAACGATCTCCAATCCTCAGGCATCTATTCCCACGTGCGACGTCCAGAGAAGGACAATGATTGGCGGAGGGAGCTAAAAGGGGCAACGGGCGTGCGCAATTTTAGCCTCGCGAGATCTCCCGCTTGTGCAGCTGGTTGATGCTTGGTGTGTGACGAACACACACACCGGAGGCTGCCCTATGTTGGGGGATTTTTTGGAGGCGCGGCGGAAGCTGACAGACAGTACGGTGTTCCAGAGGGACTGGGAGCTTGGTTGGTGACGATGGAGCCATGGTTCTGCAAGCCATGATATAGCTGTGGCGCTGCAGGATGGGTTGGGGATGGTGAGATGAGGATGGCTGCGGCTGATGAATGAGCTAAATAACGAGCAGACTGCAGCCACGGTGCAAGGCTGACTACTCCTGCTCCTTCCTGCGTTGTGGAGAAGTGTGTCTGTTCGTGCATGGATCCTAAGAAAATCCTACTCAGGCGCTCAGAAGCGACGGTACGCATCGATGGAGAGACGAGATGGTTCTGCAATTGGGGCGTGGTCGTATGTAATATCAAAGTTGATACCATGTCGGAGGTCTGGCCCCTGCATGGAGAACGCCGGTCCCAGTGCGCCCCAACCGTCTTTGCTATGAAACGAACTCCTTTTTCGTGCACAGCACGGTCGGCTGCTGCTCCACAGCTGCTTCTTCGTCTCAACGCGCCAATGGCAGTCTCCGCTGCGCCTGCGGCTGTGTACAATTACCACGGAGAGCCTCATGCGTGTCGCGGCCACCATGCTTGCACAGTCTGTCCGGCGTTTATGAGCTGATGGACCCCGATCTATCCTCAAGCCTGTTGCTTCCTTTTGCAGCCTGAACTTTGCTCAGATCCTTTCACTTATACCTTCCCTTCGCATTTGGCTTTGGGTGTGTCTGTGTACATACACTGGATGTCGTCTCCGGTTTGATCACCCTCGTTTGCTTCCTGCTGCGCGTGCGTGCGCGTCCACCTCGACGGTGACAGCCTCTACCCCCAAAATGCTGCTCCGACGGCGCTGCAATGCCTTCGACGTCCTGACCTATTTCTTCGTTTCGGCCTGTGCCATTATTTTCCTCCTCATCTGCACTATCCTCTATGGCACCCGCACTGAGACCACGTCGCTCCCTTCCTACGTCAAGGAAGTCCTGCCCGCCGGCCGCTGTCTGTGCGAATACAGCACCACCTTCACCTGTGACACGTGTCTCGACTGTGCCGCGACACAATCTCCCCTGTCGCTCAATTCCACCACCGAGGAGGATGAGCAATGGACATTCTCCTACCGCACGGATGCGCAGAACTACGGGCTGGATGAGGACCAGTGCCAGGCTGCGTTTCCAGGCCTGTTTGAGGACATCGAGAGGGCCAAGAGGGAGAGAAGAGGAGTCAAGGTTACCGAGCGGGAATTGAGTTCTTTTGAGTTGACTAAGGGCATGGTGAGAGCCATGATCTACGACGGCGAGGTGAGACCCCCTCCCCGCCACCATCACAAGGCAGGAATCCAGGCAGCCAGGCAGCCTTGTTTTGCCGACCATGTTTCAATACTGGCAGAAACTGACAGGAGTGCTTGAACACAGCTTTATGTCCTCCGCACTAAACTGGTAGACAATATCAACCGCGAAAAAGCCATCGCCGCCCTCCACGCTATCCACCGCTCTATTGTCTCTGGCCGCCACAGCCAGAAGACCCCAAACATCGAATTTGTTTTCAGCGTTGAGGACCTCCCCGCACAGCCCTCAAAGCCCCTATGGGTGCTTGCCCGCCGCGCACAAGACCACAATCTCTGGCTGATCCCCGACTTTGGCTTCTGGAGCTGGGACGTTCCGCAAATAGGAACCTTCTCCGAGGTGGCAGCCGAGGCGATTGAACGCGAGGGCATAGAGCCATGGGACCAGAAACAGGAGAAACTGGTCTGGAGAGGCAAGGTCACAATGGCACCGAAATTGCGGCATGCCTTGTTGGATGCGGCGCGGGGAAAGTCATGGAGCGATGTGGGACAGGTTAGGTGGCATGATCCGGACTTTAAGGAGCAGTTTCTGGGGCCGGTGGATCAGTGCAATTACATGTTTATCGCGCATGCGGAGGGTAAGTTTGGCATTTCCCCTTCCCTCTTTGCCATCTGCCGATATTGCTTGGCTATGAGCTCGGAGGAATGAGTGCTAACGGTTATCACACGAGATAGGACGAAGCTACTCTGGCGCCCTCAAATACCGCCAACTCTGCCGCTCCGTCGTCGTCTCACACAAACTCCAATGGATCCAACACTACCACTACCTCCTCAAATCCAACGGCACCAACCAAAACTTCGTCGAAGTGGAACGCGACTTCTCAGACCTGAATTCCGCCATGAAAGATCTGCTCGCGCACCCCGAAAAGGCAAAACGTATCGCAGACAACTCGGTGCAAGTTTTCCGTGAACGGTATCTGACGCCGGCTGCGGAAGCATGTTATTGGCGGGCGTTGTTTAAAGCGTGGAAGGAGGTTAGTTTTGAACCGCTTTTGTATGCCGGTGTAGAGGTTGGGGAGAGGCTTAAGAGGACGCAGAAGAGGGGGATTAGGTTTGAAACGTTCACGTGAGTGTTTCCCCTCCGTTTCCCTTTGCCCTCATAACCGTGCCATCACTATGTATGATTTGTGGGCATGTACGTGTGCTAAAAACTATCCCAGGCTTTTCGAAACGGATAGACAAATGGAGTATCCGACCAGTGCTTAGGCACATTCATACGATTTACTACGCTTTCTCTTTATGTTGTTGGCATTATATACCCACTTTAGCGATGCATGGCATGTAGCTTAGGCGATACTTGGAGTTCATATGGTTTTTTTGGAGCGCAGCATATAGTGCCGCTCGTAGAGTGGAACAGAGCGAGAAAATAGGAAAGGGAAAAGCAGAAAAAGCCAAGTTTCAGTATGTTCATTCATCGGTTTGATGTCTGAGGCTACTCCTGAGAACTTTAATGGTGAGTGACTGATTCGTTGGAAGTTGGGTTTCTTCGATTTGCTTGGTTACCCACTCACCTACAAAGCCTGGGATCTTGGGCATAGAGAATTGAAGTAGGTTAGGCTGAGAAGGTCGCCAGACGAACCTGAGGTCAGAGTACAATCCTAGACTACAGATAGTGGTTCATTGTTCCTTTTTTCCCTCACATTTTTGATTGGAGACTCTGGGATGCTTCCAGTAATCTCATCGTCAGACTCTAGCCTAAGCGACCTATTTCACCAGTTTAGAAATAAACTCGGCTAGATATAAACAAACACCATCAATAGATTCCTAGATAGGAAGCACGATGCTTAAAGACCTCTCTGTCCGTGTGACTCAGATCTCGCCTCACCTCGCTGTGAAAACACACACAGGGAGATACACAGGTGTGAAATGCAAGATATAGAGAGCGTGAGTGTTCGAACAGGTTTCTAATCCTAGGTTATCAACACTGCGGATTAATCGGGGCACTGGGGATTCTGGCGAGGGTTCAGTGAAATACTACATTATACTAGGAGTAAGAGCAGATGGAAAGCGGGAGGTAGAAGGACTAGGGAATTGGGGGCTGTAGCTTCAACTTCGGGTACGAGATTAACATCAGAGTGGACAAACAGATCTCCATATTTGCAATGAGCGCGATGGGAGACACCATTGATGGACGAAAACGTCGCACTTTCATTGAAGATGTGCAGCTAGTTTTTGCCTGCAATAGCTGGTAGATGTTGTCTCCGTATGCTATCTTTGCCACCGTCTAGCAGCGGATCATGCCGGTAGGAAAAGGATGATAATAAGGCTGCCTTCGTGCGCATTAAATGAATGAATCCCCAAGTCAGCTCATTAGCCAATCCACCAAAGAAAGAAGGGTTCTTGTTATCGAGTACAATCCATTCCAAGGATCCTCGTCTTGTACATAGCGAGCATAGATATTGAAGTGGAGAGATCCATGGACAGTAGAATAGCTACGTGCCATTAAGGCCATGCCGTACCAATTACTGCGGCAGCTAGTTGTAATCATTTGCTTGTAAGAAGGGCCTGCTGCTAACAAAGGGTTGAGAGACGGATGGACTAGGACAAGCAAGGGGGATTGAGATCACAGTAGTGGGCGACCAAGCACATTATGTGCTGCGGACCGCCTTATTGAAGAAGACAGCGGATGACATAATCTCTAAAGATCTGGGTGTTCTGAGTATGGATCACACGCTCCAATGGTATCGTCGTTTACAATTCCGGCCAATTATTCCTTCAGAGCGTCAGTCGCTCTCCCAGGGAATGTCCATATGTCCACAGATCTGAGGAGTGTTCTGTGCCATATACACTGGAAGCCGGGGAATTGTTGCATCTGCGTGTTTCTCAGATCCAGATGTTGAGGAGGTATTATACTCGGTGGTGATAGCAGTCAAGCACTTCTCCTCACCCGATAGCCTAATCGGTGCTGATTTTTTGAAGAACGCGCGATGCAGGCTATGAGAGTGTAAGAGGTAATTCCGTCAATCGAAAGAAGAGTCATCGGTGGGGATGCAAAACTCACCTTGTCCAAACTACACTACCGGCCTCGAACCCAATGATCAATAGAAGCAGGATCATGACAACCTGGAGAATGAAGACGTCGTAGCCCCTCTTGCCATCCTTTTCAGCCTGCTTCATCCATTTCCGGCGCAGTTCATCGTCAACCTCACAGATGACCCTGCTCGTGCCGTCGTTGGTGATGGAGGCCTGAGGGAAGAACGGACTCTGCTTGTCCATGGATAAGAGAAGGCTGGTTGGTAGCGGATGCTGGGCGTGAAGCACTTTAGAGATGGTGTCCTGGCTGGCGAAGTAGAGTGGGAGGTTGTGGGATGCTGCGAATGTGCGGGCAGAGTGCCAGCTCAGGTCCTGGGAGCCGGCAATGTTGCACGGATGAGATGAAGGCTGGGGTGGGAAGGTAATACAGTGGCACTTTAGAGATGCAGGAGGGTCCATTGGAGAGGCCATGGCATAGGTGAGGGGTAGAAGCGAGAGGGTAGAGATGAAGTTTAGGTTGGTGAAGTACATGGTTGATGTGGGCTCGACGATGTTTTCGGTGCAGGAAGTAGATTATGGACTCGTTGGATAAAGAGGTGGTGTGAAGATTCTGTGGCTCCTGCTTAGTGATGCGCTCACGATTTGGCTGGCCAAACGTACTCTTCACTTGGAGTGGAAACACCTGACCTCAATGTTTGAATATCCAGTGAGGGTTTTGCATGATCCTAGTGGGGCAAGCCCTAAAGCCTTGTGATCCGTATACTTGAAGAGAAGTCGTCAGTATTTCGTTAGAAACAGGTGAAACATCCGTTTGTGATCCTCCGACAAGGCGCAGTCTCCAAGCTCTCGTAACAAGCGAGCACTCTGCAAATGCTAACAGTAGGTAGTACTTACGAACCTTCGTACTTTCGCGATTGGACACTCACGTTTGAGCGCGTTTACTAAGAGAAAAAGAGCCTCGGGGATCGAGACAAGCAATAGTGAGAGCTGGGCGGTTACGTGGTTTGCTTAGAAGGCTTGCAGTACCCTTGGCTGTTGGATGGCACAACCACCGCAATGTTTGCCAAGCGAACACAGCGGCAAGGCAGACACGGTGGCTAAAGCTGGGAAAGGAAGTGAAGAAGGAAACAAAAGGGAAATCGGGCCTTTAGGGCGAGGTTGAAGACACGAGGAGAAAGATTGGCCTATATCACTAGCCCAGTCGAAATGCTTGTTGGGTCCGGGATTGCCGGTGTGATGCTGTGGTGGGGCTGCTGCGCAATCCAAAGTGTAAAACTCGAACAGTGGAGGCGCGTGGTGTCAGAGGTGAAATGCAAGGCGCTGCACTTGCTCAGAATCGACAATCAAATGATAAAGCACACCTTGGGTGAGGTATGTTATGGCCACTACGAGCTCATGTTGTGAAGCGCTCGTGTGGTTGAAGTTGATCAATGTTTCGAAGCGGCGACGCTTCTGTGGGGCACGAAACGCCGTGTTGGTGGATGTACGGGGAAAGTGGAAGGTTCGAGCCCGTGGAGTCACACAGGGCATGCATGAGGGAAATGAAGCTTTGATGGGGATGCAACCCTCTGCATCCGTTCACGACTGATCCCTTCAAAACCCTGTCACGCCACGCTTTCCCAGTCCCAATTCAACCGCCAAGAAAAGCCAAGATCAGATAAGCAATGACAAGCTCACTTCAACCCACAAATTTCCTTGCAGTTACCAATCTGAGAGGCATTCTAAACTCTCAAGGCCTAGTCGGCTCTCCAGAGTTGTTGTTGCACAGAGAGGCGGCGAAAGAACCATACGCTACGTAAGATTCCACGCTCAAGTAGTGACGACAAGAAACTACCGTCAGCGGTGCAAGGACCAACGATCCAAGGAGCTGTAAAGTCCGTCTGTGTCACTTGGATCACCGGAAATAGCCCAGTGAAGTTGTCAGAGGGAACGAATGGTAGCGCTCCTAATAGATACCCGATGACAATACCCTATTGTTGAGTCGTCCAGTAAAGCCAAACTGTCGGCGACATTGTAGAGGCTGGCCAGACACGCAAGGTCTTGCGTGGTTGGAGCCCATGGGTTGTTGTGAAGTGCTCCGGATCGTTAAAGCGAGCACCTCGAGCAGCCAATGACACAAGACGTAATTCGTGGTAGTCAGCGAAAAGCAAAGATTGAAAGTGGGGAACCCACGACCACGCACACAACGCCTCAGCTTTCGTTTTCTGTTTCTGCATCGAACCACCACTGACTTCCAAATCGAGCCGCTGCAAGTACAGCTGTGCCGGAGAATATTGCTCACCTCATCATGCAGACAAAGCTCTTATTTGCCCCGGAGTCGGTATCGCAAATAGTGGCGCACTCTCCAACACTATGTTCCTGATCCAGGTCTCATTCTCCGCGGGAACGGTTTCACATCTCTCAGATCCCGAAACCAGAATGCTAAGCTTTAGCCAAGCTTTAGATGTCCAAGTCCAGATCAGCGGCTACCTGTTTTGGCTGTAGTGCCCGCTATTGGACAAGTCCTTCGCCAGGACCTCCTTGGCGAAGCTTCGGATGTCCATTTGGTATCGAACCAGCTGGCTGGCGCTTCTAGTCACTGCTGCCAGGTAGCTTTAACTTTGAACCTCCTGAAGGGGTGGCATATGTAAACTGTCTGAAGCATGTTTTACTACACCATGGTGACGGGCTCTGGTCCTGTCCTTCAATGTTCATATTCATATTCACTGTATAAAGTCTGTTCACCTCGCTTTTCTTAATCCTCCAGACTGGTTCTCGATTCCCTTTTCGTTACATCCTTATCTGAGTCTATTGTTCTTGGCCATAATTCGTACAACTGTCTTGTCAAAATGAGATTCTTCCAGCCTCTTGCCCTTTCTGTCATTGTCGGCCTGGTTGCCGCGTCTCCCGTTCCTTATAATGATGGATGTAAGGTCCCTAGCACAGAATAAGGGAGTGTTCAAGTCCTGATCATATTTAGCTCTCGAAATTCGAGCAGATTCAGTAGCCGACCCAGTTGATGCTCCCCTCATCGAGAAACGATATCCCGTTGCTGAGCCCCAAGCCAAAGGGAAAAAGGGCAAAAAGGGCAAAGGAAAGGCTAAGAAAGGAAAAGGAAAAGCGAAGAAGGCGAAGAAGGCGAAGAGGAGAGACGATAGCCTCTCCTCTCTCTCAGATATTTTGGAACGGGAAGTCGACACTGCTGCGATCGACACTGTTATCGTTGCACGGGACCCGGAACCCGAAGCTGAAGCTGAAGCCGACCCTGAGGCACTAGCCGAACTGTGGGAGCGATGTGAGTTGTCTACTGCTTCTCATGCCATTATAGCTAACAGCCTGTCAGTCGCTGAACCTGAACCTGCGCCGCAGGCAAACACAACCGCAGCAACCGCAGCAAAGGGTAAGGCTAAGGCCAAGGCCAAAGGGAAGGCTAAGGGTAAAGGCAAGGCAAAGGGTAAAGCAAAGGGGAAAGGAAAAGCGAAGGGAAAGGCGAAGGGTAAGGGAAAAGCAAAGTAGGCGAATTTTCCCAAACAAGCGTAGAAGTTGGGACATAGACGCGTAGTCTCAATCTTTCACATACAAATTTCGACCTGGACTTCATCAGTTAGTAGCCCCCAGCGACAAAACCATCGTGTAATTTCCTGTACGTATTCCATGACACCTGCTGCAAAAGTAGAATATTATCGAACCAATAATTGAATGAAGCTGATATTAGGTTCTTTGATATGTTGTCCTTCTATGTCTTTGCCCACTGCCGCATCTTTTCTACTCCGCCACCCAATCCTTCCGTGATGCCTCATAAGCAAAATCATGCTTTCCGCTTTCTCCCCACCGCCTACATGCACTGGATACTACACCCAATCTCTCAACTATCACGGCCGGGGACGCGTGGCCTAGAGTTTAAGGCACTCACACCCTCTGCAATTGGCCACTATCTGCCGCATTACTGCAGGAAAAATCCGTGGGCGGTAATACAGCCGAAACTAGGTCTGGGATTGGGTAAAGCGAAAAACATTTATTCCAACCGGACCGTGTCTATAGTTTTGCTTCTTGTACCTGTTTCAACATTTCAGTGTTTCCCTAAGACGTTTGCTTTTTTTTGCTTTTGGGAACTTCTGGCAAGGGAGGTGGTTTCTTCTTTGTGTTACAATCGACAATCATGTTTGTTTTATCTCTCTAATTTGACTTCCTTTCAGCAGTGCGGGTAGTCGTGATAGAGTTGACCTAAGTCAAGGGACAGGGTAAAAGATTAAAGTTAAGCGCAAGAACAAGGTGCAGATCTGAAACATAAGGCGGATTGGTTTCACGTTCCGTGTTTGTCTGCCCAACACAAACCGATCTAGCGCCACTGTCACAGGAACGTCAGACCCTGCAAACATCGCATGTTGAGTAGCGTTCGCACTGGACCTTGGCAGCGCGTGTTCGATCAAACAAGCTTTCGTTGCTTCAAAACATGCTATCCCTACCCTTATATTCCTTACATTTTACATATCTCGTCTCGCATTCGGTACAGCATCAAATACTAATTTGACATCTCGTAACTACGGACAGAGGACTTTAGTTTAGTAAATGTACCGGAAATTCGGATTCTCTCTATCCGTCAAATCGTCAAAAGCATGCACCAAACTCTCATCGTTTGCTTCCCTAACTCCTGCCTCGGCCAAACGGTCCTTATTTGCATTTCTGCTTTTTAAATCCCACCTCAAAAATGCAATCACTAATACCAATAACACATAACATCCCATGTGTGTGCTGAACGCGATGAAGTATCTTGGCGCGTCGCGAGTTAGGAAGACTTGTGGACCGATGGCATTTCCAGTAGCCCAAGCGATGAAGTTCATAGCTACTACAGCGGTTTTCTTAGTTTGGCCAGCGATATTGCGGGAGAGGAGGGACATGGAGAGAGTTTGGGCCGCCCAGAAGGAGAGAACAATGTAGTAGGAAATTAGGAGGCCGACTTGAGAGGCTTTGTTGTGGTTTCGAACAGTCATAAGGACGATGGTGCCGATGAAGGAGCTAGCGATTGCTGGTTAGTGTTTAAGAAAGGTGGGCGGAGAGTAGCTAAGGTGCATTCTTACGGGATCACGTAGATGCCCATGATGAGCAGATTCTGTCCAGTCCTCTTGACTAACCATGTGGAGCTCAGCAATGTCAGAATAATGACAACACCGAGCACCATTGCCAGGAGCTGTGTCTCCAGAGTGTTGAAGTGGAAACCTTTGATGATGATCTGCGAGAATGCCCCCAGACCTGATGTCGGAAGGGTCGTACAAATGGCAATCAAGCAATAGCACCACGACTGCGGATCGAGTAGTGCTTCCTTGATCTGATAGGCCCTGAACGTCTTGTTCTGAATGCCTGTTTGGTTTGAACGGACTCGTTCGATCATCAAGGATTTATCTTCTTCCGAGAAGCACTTTGCACGCATAGGGCTGTCTGCGAAAAGTTGGTCCACGGCCTTTGGAATTCATACGACCAAACGCCGAAAGAAGGGTGACTCACCTGGAAGCCAATATAACACAAACAGGCCCCAGAGAACCGAAAAGCACCCATATGTCAGGAAAATGGCCTGCCAACTCTTCAACGGACTCGGTGGACTGTCAATCAGCGTAAAGCAGTACGCCAACAAACCCCCCACAATTTGTTGCATACCGTTCATCATATACCTATTCGAGGCTGTAAGCGCAAGAACGAAAATGTGAAGTGAGTGAGTACTCAAAACATACCAATAAGTGACAATCTGGGCTTGCTCCTCACGCTTATACCACATGGAGCTGAGGACTAGAAATGTAGGCTGGCATACTGCTTCGAAGATGCCGAGGAGAGTGCGGACGGCGACGAGAGAAGGGAAGTTAAAGCAGACAGAGTGCAGAGCGAGGGTCGTGCTCCAGGCGAGGATGTTGAAACCCAGGTATTTGGCTATGGGAACGCGTTGGATCATCCAATTTGTAGGGTATTCGACGATAAGGACCGCGATGTAGATGCAGGTTGTTAGCCATGCGTACTAAGACTGTTTAGCTCTATTATCCCACCAAGCACAATGCCATATATGAGGCCAGTATCCTGCTAGCGAGGGATAGATATTTATCGAAGATATGAGCACATACCTGCGAATTATCCTTCAACTTCGCATCCTCTCGAATCCCCATGATGCTAGCAAAGCTCATAGTACCCTTATCCAGCGCCTGGATAAAATAGGTAAACACCATAATTGGCAGGACTCTCTTATCAATCATCCTCTTGAGTCTCTTATTCTCTTCGGGCGAGATCTCAATCCGAGTCGCGTGAGCATATTTGGCGAGTTCCTGATCTACTCGATCGTAGTTCATATGGTCTTTTTCAAAAGGTTCGTCTGTGGTAGACATGACGCGCTCGACTTGCGCAATGTCTGCTTTCGCATCGTTGCCACTGGTGGAGACGACCACTGGTGCAGTGTGAACAGCATCGTTGCTGGATCTGGCGGCCATGCTGATCGCTCCTAGGTCTTTCTCAACTCTGATCGCAGAAACTTGATCGCAGAACCGTTAAAAAGTAAGATTGAAAAGTTCACAACACGATAATAAAAGAAAGAGATGGAGTCCATAAAGTACCCCAGGGCATCTAAACTCGGAAAAATATCTTTTCCCCAGCACTACGGCCTTGCTTCTCCTTCGGGCCAAATGCAACCCACCATCTCCGCACCGAAAACCTTGCTCGGTGCATCTGCGTTCATCCTGATCATCCCATTGTCAGCAATGGCTAACAAACCACACAGCAAACAAGCCGCCTGTCAAACTTTCTGAATCATGAATAGACTGGCCGTCATCCCCGCACGAACATGTTGGCCGAACAAGGTTGTGGGTGGGGTCTTGTGCTCGTGGAAGCAAGCCCTACAACCAAGAAGCCCAGGCTTGGCAGCCCACTGTTCGGATTGAGTCGGGTGAATGGCAACCGAAGCCTTTCCTCATCGTCGCATGTTTTATAGGATTGTCGTGATATCAGTCTTGGTGTCGAGGATACTTAAAAGAGAGGGTAGAGACGCGTCTGGTGGAATCTGATATTCCGGTGGCTTTCGAGAAACCCCAATACACGACTTTTCGCCACGTGCGACTCCCTGGTGTTCATCATTCGGGCTCGGGTTCGCTTTGTGATATTCGTTTTGATATTATTTCGCCCATTTATAGGTTAATAGGTCTCGATTCGAGAGTGCTCTACCTTTGTAATTACGAAAGTTGTTACAGGAAGTCTACGAGGAGAAAAAATCCGCGCACGAGTCTTGTGTTAATACACTCTTATGGATATAGCGTCACATTAAGAAACTGCAAGCGATCGGCATGGTCTAGGATAGAATATAAATACCGAGTTAATAGTAATACATAACAGGAAGGGGAGTAACAAGAAGTTGCTTGACGGTAGCTATTAAATCTCGGTATTTACATTTATTAATGTATTATTTATGGTGATTAGCGCGCTCTTAAAGAGGGCTCCAACTAAACTCCACCCTTAATATCAACACTTTCGGTGGCCGATAACACCATCCTTCACTTTCTTCCATCAACCTACAACGAAAACCGTACGGAAAATGTGCCAAATACTAGAAAGATTTATGCTCAGCTGGTACAACAATCATTACAGTATTGAGCGCTATTGACCAGTGCCTCATACCACGAGAGCATGTCCTTTGTAGAAACGATACCCAACATCCAACAACCTTAAATAAAGTCGCCTCAGGGAATACTATAAACACTTGGAAAGACCCTTCGAGCGGACCTAGCTGTGAACTCGATATCATGGATATCGGGATACGGAGGGTCTCTACTTCCATGTTCATAGAGCGTGGAGCATAGCGCAAACAGGACTATCTCAGCCGCTCTAGGAAGATTAAAAATCTCATGAGAAGCAATATCGTAAGTCATCAAAGCCCAGCGCCTCGTGCCTTGGATATCTAAGCGCCCCAAAGTCGATCAGCCGAGTATCCAGGTTGTTGTCCAGGGGAAATTGCCTAAGTGTGAGATAAGAGGGAGATTCGAGCAGATTATACTGAGCCTGTGGATATTCACAACCGCTTTGATGATCTGTTGGCTCCACCGCGATCGGACAGCATCTGGGATATCTCCATTTTCATCATCGAAGTTGCCCGTGAGTCACCTTCGCATAATATTCGAGATCTGCGTGGTCATTATTTCGGCGCTCGAGAGTCACATCAAGATTCTGGGGCTGCCTTCATTACATACGGCATGAATATTGCCCGAGAGGTCTCTGGTATCACTAGCCCTGGGTACTTTTTGATAGCAGCGTTACTGAGGAGGTAGATAAATTGGAAGATGCTAACTGTGGTATTTTCTTGACTCATGCAGTTGGAAGGTGGCCGGCACTACGATGATTAAGGGAAGCAATCTTCGTGGAAGCTATTTGACTTATAGCAGAGTCCACAACGCAGGATTACAAGAGGGAGGACAGGAGCATTTGTAGCAGAGGTGGACGTGGCGTAGAGCCAACATCGGTATCATTGTGATTAGTGTCTAGTAAACAGAGGATAGGCTTGAACTTGAAACTGCATATAGCCCCTGCACGCACATTCTAACAAGATCGCATTTGATGCCATGCTGGTTAGCTGAACCCAAGGCCCCACCAGGACAAAAAAAGGGACCTGAAGCCGAGTCACAAATTGTCACTATTCTGCTAAGGGAAGAGGCAAAGGCTAGAAGCTAGTTAGGAATGGAAATCAAGGCTAGATAGTATTGTCGCCGCTTCATGGTTATCGAGCTATGTTCGGTGGTACACTTAGTTGTCCCAAAATTCCATCGCCCTCTCTTCTACTACGACTCTAATACGTGGCTGACTACAAAAGTTTAGGAGCAAGGTTGGATGAATGTTGTCGAGCGGGCTGCGAAAGTTATTAGAATTAGTTGGGTAAATAGTACAATTTACTAGTATTATTATTAAGCAATGGTCTTCATTAGAAGCAACACTCCGAGGTTGACATGCAGAGAGCGAGGAAATCACAGAGTTGCAGGCAAACAACACGGGATTATCTGGGGCGGTGCGTAAAGTAATTGAAATGCGGCATCAGGTTCTTCCGTAGCATGAGCTTGCGCACCACCTATATACATTCCCACTATCGCCCATCCGAGTCTTCGGTATCTAGTACAGTCTCACAAAGGAAAAGGTGCCGTGAGGCTCAGCAAGCAATGGCCTACTCGTCCTTCTTGTGATAATTGACCTTGTCATTCCAGAAGAGTGTCTAACGAGCTTCAGTCAGGACTGGGTCTTAGATGTAGTGTGTGACTCTGTAGAGGGAAGGATCGTGATGGAAGCATGACTTGCCTTGTCACCGTCACCCCACCAGAAGTTCTTCGTGCGGATGTTCTGGTACGAGTATTCCGGCTTTTCCTCAATGGGGGGTTCGTGCGCTTTGTGCTCCCAATGGGCATCCCATCGGAGCTTCGCGTTGACGGACGCGATGATGAGAGCAGGAACGGCGACGCTGGAGTGACAGTTAGCGAAATCCCCTCACTTGTTTATTGGCGTAGAGGGCAGAGCCATGCAATGCAGTGACATAATGCGGATCGATTGGAGTTGACAATGTGCACCACATCTCCCAGTTATTCATGCGTCGAGAATAGATATGACGGCATTTTCGCCATTCGCACGAGGACGACCAAGTATGAAGGCTCCACAAGCGTGAAGGGTGTATTATCGGGAGTTCTGGGGAGCTTACAAGAGGGTGAGCTTTCGCCAGAATTCTGCAAAGATCATCAGGGTTGGACAGGATTATCGACTGGGATTCCACTCACCACCGCTCTCGGCAGCGTGCTCCTGGATTCTGGCACGCTCGCGGTTGAACTCGTTGTCCTCAGCGCCTGTGAACTGCTTCGGGGCTTCGGAGCTGTACTGGCGGCGGCGGAAGGCCGTGCGGGCGAGCCCTAGACGCTGGGTGGAGCGGAAAAGGACACGCTGCGGGAACATGGCAGCTCGAGCGGACATGGTAGAGTGGAGAGGGTGTCAATTGGATCGTGGGTGATTGTCCGGGAACGGTGGTGCGAATTTGAAGAGGAGGGTTGAGCTTGACCGAAGCGATGTCGTTCCTGCTAGCATCAGGTGATGTTGCAGGCGCGGTTCTTCCCGGAGCGGGCTTGGCAAGTTTACACCGTTTGCGCCGTTTGTGCCGTCTGTACGCTTGGCCCTTTCAACGTGACATCGTGCTGAGAGAACGTCAGGTCTTGCGTTTTTGCTGTGCGGGAAGTCGATGGTCGTGTTTTGGCGTGTCTGGCCGCCCGAAAGCCACAGAGACAGCGTGCACAGCCCATCTAGACAGCCCATCTAGACACTGCAGACACGCCCCGAGTCTTAGTGATGAGGCACACCATTCGCCTGCCGCCACAGCAACTATGGTTCGTATCACAACCTGGAATGTCAACGGTATCCGTAATCCGTTTGGTTATCATCCATGGCGCGGGAATCGTACCTTCAATTACATGTTCGATGTTCTCGAGGCAGACATCGTCATTATGCAAGAGCTGAAGATCCAGCGCAAGGATCTGAGCGACGACATGGTCATGGTACCCGGCTGGGATTGCTATTTCAGCCTACCTAAGCATAAGAAAGGTACTAGTAATGCTTCCCTTGGAATGATTTGGTCTTGAAGTAGCTCAATACTTGCTGCCTACAGAATGCTCGGTACCAGTGCTATTCATGTGGCTGATGTTGCAGTGCAGGATACTCTGGAGTAGGAATATATACACGCCAATCAGTGTGCGCCCCGGTCCGCGCCGAAGAAGGCCTTCTTGGAGTTCTTTGTCCCCCAGGGTCGTCAACGCCATACCGCGATATCCCACAAGATGCCTGTATTGGCGGCTACCCAACCCCATCCCAAGTGGCCGATCTGGGAGTCGACCCAGCTGCACTTGATGCCGAAGGTCGATGCTTGGTCCTCGAGTTCCCCGCATTCGTCCTCTTCGGTGTCTACAGCCCCGCAAACAGCAATGGATTGAGAGATAGTTTTCGATACGGCTTTGTTTGTGCCCTCGACATCCGCATCCGGAACCTCCACAAGATGGGCAAGAGGGTCATTCTGACGGGAGATCTGAACGTATCTAGAGAAGAGATTGATACAGCTAAGGCTGAAGACGCCATGAGGCAAGAAGGCATATCCCGTGACGAGTATCTCAATACCCCGAACCGGCGTATATTCAACCAACTGCTGGCAAACGGCAAAGTACCTGGCGAACGGGACGAGGGCAGGGAGGAGCCAGTGCTCTGGGATATATGTCGAGAGTTCCACCCAATGCGACAGGGCATGTTCACACATTGGGAACAGAAGATCAACGCGCGACCGGGGAACTTTGGGTCCAGAATCGATTATGTGCTTTGTAGCATCGAGATGCAAGCGTGGTTTTCCGAGTCGAACATACAGGAAGGACTGATGGGTTCGGATCATTGCCCGGTATATGCCACGACGAAGGATATAGTAGATGCGAGAGGAGAGCAGGTCCATATACTAGATATCATGAACCCTCCCGGGATGTTCAGGAACGGCGAGAGGATGAGGGACTTCAACCCGGCGAAAGACCTACTACCACTATCAGGAAAACTGCTCCCTGAGTTCGACAAGCGCAGGAGCATTAAAGACATGTTCTCAAGACGGCCCGCATTGCCAAAGGTTGAATCTAGCTCAGAGTTTTGGCCGTCCCCGACGAGTGGCAGTGTGAACATGCCAAAGAGCAGGGGATCCGAGGAGGCTGCTGCAGAGCTGGCACCCTCAACGTCTGCGAGCCCGCTTAACTCTCCAGAGAAACGCCGACAGAACGGATCGCCCGCCGCGAAGCTTGTCAAGCGGAGTAAGTCCAGCATCGGCTCTTCGCAGTCATCGAGCGTCTCCAAAGGGCAACAGTCCCTCAAAGGGTTCTTTTCGTCGCATCCAAAGGCAATCAATGCTGGCGATCAGTCGAGTGCATCCTTGGGTGAACCAGCTGCACCCAACACGCCGACCATTGATTATTCTAGTAGGTTAGCCTTCAATGATCTTTCTCCAACCCGCATCAGCACTGACCCAACGAAATCCACGTAGACCCCAACTTTAATGACAAGCCAAAAATGTCGCCTAACACACAGCCTCCCTCACTGCCCTTAGCTTCATTTTCCTTCACCCTAGCAGGTTCGCAACAATCGCCCTTCATTGACCCCATTGAAACAAAAGAAACCTGGACGCGCCTCTTCTCCAAGAGGCCGCCTCCGCGCTGCGAAAGCCACAACGAACCCTGCATAACCTTTACAACTAAAAAACCTGGTGTGAACTGTGGGAGACAGTTTTGGACATGCGCTCGGCCGCTGGGTCCGAATGGACAGAAGGAGAAGGGGACACAGTGGAGATGTGGTACGTTTATTTGGGCAAGCGATTGGAACGCACCAGCATCACATTAGTATATCCACATTAGTATATCGCAGGCATAGCAGGGGAAGCAGTTATAAGTGGCTTATCATTGCGATTTTGATACCCACCCAGAACTTTGGTACCGAGACGCCATATCATGCCCGTTTTCGGACGTGTGCTGCCATCGCCTCGATGCCAAGGATAGGAACCAGCAACGAGCCTGATAGGGAGGTGCTGTTCTGAATGTATATTGAAAACTGGGTTCGGGAGTTGGAGGAGGAGTGGGGATAGGAATAATGAGTTTGGATTGGTGGGTTTGATAGGAAGGTGGCTTGCGTTGGGGTTATACAACAGGGCTCCCTGCGTAGTGGTCTGTTACTTAGGTCGCGAGAAACTCTGCCAGATCATAAAATACTCCCCGCCCCTGAAATAAGGTCTCCGGGAAGCAATGTGGGAGTTACTGAATCGACAAAACATTTGGGAAAAAAGATTATCGCGGTTTTTTACTACACTAAAATTGCTTGGGCTGAAACCCTATCCTATTCACTCTAAAATAGCTTTAAAAGAATGCCTCGCCATCCACCAGCAATATCTGGCAATCGAACGCAAAAAAAAGAGCTTGCGCCCCATATTAGAGCTGAAATTCTCGAGTGCGTTGAGAATGGAATTGCTAAGGCCAAGATCGCTCGGGAATTCAATGTGAGCAGAGAGGTCGTTTACAGTACAATGAAGAGATGGGAAACGCATGCGACCATGGACTCTCTGCCTCGTAAAGGAGCTCCAAACAAACTATCAGATCGAGAGCAGCACCGGGTTCTCCAGATTGTTCGACAATATCCCCGCATCGAGTACGCTCAATTGAAGTTGAGGGTGCGTGGTATCGACGTTTCAAATGCAACTCTATATCGGCTACTTAAAAAGCATGGTATCACGAACTGGGTCGCCAAAAAGCGTCCAAAGCTCACACAAAAGGACGCACGAATCCGACTGGATTGGTGCAGGAGAATGAGAGCACGCCGTTGGCATCGCATCAAGTTCTCTGACGAATGCTCAGTTGAACGAGGCAGGGGAAAGAAGCGCCCGTGGGTCTTCCGTACAAGCTCACAGAAGTGGAATAAGGAGGTGGCTGAGAGTAAAGGATGTCAGTTAATGTTCAAGCAGATGTTCTGGGGAGCAATCTGGATTGGGGGAAGAACAGAGCTCATTGCGATGGAGAGGGTGAACGGGAGGCGTGGATTTAATTCAGAGTCGTACACCAATGCTTTAGAAGATGGGCTACTCCCATGGAACGAACCAACAGATGAGGGTCTTGAGGATGAAGACACAGAGTGCGAGCCCTTCATTCTCCAGATGGATAACGCACCAATCCATACCTCCCAGATGACGCGGGACTGGTTGGCAGTGCATGAGGTTGAAACAATTGACTGGCCTCCGTACTCATCAGATCTGAACCCCATAGAACATCTCTGGTGGATATTGAAGCAGAAGATAGTTGGGCTCTATCCAGAGCTTGGGGACCAGGGATTCAGTGCAGTTGATCGAGAGAGACTCGTTCATTGTGCACAGCAAGTATGGAGAGAGATCCCCCAGGCCACAATTGACAATCTTATTAAGAGTGTACCTAAGAGAATTCGGGCTGTAATAAAGGCCCAAGGGTGGCAGGCGAAATATTAGGCGATGTAAGCTCTAGGGCCTACTATGTACGAAGGCTGCCCAATCAACCATGGGCTTGGCGTCATAGCATACTATATACACTACATAGTTCCTCGGACACTCAGTCTAAAATACATCATTTCAATCATAGATCCTGCCTTCTGCAAGCTTACATGGGAATAGCTATGTGTTCAGCCTGTAGGAACCGCTGTTATACGCGAGTCTAGTATTGGGGAAAAAGTGTGTATAAACTTTTGCCGAGGTGCTGTATTGCCAGTCAAAATGGCATCTACGAACCAACCTAGCACCATGGTGGTCCGTAGAGACCCAACACCTGAGGAGATTGCACACTTTCTGGCTACCCGAACTGCCGCCCAGATGTTGCAACTGGTGCAGGCCATGAGAGACCCTGGAGCACAAGCCGCATTGACGACGACACTCCTGCTTGCGCCGCCCGCCGTCTCCAGAGTTCCTGAGCGAGCGGCAGGCCACCCTCCCCGTCCCATGAACTGTTTCATGCTCTTCAGAGACTACAAGTATAAGCAGCTGAAAGCAGATAATCCTGACCTCACCGTCCAGAGGATCTGTAAGCATCACTCCATTGCATCGTTACTTTACTGCATTCTTACTAACTCTGCGTAGCCACCATTACTTCTGAGTGTTGGAAGAACCTTCCTGCGACAGAGAAAGACTACTGGAAGGAGCAAGCCAAGATGGCGAAGGAGCTGCACCTGCGCATGTACCCTCAATACAAGTACAATCCTCGGAAGCCAGGTCAGAAAAAGAAACGACAGTCTCGAAAGGCAATAGAAGCCGCTGTGAACTTCAATTCCTTTCCAGATACTACGATGTCGGCATTTGACGTCTCCCAAGCTGCCAAAAATGATATCACTGCCCACATCAGCGACACGCTTCCGAGCGATGCTGTTGAGCTTGCTGAGTCCATGGCATCCCAATCCCCGTCTTCAAACATGTTCCACGATGCAGAGTTGCTTCGCCAGGGACGTCTTGAAGAAGAGTTCAATGTCTTCTTTGACTTCGCTGGCTATGGAGAGGTCTGAGTTCTAAGTTTTGATTGTCACGATAATGTCTTGGTAAAAGAGGTCAGGGTTTACGGACTTGGTGGATATCGAAATCGCAATGATAATCTACCTATCTATAACTGGTTCCTGTGCTATGCTATGCTTCTGGCTGACTCAATATGATGCTGACACATCACAGTGAGTCCTTTTGACAAAGAACCGTATGTTAGGTAAAACAACGTATGACGAGGATTAGACAGCAGAGCTGCCCGCCCAGTCGACAAACTCATTGAACTCGTCGTCTCGGGGAACATTGGCATTGTACTCCGTGAGCACGCTAGTTAGGTTGCCATAGAACTGGGTCTCCTCATGGAAGGCTGGGACGAACGTATGGTCCCTCGTGACCTGTCGCTTGGCTCGACGCTTGTTTCGCGCAGCAGCTCGTCCGGGGGTCGTGCTAATAGTATGTCCAAGGAAAGTTGATGAGGTAAGGTTCATGTCAACGACATATTCCTGAGCATAGCCCATTGACTGGCAATAATTGATGATATCTTCAACCGAGAGTGTCGTAGCTTCGACTCCGGCTTCAAGGATCTCTGGCACAGGAATATACTCGCGGGAGAGACATGGCGCGCCTTCTGCATCAGCGGCAAGCTTCCATCCCATGTGCTCAAGGTATGTCTCTGGTTGAGGAATGCCAAGATACGGACACATGATGCGAAAGTACAAGTCAAGAGGGGCCTTTTTCTTGCCGATTTGATCCCGGATTATGGACCAAGTCTTCGTCATTAGGGTCCAGAGGGGTTTATTAGGATTCTCTTCCCACAAGATGCCAATAGGGTTGGACAGTGTCTTCATTGGCCATAGCTTGAAGCCGGGTATGAGGACACAATAGCCTTGACTTGAGTTAGCTTGATTCACAATGAATGTAACTCGGACTCACATCGAAATCCAACGAATGCATTGAGAGCCTTCTTTGCTTTCTCTGGAGTGGTCGTGTGTTTCGAGACGGCGGGCGGCGCAAGCAGGAGTGTCGTCGTCAATGCGGCTTGTGCTCCAGGGTCTCTCATGGCCTGCACCAGTTGCAACATCTGGGCGGCAGTTCGGGTAGCCAGAAAGTGTGCAATCTCCTCAGGTGTTGGGTCTCTACGGACCACCATGGTGCTAGGTTGGTTCGTAGATGCCATTTTGACTGGCAATACGTTCTTTGTCAAAAGCTGAAAGAGTTTGTACGTTTGCAATTTATCGAAGATTTGAACAAAGAAGTGAGGTGGGGTGTCTGAGATTTTGTCCATGATTGGAAAGAGCGCTTTATCAAGGTGGCGAGGCCACGCCAAGCCAGAGCTTAGACCCACATTCACCTCTGGTCCGTGCTTTCACTTCCTTGTCGCCAAACTCTCACTCACCTTACTACTGAGCAGCAGTAAATTGATTTTGTTCCACCATCATACCCTTGGGAGAAGAACACGGCAAAAAATATAGCAGATATTGTGGGATCTTCAATCTTTCCATGTCAACTAGCAGAGAATTTTTGGGCCCTTACAAAAGCAGTCGGAATCGATGAGTGCGAGTGGAATAATGACGAGGTGAATGAAAGAGACAAGGAAGCGGGAGGTTTTGATGCTTCCGGTCGAGACAGAGGCGATGGCAATGCAGCAACGTCTCTTGAAAGGGATAAAGAGCCCCCTCCACTTGCTACTAACAGGGAAATGAATATACCGCTATGGAACTAAAGGTTGAAAGTAGTCCTCGTACGGGCTCTAGCGCCTAAGTATACGCTGCCTAACGAGGAATGTATTTTTGTGTTTCCGGGCCGATGGCAGGCAGAAACGATGTCCTAAACTCTACAAGTGAAAAAAGACAATAGTGTGTTATATTTGGAATATCATTGGGTGGGTGTCAGAAATTTGAGTCGTGCTCACTGTGAGATACAGTGATGAGGGGGGTGAAACGGTTCTTGGAAAGTCACTCACGAAGTCTCACTTAGCTCGGCAGATTAGCTAAAGCCGCGACCGTGACATGTCTAGCTATTTTAGGACTAGCCTTGCGAGCCTCATCATCACCAACTTGACCTCCCAAGACGAACTTCCCAAAGCTCTCCACGCCCATCTGCAATGCCCCGATCACAATGAAAACGAGACTCTTGCGGGTTGCCGTTTCGCGGTCACTCACTGAGGAGATACAAATATGTCATCTTTACCGGTTTTCGTTGCAATCTACGTGTTCGGAGGCATCACCTTCATCCCGCTCCTACTTGTTCTCCTCTTCTTCTATGCCTACCTAACACTACCCCTTAGGAGCGACCCCATAGACGAAGATATAGGTCAGCTCTTAGATGAAGGAGTTCCTCCCCGGCCACAAGAGCGCTCCCATGCGGATTCAAACGGGTTTCCAGCTGAACTCAAACCTCCCACTCATATTCCCGATGTCGCCGCCGGATACTTCGCTGTTTGTCGAGAATACGTGCCTGGGGGAATAAATGGGAAGCCTCCTGAACGTATCACACCCGCTGGGACGGTGGTTGCAACGGAGAGCCCGAGTGTATATCAGTCTATGTATAGGAGCATCTTCGACAGGAACAAAACAACAAGCCCAACGCTAGACGTCACGATTGGGAGAGTCAAGAAAGCTCGCAATGTGTTCTACGTCGTTCTAAGGTACGTAAATCGTACCGAACACTTGTGTTGACCAGCAACTGACATTCTTGAAGACATGGACACCTCATGCTTTACGACGATTCCGAGCAACTGGAAGTGCGACACGTTATATCTCTTGCACATTATGAGGTAGGCGTATATGGTGGGGGAGAGACAATACCAGAGGGGGAACTATGGATCAAGCGCAACTGCATTCAGCTAAAGCAAAGACTGCTCTTGGGTAGCCTTACTGCGGATTCGAAGCCTTTCTATTTCTTCTCTGAAAACTGTTCAGAGAAAGAGGACTTCTATCACGCCATGTTACAAAGCCAAGAACATGGTGTGGGCTCTTGCAGAACGCCGCCCTTGCCACTGCAATTCCATACACCTGATCTCGTCAAATTGGTGCAGCAACTTCATGCATCCGAAGAAAACCTACAAACGCGCTGGATCAATGCACTAATAGGAAGGCTTTTTCTCTCTCTTTATAAAACCTCCACAGTCGAGCAGCTCATTCGGACAAAGATAACGAAGAAGATCGCGCGTGTCCCAAAGCCTGCTTTAATCACAGGCATAAGCCTACAAAAGATTGATATGGGGGACCTACCACCATTCATAACGAATCCAAAACTGAGAGAATTGACTGTAGACGGCGACCTTACTGTCGAGGCCGATGTCAGCTACAAAGGTAACTTTCGTCTGGAGGTTTCTGCCATTGCCCGCATTGAACTTGGATCTCGGTTTAAAGCCCGCGAGGTAACCCTTGTCCTTGCTGGTATCCTAAAGAGACTGGAAGGTCATGTATTGGTGAGGATAAAACCTCCACCGAGCAATCGATTGTGGGTTACTTTTGAATCGACCCCGAAAATGGAGATGACCCTCGAGCCCATCGTGAGCTCGCGGCAGATTACCTACGGAGTGATCCTTCGGGCGATAGAGAGCAGAATCCGGGAAGTCATAAATGAGACACTCGTGTTGCCAAACTGGGATGATATACCTTTCAGCGACACGGCGCTACACCAATTTCGAGGAGGCATCTGGAAGGAAGGCGAGAACACAGCCGTTAGTAGCGAGCATCCAGGTCGAGACTACGAGCACGAGACTGTTTATGATGGCAAAGAGTCCGATTCTGAAGACTCGGATCCTCAGCCGCCAATCCTTTCATCGAGCGAAAGCGTCCAAAGCATGCCAATTCTTAGCGAAGCAACATTCAAATCTAGAGGCCATATGGATGTGAAGCTGGATTCCTCCGACCTTCAGGAATCCATTGGCATGTCTTCTTCGACTGATTTCAGGTCAAATACCAGACCCAAAGCCATGCGGCCTGGATCATTTTCGAGCGTTGCAACTCCCGTCGTGAACATGAACACCGCCAGTGCAGCGGCAGCTAAGGGCGAGGTACGAAAACGCCAGCAAGATGCCGCTACCACCATGAAGTCCATCGCGAAGTCCCAGCCCACATCACCCACAGAGTCACCTGTTGGCTCACCGCCTCAACCTACTTTGATCTTCGATCCCGAAGCACGAATGAGTTCGAATGCCACACTCGGAGTATCTAGGGAAGATGGCCAAGATGAAGACTTGGTAGAGGTGTCTACCAGGAGAGTCCTGCCCATCTCGGTTTCTTCGTCAGGCTCTGGGATGTCAAAAGATTCCTCTAGAAATCCCAGCTATTTAGGATTTGAAAATGGTCAATCGCTATCCCTGCCGCGTAATGCGTTTACTTCCTTAGATAAGAAGCAAACATTCAATCAGTCCTTAAACTCCGCGACAACTGCGGCTAGAAAATGGTTTGCATCTCGGCAGAATCAAGACTCATCATCCACAACATTTAACACTGCTTCCGCTCGTCCGCAAGTGTCAACTCTCCACCGAAGTGGACCCGGCCACGATACTGAAGGTTTGAATCAGGCTTTTGGGAGGACATCCACCCCGCCGATGCTGTCTCAGTCAAGTCCTGAGTCACAAAACTTGTCACTGGGCTTTCCTACTCACCCTATTGGGAGAGGACAGCCGTTGCCTCCACCTGGCACGCCTTTACCTCCTCCTCCAAGACCTGATAAAAGAAATACAGTCTGGACTGTTCCTGGTGCGGCAAGTCTTGCAAACTTAGCTCGACGAAAACCTCTACCTATCAACGTATCTCAATCCGTCGTGGAGCAAGCCGGCCCCCCTGACTCATTATCTTTGTCAGCAAGTCCGGCCGAACCGCACTTAGGCAAGGGAGATCATCCAGTCACGCAAAAGGTGATGAAAGGCCCAAGGCGAAAGTCATCTTCTATGTCTACTCAGTCTGCTGTGGCACCGCCTCTTCCACCAAGAAGACAACGGCTTTCAGCCTCCGATAATATGGACGACTGCTTCACTGGTTTACAAGAAGACCTGCTGGTCGTCAAGGCCCCTTCGGCAGACAAAAGTGCTCCTACAAGTCCACTAGAAGAATCACAGCCAATAGAAAGCAATGAGCATGAGCTTGCATTTCATGATTAGCGGTATGAGGCTGGCGTAGCCTTGTCTCAGTCCTAATTCTTCATATTCATGCGCTAGCTCAAAATATATTACCATAATTCAAGCATTGCAACACAAGCAGTTATGTTTCCTCCTGTGATTTGTGTTAGAACGCTCAAGGCCGCACTGCTCTTGTAAGTGTTAGAAATACTCAAGCAACGTCGTTACAGGAACAAAGTAGAACCGCGGGAGATGTGGTAAGGCCTAAGGGACGTCAGATCGGGAACAATAGATTCGCGGAAGCAAATGCCATCGAGTCACGTGACTCTTCCCCACCAGATCTTGGATTCAGCAGAATGGAGCATAACAGGGGAAAAATTGCTAATAAATCCACAGGTGGGATTCTGGAGTGGGCCTCCCTAGTTAGGAAGTACTTATTTGGACATGGAGGAGGGGGATCTCGGTCCCGAGGCTGAGCATAATCTAGTCATATGGTAATGTCACGTGCCATGAACAATACAGATCCGTACTGAAGTTAGAGTAATCGCTTAGCTGTACACCTAAGAAGCCCGAACTTGTCCTCTTATTACTCCTGTTGTTAATTTCGTCATCAACTCGACGTTGTACACCTTCCCTTTATTTCGGCGATGTGCTCACCAGCGAAATCGGCTTCCATTCAAATACAGCTTAAACAAACTTCTGTACCTGAATATGCTTGTCGACCGGTTCCACTAGGCTGTTGTCTTTATCATACATTCAAAATCTAAGAACTTTTAGGGAAGACACGGAGTCTGAAGCTTTCAATGCTACATAATGCGTCTCAAATAAAGCTCCCTCCTTACCCAAAGAAGTCCTGATAGTAATATGATGTTACATGACCAGCCGTGTACCACCCCAGCTCTGGATTCCTGTGATTGTATTTATTTGAAGGACAGATCTTAACATGGAACGATATTTTACGTCCTCTCTTGCTGCTTTCTTCCACAAACCACTTTGCAAATGACTGGAAGAGACTTGACAGATCTACTTCCTTGCGGGCATACTCGACTCCATCGTTACAAACCAATTGAAGCGTCTGCAAGCTCTTGTGTTCGAACACCCGCGTAAACCCCATCCTTTCCTCTACTTCCTTCATTGTTCTTACTCGTCCTACCTGATTTCCCATGCCGGCAGTAACCAGCATGTTTCCTAAGACTGCCATAGTGAGGTGACGAAGGCCAGGACAACGTGAGACAAAATCATATACACAATTAGCAGGCGCAAGTGGAGGCTTGGATTCGCACGATTGGGCGTAGCGGTCCGGTGGGTAGGCGAAGTCGAGTCGGTGAACGCTGTTGTATGCGATATCATTCGGAAATCGCGATAATAGAACATCGAGGCTAGCGAATCCGGTGCCACTGATGATAAGCAGTGTGCGACCCAAATACGCTATGGTTGCTTCTTCCAAGACTTGGTGGTTGAGGAGAAGGCAGTGGGGGAGGCGGCGTGACAGAAAGTGCAGGGCAGATTCGTTGAGGTGCGGCGGGACCTGGAGGGCGGGAGGAAGATCGACCATTAGGTACCCGTAGATTTCATTCCGCAGCTCGAGCGGTACATGCATAAAGCTGCTGCGTTCGTCGCTTGTCTTCGCCATTTGGGGCGACAGGGCAAGCTTGACCTGCTGTGCGACTTGAACAATGTGCCGGCCCTTCAGAATTAAGAGTAATTGTGAGGTTGGAGAATATTAGGATCTTAAAGAAAGCTTAATGCTAAGCTTGTGAGAAATCCGGATGGGAAAGTGAGGTCATATAAGAAGCTTTGATTGCCAGGCTGCAAGGCTCATATATTGTGGCGAAGTACACATGGGAATACCGTATTCCACAAGCCAGCCGCGGCGCGAGTGCCAAAAACGCACAACGCTCGTTGCCGAGCTCCTTGGCAAGGCCCAGTTCGTGAACATTCCCGTGGTGCTACTCCCTTTACGGTCGGATATGATGAGATTGTGTTCAGAAGATTGTGCTCGGAAGCTCCTCGTGCAGGATGTTGTCATTTAGGTATACGGACTTGTGTGCCTTGATAGTGTTGTAAATCACCCCAGGAGCTTCAATCTCAGGGCGTGCTTGCGCTCAGCCAGTCGAAGAGATCACCAGACATCGAAAACTCTATTGTTGTTGGTTCGTTGCGGGGAGCGAGCAGACCCGTCCCCTATGCTCCCTTCATGCCGTACCTCATTCTACCCTTAGCCCGAACTTTTACGGTTGGTCAATAGCTCCTCTCCCATCCTCTGGCTGCCGTTACTTCTCCATCTTTCCTCTTTACCTTGGCTCTATCGAATCGGTTTGAAATGACTCCGCAATGCCTGGATCAATGCTTGGTTTGCCCGGAGCACTTGATATCTGTCTGAGAAAGCAAGTAGCTGTGGATCGAGGCCAGACTCCAGGGTAGTAACTCGTTGTTTTGTGCTAGAATCGCTCCATTGCTTCCACGGTGAGGTTACACGTGCAAACAGTAGTAGCTCAGGCATCAGAGAATGCCCTAATGCACAAAAACCTTATGTGAGGTAATTATTTCCCCACCAGAGGCAGGCCCTGCAGCTATTTCATCAATCGCTCAAGTCCATCTCAGGATTTTTTGAGGAGACACTTACAGAGCTTCGAATCCTGTTTGTACAAGCTGAAAGGAGTATCAGCCAGTCCACGAAAAGATACAATGTAATCGTCAGAGTTCGGTTTACCCCTGGTTTGAAGACTGCGTCGGCACCCTTGATCGGACTTTTCTATCCGCCTCTATTTCCAATCAACGCCCAAACATCTTGGCCTAGTAGTGTACGAAAAAAATATAACACTTAAGATGTTCTTGTCAGCGGCGAATTGTATATGCTATTTACGTACAGCCTACCTGGATGGGAGGACTCTGGCCACTATAGTAGGGGTGTCTCAACCTGTTAGGGAGCGTTGGGGCCTCAATCTGCTGCCAGATCCTTAAGGGGCAATGGTGGTATGCCAGAGTTCTATGACAAATGGTGTGAAATCGGAACTCGTTCAAATCCCGTAAAGGTCACGTGTTCAGTACGAACGTACCGAGCTCGTGAGCCGCACCGTACGTTTAATGATGCCCTAGGTACAGTATGTAGTGCGGATCGTATTGCCGTTTTAGGGAATTTGTATGGCGATTCTGGAGGAGTAGGAGGGCTCTGGCGAGTAGTAGGCCTGCGGGGAGCGTCCAGGGGTTTTCTAGGGCTCTGATTGGCCGAAAGTTTTTGCGAGGACAACGTTGCAAGGCAATCGCACGCCGTCAAAGGTGTGGGCTCATGGCACAGATTTAGCGCTCCTAGAGGAGCAGGGCAAGGTAATTTGCCTCTAGCTCTGCTGTTAGCGTCATGAGCAAGGCTCTCGCGGCGCTGCAAAGGTAGTGGATGGCTATAACCATATTGTTCAGCACCTACCAAGGGAGCATAAGGTTAACTCTGCCCTCAATTTCCTTACTATCCCAGCTACTAGTTGCGAGTGCGAGAGGTGTTTTATTGCGGCTATTCGTACGGTAACTGACGATTGAGGCTATTCAACTCTAGAAGAACTGCCTATGGCATAAGGTAGTAAGTAGCGAGCTTTAGACTTCTCTGCTCTTGTTACTAGGGAGTCACTAGGGAGAATCAGTTTTCTTATAGCTAATTAGACCTTAATGCTGCGTCTCTAAGGACCTATAACCTTAGCTATTTCAACTAGAGTACAGTGTACTTTAATCAAATAGTACTACTCGTACTGATCGCGTGGGCCGTAATAGTTACAATACGTACACAAAATCTCACCAGTACAGGCCTCAAAATCGCCCAATCGTGCATTAATACGCCTCGTTGGAAGCGCTGGGACGAGCTCTTTGTGACCGGATTAATACTGGAATCTGTCGCGGAGGTTGCTCAGTTCAGAGTCACCGATGTGGGGCGAGACGTAGAAGGCCTAGAGTCTTAGGTAGAACCTATATCGGACACAAGTGTACAAGAATATGAAAGAGAACGGGTCCTTTGGTGCACTCTTATCGAGGACATAGGAGCCATTTCGGTACATACCCCAAGCCGGAAGGACTCAAAGACAATAATTTCCGCGACTGGCTCATCTTCCCCTGCCTCACGGTCCAGCTTGGGCTGCGCGGCCATTATGTTGATACTCGCCGCGCCCCAGAAGTCGAGCGCATAGTGTATCGGGCACTATATCATAGGCGGTCATGTCCCATCATCACCAAAGCAAAGCAGCTTCTAGCCGTTCTCAATCTCACCTTGGAACATGTTGGCAGGCTGACACTCTGAAAACCGACCTGCAACCTGATTCCGATGGGGACATGTTGTGCATTTCTCTCAAACAGGTATGGAAAGGATGGCCCTAACTGCCGAACCCTTTGCGAACGTAATCCGGAACAATGGATACTTCGTGGCCGTTGATAAAAGTCGGCTAGGATAAATTCAATTGGTACTGCTCGGGAATTGATACAGATGGGTGACGTGATTTGTTTGATGAAGGGAGCAAAGGTGCCGTGTGTGCTCGGGATAAGGAAGGATTGGAAATACCAGTTGGTGTGAGAGGGTTCGGTCTACGCGATAGAAGTTCATCTGTGGCTTGTTAATTGAGCGAATTAACGGAGGTCAGAAAGGATCTGCATCGTTTAAGATTGTACCGCGAAGGGTGTTGAGTACGAATTCGTAGATATTTCAAGCGGGTAGGAGGGACGGAGGGCCCTGGCTCAGATGGGCTAGGGATTTCACCGCTCAGTAAGCCTTGCAGAGTCAAAATCTTGAAGAGCTCATTTTCTTGGCGAGGAAATTATTTCGCTACACGGCTTCTTTCTCTTCACATTCTCATTCTAGATACCTATCTCGGCGAAGTGAGCGTGGCTTCAATTTGCGCTAATGCTTGGCGGTCCAGTTAGCCACTGCGCACGGGGCTCATGGTGGACCGTATCGTTCCTCTGGCTGTCTATACTTAACCAAGGCACCAAGGAAGCGCTTAGGTAATAACATACTAGTGCCCTCTAGGCTAGAGCCGGGCGTAATAAAGACATCATCATCATCATCTTAACCAAGGGAGTAAAAATCTTGCTCTTCTCAAAAAAATATATATATATATATATGTGAGTGCCAGTTATCTCCATTTTACCACACTGAAATCAATCCCTTGCACCGAATTCTCTTTTTCCAAACCCATTTCTTATAAGCACGTTCCTTTCGCTATCCGTCTTGTTTAATATCATCGCCATGGTCTAGCCTTCCTCTCTGTTTCTTTTCTCTCTTCGCAGCAGCGCCTGTATTCATTGCTCCAGCTGCAGCGCCTATCGATCAAAGATCCAACATACAGTACGTAACATTCTACACAGAATAGAATTGTGGAGGGTTCGTCTTTTCAATGGTTATCAAGCCGGGCGAGATTCTTCTGCTTCAGAGGAACTGGAAGTCGGTGTGGCCATCTATGAAATCGGACCGGTGCCATAAGCAGGCTGAAATGAACACTAGCCACACGATCAAACTTACTAGAATGGCGATAGAAAGGGGCTTGAGACGAGGGAAGCGAGTATTTGCATCATCGTGAGTCCACAAGAGCCTCAAGCCCCAATCGCTAGTATTGTGGGAAAGGCCCCTACTCTCCTCGTTATTGTGCCACTAAACATGCTCAAGTTGCTCTAGAACTAGCAGTATCCATGCGGAACGGTAATGGAAGTGAGCTTAGGCGGCACAAATGTGATTCTAGAATGGAATATCCCGCTACTAGTTGGAATCGGAACCGGAGAGGCGCCGGAGGCTACAGCTATGGTAAAGTTAATGCTAGAACCAATTGTTGCCAAGCTCGATGCCGAGAGGCGAGCCATGCTGTGGTGTCGCGAAAGATTCTAGTTCGACAAAACCTATCATTCATCAATTCGAGCAACGTTATAAATACAAAAATCTCTTTGTCACTCCTCCAAGCACACCTTCAAGAAATGAAGCAAAATGTTTACAATCGAAAACAATTGAGCATCAGCCCTAGCCTCCTTAGCCAAAACCGCAAAGGACATTAGCCGCAGTAACACCGCCTTGAATAAGCCCAGGAACCGCTCCCAGGGAAGTGGCAAAGCCTGCAATCCCGCCTAGGATATTCGTAATTACTGAAACCGCTGTCTGCGAATCGCATTTCTTATCCTCACAACTAACCTGGAAGTGATACTGGAGCTCGTCATGCACATCTGGATTCTCGTCCTGCGTCTGCACGACGGCCAGATAGCCGCCGGATGGATAAGTGATCGAGCAGTAGTCTATCTGCCCCTCCTTGTACTCGATTGATTTTGCGATGCTGGGCGCGACGGCGGAGTACCAGAAGCGCGTAACGTCTCCTACGCTGATGGGAGAGGTGCTGTTCTGGTCGACGTTGGAGGTGCTGAAGGAGATGCTGCATTTTTTTTTCCCGCCGAGTTTATACCCGTAGCCGGGTTGCTGCATGGTCTCGGCCCATGTTGAGTACTGGCCGAAGGCAAAGTAGGGATCGGCCGTCTGGCCGGTGCCGCAGATATGGTAGTCGCTTACGGTTGTCGTGGCGTTGTAGAGAATCATTTTCGCAGATCGCGACCAGTGAGAGTCGCGAGTGCAGCGGTAATACGCAGAGCATTTAAACAGGCTTCCGTTCGCAAGGCTGTCAGGTACCTCCCCGCCATACTTGTAGCAGCTCAGTTCCTCGTTATCGAGCTTGGCGATGGCCTTAATCCTGTCGCCTTTCTTGGCACTGCCGTCGTCTTCCAGGTTGTACAGACTGAACTTCCGGCCCTGCAGGTCTGCGGTGATGGGTTCGGACTGCGTGCCGCTATCCCAGTTAATGTGGTAGATGAAGCCGTCGTGTGGCCCTGGATCGGTGGGCGTGGCAGTGATTTCGGGATATTCCCCTTTCTGACCATCGGCGTCATTGTTATAGTAGTAAACATAATCGTGCACGCTTAGGTCGGAGGGAGATTCATTCATAGTCGAACCGCAATCGACAAGGTAGACGCCTTCGTCGGGATTGTCTTTCAGCGCTCGCGTTGCTATGGCTCGAGCCGAAGTGCCGATGGCAGAGGCGAGGAGAACGAGGAGAGTATATTGACAATGCATCTTCGAAACTGATGTCAATGTTGTGGTTCATGTGGTTAAGCCGTTGCTTGAAGTGTTGTCGAATGGAGCTCAAGTGGCTATCCCTTACAGTTTTTATACTCCTCTCATCGATGTCTTTTTCTTCCTACAACAACTGTATTCAGTATAGGCGGCGTCTTTCGATCGTCAAGTGACAACATTGCTTGGACTGACTGCGGACAAGGCAGATAGCAACTTCATCACGACGTTTTGCGCACCTGTTGATCCGTTACCGACCCCCAATATCGCTATTTCTTATCACGAGGCTAAGAATAGGTGTGTCACCGGCACCCTTCCATAGAGCTAATAGGATATGCTATACTAAAGGGAACGTACAGTAAAGTACCTTCCGTCAACGGCTTGAGACTGCAGCAAGTAAAGCGTGAGGCGTGTTTCAAAACACGAAGCTGGTTCCTTATCGACATGCTGAGCTGTTCCTATTGCGTCATTGAGTATGTTTGGCGGGTTTGAGAATAGCAGTGGCGATGATGTATATGATGTATACTCCGTAGTTCAGCACATATGGGGTGCGCCGAGCTTGTTGATCTTGAGTATGTCCGTTCTCCCCATATTTCGCCAATCCAAACCGGCCAAGTTCTCCAGCAACCCCGCCGATTGACCGATCGATTCCAGACATCGCTGAGGCACAGAATACAGGGGACTGAATGTCGAGCTCGTAACGCCGGAAATAGGTACGGGTATAGTGTGTGCGTGTGTGTGTGGAGAGATTGGTATTTCGCGGCTCTAGCGCCGCTGAAGAATGATACTCAGCCTCACAAATTTTTGGGGCCAGAGGACAATGTTTCGAATACAATGACTAGACATGGCATATGGTACAAGTACCACCAAGATGGCCGGACTTCGGGAGATTAGTTCGTGTGGTTCAGTGGGTAACATCGGCTCGTCGACTTACCCCCGCATCCCACGTAGTGCCACGTAGTGCCACGTGACCATACCGTTGAGTTAGCCATAGCACTAACTCCGTCAGCGATGCGTTCTTCTCTTGATCTTGCTATCTTATGTCCTTTATATCTCCTACAAGGTGGTAGGTTATGGCTGTCATTGCATCTGCAAACTTCTCCGACGTGCGTTTGCTCGATTGGCTTGTTATCTGTCTTTGGGCTGTTGTCCTCGGACCTCTGCGACAGCCGAGCTTCCACAACTTTTGGAGCCGGCGGTATGTTGCGATGCAATATTCGTGGGATGTCTTCGTTCGTGTTGTTAGGGGCAGATTCGCGTGAAATCGAAAGATTTAGGGATGAGATTCCGCCGCTAATGCCCCGTACTGGTAAGGTCAGGTCGGAGATTAATTACTTATACTTTACACTTCAATTCTAAGCATACTGCCTGCACCTAACCTTCCAGTAGTTTATAGCATAGTATAGCTACACAGAGGTTTACATCATTTAGTAGCATTTTATTACAACGTACTTATAAGTCCAAAAGAGTACTGTTATGCGGTGGATGGGGAGATGTAGAGTCCCTCTTCGGCGCACATGGATGTTGGAGTGCGAGACTGCGTAAAAAATGACAATGAGAAGGTTTTGCAGTAAGCCTATGAAGGAGACGATGCAAGATATATCAAGTGTGAGAATAGGTTGCAGGGTGGATCATGTGTTAAACGGAAGGTGAACTAAGCCCTTCCTCGAAAGGGAGATTATGTGACTATATACACAATTAATTTTGGCTTGCTTTGTCGCTCTGTTGCGCAGAGCACGACAGCCATTTGAGTAATATGATCCCCTTCTTCACACGTGATTCGATCACATGACGAGGCTGTCGGGTCCCATGCCATCGTCTTCCATGTCCCAGGGCGAGGCATCCCATTCTGGTAAGGTCTATTTTTGATTTTGGTCCGTTCCATTATCATTCTAAAATTATGATTTATGGTTGCTATATATAGAGATCCTGAGCATCTGAAAGTTATTATTACCTTTAGGGTGTTCTACGGGCTCTACGTCTCTCTTTAAAATGCCTACAAAACGTTAGATTATACAGCTGGATTCGAGTGGGGGGAACAACTAACCAGCATGCTCGGCTAATTCCGACAAATCCGGCTTTTCCGTTAATCCAGCAGGGTCATTGTAGCTAGACCACCTCCTAGGCACTGCACTTGATCCGCGACTGAGATACATGGGCTGAAAAATAGCTGTGCGTCCATTGAATGTGCCGGATGAGCACTCAGCAACTTGGAACGCATGGTTGTCGAATTCGGCGAGGAAGTCTTCTGGGGTTTGGTTCTGCTCTTGCTGAAAAGAGGAGCTCTTGGTGTAGCTAGCGGCTAGAGTTCGTAATCTTGACGTGTGGCGTTGGATAATAGCCAACCCCCCCATTGGAATATGGCATTGACTTTCTTGGTTTTCCACTAGAGCAACGTCTTGATGGTTAACCCAACAATCGGTTGGAACAGTGAATCCAGGCGAATCACGCAAAAGAAATTGTTGCCATTCCGTGAGCCCTGACCTGAAATCTCCCTGGCAAGTCTCGGTATTTATGGTCAATTCTTTGTTGTGGTGCACTACAGAGCGGTATCCTCTCTGCTTGCCTGTTATGATCTTATTCATGAGATTTAGTGTACCCTCAAGGTTCTCATTGAACTCTTCCGCGTGAGAACAGCTTGGTTGGCGAGCAAGGTAGAACTTGTGCGGAAGTTTCGATACGTCCTTCAGAATGTCGAGAAGATGGAACCAAAGGCTTTGGTTTATGGGAGTGTCATGTTTCAGGAAGTCCGCAAAGTAGTCTACGAGGCGAGCTGCGCAGTCCCAAAACACAGCCAGGAAAGCATCATCGCACTCCTTCAGCTGAAAAGCTAGGTACGAGTCTTTAGCTTATTGTCTAATATTTATGGCAGATGCGGCAGCTTACTTTGACCTCCTCTTAGATTATTGACTTTCTCAAGCGAGCCGCGGCCAGGGTGATTTTGCAATTTCTTGACAGTAATGTACACGAGCTTGAAGTCCAATTCGTTATCTCCATAAACGTATCTGAGAGTAACCGGAGGCGTCTCGCCATAGTCGTCGACTCGGATAACAGGTAGTACCATCGTATCAAATAGCTCTCTCGGATAGCTGAGGGAGCAAGTTGGTTGAGGGGAGCGAGTTGGTTGAAGGAGCACGAGGGTTGAAGACCTCGGGAACTAAGGCGGCCGAAGGAGCGATGTAGCTGAGAGGGTCTTGCGCTTGCGCTTGCGCTTGCGTTTGTGTTTGTGTTTGCGAAGATGACGAATTCATCAACCGCCTCGAGCGCCAAGCCTTTTGGATTCTCTCACTCACTTCACGCGACTGCACGCGCCTTCAGTTACAAACACACTATATTGGTTTGGAATCATTTGCGGCTAGAAGCGTTATGCACCTTGCCAACTCAAAGGAAGCTCGCCAAATAGCATGTCGATAGTTCCCACTCCATCTTCTATAATTACACTCAAACGAACACAACTCTACTAGAAGATTCACAGATACCTCGACCGTAGCTGACTAAGTGTGCTCATCCGTCCATGCTGGATGTTACTGAGCAGTGCCTCCTCCAATGCCGACTGGGACATACTGGCGTCTGCAATCGTGTGGAATTAGCATAGTAAAGAGAGTGAGGGTTCTGGCCTTCTAATTCAAACAATTTGCGTCCCGTCGGTGTTGCAGAGCCTCCAAAATAGCCTCGATCAGCCACGAGGTCTGGTAGGGTTGCTTCGGCAATATGCCGACTGGTGGCGGCTGAAAGGACAATAGCTATACAAGATGACGCCAGCAATTGATGAAAGCACAAGAAAGAATCTGAGGGCATACCGTCAATGTCGCTGAAACTACTCCCCATGCTCGGTGTACCTTCACTTCCCTCCCTTCTTCCCTTCAACCCACGCTTCTTGGGGCTGAGTCTAGCCAACTCCATACGGTGCTTCGGACTTAAGGGCCCGGAGTTTGTCATAGAAGATTTTGGGGCATCGCTTGTGGAGCTTGCTATAGATGAGCTCGCATCGGAAGTCTTCTCTTTTCCTGATGCGGACGGCCCTTTCGTTGGTTGTCCTGACTTCAGACCTGTTGCCTTACTGGAGACTTGCGCAGTTGAAGACAAGGTTGGGCGAAGACGCCCGAATAATGGAGGGTTCAACACATCCTTGAAAGCATTCTCAGAAGTGTTGGTTCTACTACTCGTAACATTAGCAAATGGAAGCGATACATTTACGCTTGGCTCTATCTCGTCCCCTTCATAGGGCTCATTTACAGGAGCAAGGTGTTCTCGAGGTCTTTGTGCCCTAAATCGCGGCGGCCTTTTAAATAGTTGGCTCCGGTGAATCGGGTCCTCAGAGCCAGACTCGGATCCAGAAGAACTAGGAGAAGTTGATTCGATAATTCCTGGATCTTCTAGACCTGCTCGTTCTTTCTCGACTTCTATGCTTGAAGACCGTGCCGCCTGAGTAGACGGTCTTTGGTCACTCAGCCCGACTCGAGCCGAAGGCTGTAGCGCAAGTCGAATATGAGGTTGCTGAGCCTGTTGAAATTGAGCCCTAGATTGGGTGATTGTGTTTGTTGAAGGCGTGCGGGAGAGCGACGGAGCTGAATAAATTAGCAATAAGCTGAGGACATTCACCAACCTTAAGCAAGAAGCGAACATACCCGGAGCACCAGAGTCCCCTCGGAGGACAGGGCTGTCTTTATGGCGTATAGACATCGCAGAAGGTGTGCGAGAGACAGCTTTAAATTAGCGATTCATCCAAAGAAAAAAAACATTGGTTCCCTCACCTCCAGAACTCCCACTTCCGGCTCTCCTCATTGGCACACTGCCGATGGTTGCGTGACTGCCACCAACACCGGGTGTTGTAGAAGTATTTGTAGTCCCTACTTTCTTCATTTGGGCGCGGACATGGTCAAGGTGTCTTTCATACAGCCAGGCTGCTTGCTGGAGGATGAAAGTAGGAGGGACTTGGAAGCGGTTCGCGCTGAAAACGGATAAGCATCAAAACGAGAAAATAATCCCGAAAGTTTCGTACAGTTCTCCCCCTACAAAGAGTAAGTACATGAAATCGGATATGCGTTAGGGATCGCACAGTCTAGATCACTTGTTTTAGATGTTTTGGAAATTACCTTCCACAAGGCACGATCCTTTGCGGCGCTCCAGTCCGCCTAAGAAGTTAGGGCTGTATCAGCGAAGTTAGGATGGCTTTGGATTCTACCTGAGGAGGATCAACAAAACTACCACGAACGAACGGAAGCCGAATCAAGATTGTGAACTGCGCCGTATTCATGGTAGCTGATACGGGCCACAAACTGGTGGGGTGTTTGCGAACCTGATGGGCGGCAGCGCAGATGATTGAGTGAGGTGAGCAATGCCAAGCTATTGAATGGGCTTAGCGTGCAGACAGATCCGCAGAAGCTATCCCGTATTAGTCAGCGCTGCAGCATGTTAGGCTGCAAATAGACAGTGGAAGGAAAACAGGAAGGGAATTGACATCTCTATCTAGGTAGGCACCTTTGGCCAATAGTTCACCGTTCGCGTTTCACTAAACAGTTCCCCGGAAAGTAGCTTTGCTTTTGCAGAGCGTGTTCAAGGATGGGCGCTGGGATGTAATGAGTTCCGGAAGCTCATCAGGGTCCTCCAGCTAGTTTTCTTTGCATTTAGAGCAAATGAAATAATCATCCTCCTGTAGTACTTGAATATAAAGTGCTAGCTTTCATACTAGAAGACCACCACCTAAGTAATTCAGTACAGCAGTTATCTCATGTGAGCGCTTCCTAGAGAAGCGGCGCACTAAGCATCAGACGGCGAAGGACTATGCTATCACCGTAGCCTCTATGGGAAATGCCTAGTTCCATATCAAATCTGCCTGCCTTTATCATGAGCAATTCACTCAAATTACTTCTATCAAATTACTTCTATCATATTACTTCTACACGATTTATTGTATTAACGAAACTGTTTATGAGGTCTCTCTCACCAGAGTGACGGCTCGTACGTCGTTTCATCATTGAACATCCAGTTCATAGGTTCCGCGTTGCCGGAATTAAGAAGAGTATCTGACATCTAAGATAGATCGTGAGTGGTGGGGAGCCTCGTGGTGGTGTTTCAACATGTACATACCATAAAATCCCAGTCTTCGGGTGGCACACTCAACGACATTTGGTTCAGCCCATCCAAGGTTCCCTTATTTTGACACTGGGCCACCATGTCTTCAAGTATTGGTAAGCACATGTCCTCAGCCTCTTCTGCGGCCTTAACTAACATCTTCGGGAACTCATCCTTCTCAAGACCTTGAACAAGCCCTTCAATTTGTGCAGTAATCAAACAGATGAGCAAATAGCCTTTAGTATTAGTCTCTCCAGCCTCGATACTCCGCAGACACCAAGTCTTCGCATCCCCCAGTACCGAAAGGAGATCCAGTCGCAATGGTATCGGACCCAAACTCTCTTCCTCATGCAATTGCGTCCGAAGCTCAACTGCTATGACCGAAGTAGCCTGGAAGACGGAGGTGCGGAAGAAGCCAGAGCCACAGAGTGCGAGTCGTTCCAGATCGTGTCGGTCAGACGAGCCATGATTGCGGCGGGACTGTGAAGCCATGATAGGCGAGGATGGGTATGCTGCACACCACAGTTTGAGGGAGGTTTCGACGGCAACTTTCCTGGAGAATGCATATGCGCTCTCGTGTAATCCCAGGGCAAGAAAAGGAATGTGAAGACAAGAGAGGTAGCGATTCATAATGAAATCTGTTGCACACTTTTCGAAGTGAGATGGGGAGGGAGTGTGTGAATTGTACCCTTGAAGAGTTTGGCAAAGAGCTCTGTATGACGCTTTTAGCTCCGCATCAAGTCGAAGCGTCTCCTCGTATGAACCTTGGGAGCCGAGATCATTCAGGAATTTTGCTACTGCAAGGCGGGCTGGAAACGTCTTACGGAGAGCTATTGCTGTCGACACTTGAGTAAAATTGTCTTCGGCTTTCGACACCGCATCATCGGCCACTAGCTGGTCGTCATCAAAATTACTTGGAGGTTCAGTGTCGAAGTCCTCGAGGGAAATGAAGGGAGGTCCTCCCGATGTTAGACTCGATTGCAGTATTATCTCTAGAGTTGTGTTCCATAGCCTTCGGCGCATCTCGGCAGCGAATTTCGTCCTCCTTGGGAGGTGTGCGGGATCTCTATGCAGGCCCATAGACATTGCCGTTCTGAGCAGTGCGCCAGCCGACACCCAGACAAAGTCGGCGCCGCCAACATCTACTATTTCTCGAGCAAGCAAAAGGAGGAGGTTTGTCTGCAGAGATTGGATGCCGAGTCGTGACTTGAATTGGGGCTCAGAAAGCCACGTTTGAGCCTCATACACCCATCGTATGGCCGAGGAACGCAGGGAGAATTTCTCATCGTACACATTGGCTCCGATGGCGAGTACCAGCTTAAGCTGAACTAGAAAAGCGGAGTCAGGCTTAGTTTCCGACACCCAGAGTGCTTCGTAGTCTCGCTGGAAAGAAGGAACATGCAGGATTCGATAGACAGTTTCAATCGTTCGAAGGTATCCATCGACTAGTTCGTCCGACACGTCTTTTCGGGGTAAATCGGCTGTTGGTGGGGAGGGCCAGGGAGGCGCCCGTTGAAATTTGATAACTCTTGCCAAAGATTTGCATCTTTGTATGCCAGAAACTACCTTTGATGTTTCTTCTCGTACGTGAGGATCAATCGTCTCAATAATATCTCGGAACTAGGGGTAGTTAATCTATTGTCCAATGAAGTCCAAAGCACGGTACGTGGGCTTACTAGCGCAACTCCGTTTACCCAATGACTTTGGCCAAAGAGGCGCGTTTTGTGTGTAACACAGCGGGTGACAGTATGACACTCGCCGAACAAGCGGCTTTCATGATGGATATGAAATGTTCCGCCTATTTCTGTTGATGTTGTCTCTATGGTGGCAATGGAAGCTGGAGCAGGAGACCGTGTGGATTTTGGGGTTACTCGAGAAAGCTGCATTTCAAGTTGTCTGATCCTGCTTTTCAAAGATTCGACATCCTGAGCAGATGCCTGGCTGGGAAGACTCGATGCATTTGCTAAACTAGTCACTAATGGTGATGACGAATAGCTTGGGATTGTTGACGCTGTGCTAGTCTTAGATGTGCCATCGATAGGTGCTGAATAGTGAGACTCTCGGCATTCTCGGGGATCGGAGGCTAAGCCTAGCTCAGTGTTCTGCTCATGTCCAATGCTTTTTTGTGGAGATAGAGAAGTGTGCGTCTCATATATACAAGCCTCGTTTCTGGACCGAATGCAGTTGCTGCATGGAGATTCTCGATTGCATCGGATTTTGCGTCTCCTACAGAGAGAGCAAGAGCTGCATTCCCTCGTTAAAACTGAATACCGAAAGAGGACTACAACCTACACAGCTGGCCTTCTGCGCCGGCGTTCATGCTCGATCATGGTGACTCCTTATGGCCACAGGTGATTCCCATTGGACTGTTTACAAATGTCAAGTATAACTTGCCGGGCAGAATCTTAGACTATGTAGTATCTCCGACGGGGTTTCCTCTGATTTGGCGTATGAAATAAAAAAATTCCGACAAGTTTCGGGATGTCAGTATCAAGGTCGGTATCTGCGGTTTTGGTTTGTGTCGCCCGCAATTTGCCGAATCCGATGACCGATTGCCCGAATCTGCCATATTACTCAAGCTATCTCCGTGAGACCTCATCTCCGAGTATACTTGACTTTTCGAGCATAGGGGGTTTTTTTTTCTTAGATATATAATGAGTCTCAAGATTCACCTCGTCCTCACTCAGCATGTGCTACGCTTCATTATACTGCACTACAATCTGCCAAAGTACCTCAATTGCTCTGCCTCTACAATTTCAAGAGTAACTACTGCATCTTCCTTATTGCAGCATGACGACTGCTGGAACAGGGCACGAAGTTTCGCATGAAGTGGAAGAACAGAAGTCAATCAACCCAGCCGATCTCGACGAAGAGACGACCACCCCCAATTCTTCCGGCTTTGGAGAAGCGCCAGATGGAGGCCTTCGAGCATGGCTTGTTGCGGCTGGGGCAGCCTGCATATTCTTCTCCTGTCTGGGCTTCTCCAATGCGTTCGGAGTGTTTCAAGAATACTACATCACACACCAGCTTCACGAGGAATCCCCAGATAGGATTGCATGGATAGGATCCCTCTCGGTCTTTATTCAGTTCGCTGCAGGCTCCATTGGAGGACCATTATTTGATCGGCTTGGAGCATGGGCAAGTCAACTGGTCTCTCAAACGTTTGGCCCAGTCTACTAATCTAGTAATAGGTCATCCGGCCAGCTGCGGTCCTCTACATCTTTGCCTTGATGATGACAAGCCTAAGTACTGAATACTGGCATTTCATGCTCACTCAAGGTATTCTGATGGGAATAGTGATGGCATTCCTCCAGTTCCCGGCGTTTGCGGCTGTGTCGCAGTACTTCGACAAAAGACGGGCAGCTGCCTTAGGTATTGTTGTATCTGGATCGTCTATTGGGGGCGTTGTCATCCCAATTGCTTTAGCAAAGATGCTGAATAGTTCTTCGTTAGGGTTTGGCTGGTCGGTGAGAGTCATCGGGTTCCTTATTACGCCCCTCATGGCTTTCGCATGTGTGGTCATCAACGCCCGCTTACCACCACGGCAAACCCACTTCTTCATTAGCGCGCCCTTCAAGGAAGCAAGATATGTTCTCTTGATAGTCTCGTTGTTCTTCATGTTCCTCGGCATGTTCGCCCCCTTGTTCTTCATCCCAACATACGCGGTCACGAGAGGCATGAACGCAACACTGGCCTCGTATCTGCTAGCGATTCTCAACGCCGCTTCTACGTTGGGCCGTATTATTCCTGGCATACTGGCGGATAAATACGGACCATTGAACATCTTCGCAGTTGCGGGTGTCATCACCGGCGTAGTCATACTGTGCATGGACTGGGTGGAAACCACTGCGGCGTTTGTCATATATTCGATTGTAGTTGGGTTCTTTTCGGGAACAATCATCTCCGGAGCTTCCGCAGCCTTTTCTCGTTGCGCAGTAGACCCCCGAGACCTAGGAACCTACATGGGAATGGGAATGGCTGTGGCGTCTCTTGCAGCGTTGATTGGCCCTCCTGTGAATGGTGTGCTTGTCCACAGATATGGCGGATTTTTACAAGTATCCATTTTTAGCGGCATCATGTGTTTGGTCGGGGGATTTGCTGCACTTGTGAGCAAGATGGCCACCCCCCAAGGAATTTTAGGGAAGATCTAAGGCTTTGTTCCTGTCTCTCTTGCGCGGGATTGTGCCTATAAGACTCCACTCCTGGTCATTCCTTTATTTTTGTTGGGGATATTAAACTCGGTCAAAGAGACATAGTTTGGCAAATACTTCATTAATATTTTGGGGAGGCTGCGATTGCTGTATGCGCAACCGGGATCATGATAGTGTGAGGATCCAACCTAGCCGAACCTCTTCCCATCTCTCACTTTACATGTTCCATGCGAATATGCAGACGACTTTAGATTGAGCGCTTGGTGACTGTAAAGGTTAGCGAGAATATAAACACAGTCTTTTTGATGCATTACAAGTATAAGCATACAAACGGGAGAGCATTGTGGACCACTTACGATCCGGATGTATGACGAAGAGATTCTAATTCTAAGACCCTGTGCATTCAATTTACTTTCACGAGTAGTCATCCTTGACCCTGCGTTGAGATTCAGTATCCAAAAAACTTCCTCGACTACGAGACGATCTAGTAGGTCGCTTCCGGCGCACGCTTGTTGAGCCGCGCCCAACAGCTCCACCGCAGCAAAACAAAACGGTCGAAAGTAGAAAGCAAGCCATAGCACTCCATGTGAAGGCATATAGCTTGACTCCTAGCTTGGCAGAATGACCTCCACTTCGGAATGCATCTCGCCCTTGTACTGTCCAAGCGCTGAAAAAGTAAGTATATAGCAAGGAGTAAGACTTAGCCGAGATACTCACGTCATTAAAGAAGCCGCCAGGGTCTGGAATAATAGTGCCACAGCAGTGGTTAGGCCAGAGAGGTATCCTCCTAGCCGGCTGCAGAGGGCAAGAACCCCCGTGAAGAGCGCTACCACGGCGAAAAATAGTGCCATTAGGTAAAAACCAAACATAAACCTTGAAAGGTAATAGTATTGGTGAGTCCTAAGTGCAATCAGCGTCTGAGGGAAACTTCGAAGACACGCGGCGATGTGATGTCGTACCTAATGAACTGATTAGGGATGTTGTCATCGGTGCCAAAGTTGCGGGGGGGATCAAAAGGTAGAGCAGGCAGCAAAGACCCGCAGTTGGCATTGTGACCATTGCTCGGGTTGACGCCACAAATGGCAAAGAAGGTCCACCTGGAAGGATTCCGCGCGTTTGGGATGTTCCCGATGTTACTCGCTTCCAGAAAGAAGAATTGGGTGACGGGACTACTATTAATTGCACCTGAAAGAATTGTGAAGAACTGCAGCAGGATGCCACCGGTAAGGATGATGAGGGGGAGGAGACCTAAAACCGGTCCTATGTAGGGTGAGGAAACAGTCGACGCGCACCGAGGACATGATGTACAGTCGCCTACCAAAAGTCATTAGCCACTCAACGATCCGAGCTCTGCAGGGGTATAGTCAGCCCATTTAGGAAAGAGGTTACTCGACCAATTGCTACC